GGGGGGGGGGTTGGGTTTGTGTTGGTTTTTCTTTGTTTGTGATAGTGATGAATTGGATTCATAATCGAGTTATCGCGCGCTACCGATGTGCTGGGTGTTGCAATTGGGGGCTAGGGGCTTGTTTGCTTTTGGCAGGAGCAGATTTTCAGTGTGGGACTACGGGATCATGCACGAAGCACTCCATTAGGGGGTTTCTTTGTTGGCTATATGTACACGGTTATGTTTATTAATGAAAGGTTGGATAAATCCCAAGCCACCTTCGGTCTCGGCAGGAGTCTTAAAGCCGATGATAGATAGGGCTTGGTGGCTTTGTGGATATGTTACAACATACATATGGGCTTGCATTTGAGAAGCTAGATGCTAATTTACTGTCGCAGTTTGCATATTGACAAAAAGAAAAACCCATAGATCAACCCTCCCCAGCAATGCCGATCCTTCCACCCGAGCTACACCATTTCAGGACCAGGATTGTATATCCCTGTAAGCTCGGATAGACCAGGATTGATCGGGATGCAATCCATGTAGTAGAAATCCCTTCACTAGGCAACTTAGTTACAGCCTAGGCGCCAGGAATGGGTGTTTCAAAGCCTCAGCTGGCGTGATCCGTTTCTCGGGGTTAAGACTCAAGCACCGGTCAAGTAGGTCCAAGAACATTGTCAGATCTTTGACCTCAGCATCCGGCATCCCGCGTGTTCCTTGTGCCATGAGGCGCGACTTCAAGTCACGTGTCGGTTTTTTGAAATCCACAATTTTGGTGTGAAGGCGGCCGGTGATCTTGTCTTCCTCCACGCTGTGGAAGTTAAGCATTTCATCAAAGTGATGAGGCGCCAGGGATCCGCGGCGAAGAAGCTTGGGCGGGTACTTTCCCCGGCACTCCATGATGGAGCGAAGCATCTGGTTGTTGTTTCGGCCGGTGAAGAGAATTTTACCCGTGTACAGCTCGAAGAGGGTACAGCCAATGGACCAGACATCGATAGCGTAGTCGTACGGGATACCCAGGATGATTTCCGGGGCACGGTAGAAACGACTGACGAGGTAAGGCGTAATCTCGTTATCGGAGGCCGGCGACGCCGAACCTAGGTCACAAACTTTCAGAATATTTCGTTGCTCGTTCACAAGAAGATTGTCCGGTTTGAGATCTGCATGGAGGATGTTACACCGGCGAAGGAGACACAGCCCAAGGAAAATCTGTTGGCCGTAAGCCCGAACCGCGCGCAGGTTCAAGCCAACGTCCCTACCGAACTTTTTCAGGACCTCACGTAGGTCCATGCTAAGGTTCTCAAACACCATGCACAAGTGACCCTTGTGCTCGAAGTATCGGTCGAACTTGATGAGGTGCATCTTGCTTTCCGGGTCGGCTTCCTGTAGTTGCTCTAGGATGCCAATCTCCTTCATACCGGCCTTGCGCATTATGGCGTTTTGGCGAATTATTTTGACAGCAACCAGACCCCCTGTCTGGGTGTCAGTTGCACGTACAACAGACGAGAACATTCCCTTGCCAAGGTTTTGATGGACATGGTATCGTCCGTTGATCAGCTCTCCGAGTCGAACAGCGTAATAACCTTCCGAATCGTCCCAGTTATCCATCATGCTGATATCCAGTTCCTTGCCCTGGGGTACAGCTGTGGCTGAAGCATGCACTGGCTTGGCGTCAGGTACTTCCTCTGCGAACATGTCATCATCGTCGTCTGCAAACATATCGAACGCCTCGGTCTTCGGTGGTGGCGCTGGGGCCGCATCGGGGAGGAGAATGTCTTGCTTGACAGTCTTGGTTTCATCGTATGCTGCAGAGGAAATTTCGTCCCTTCCATCCTGTACATTGCCATGTTTCTGTCGTTCTTCCTTGGTGTCGAGAGTTGGATCATAATCAGCAGCGGAGGGACCATCCTTATCAGTACCGCCAACGGGTGCATTGGAGTTGATCATGTCCATGTCTTTTCCAATACTACCAGGGAATGCCTCCCCGGGTTGTTCGAAGGGGGATGCTCGTGGAGAATCTATTGAGTTTATAGGCGTCAGTTTCGTTGATGCCAAGGAAAGCTTGTCCAAGAGAAACTCACCAGACGTTTCCTTTGCGCTAGTTGGCTCAGTGCCAGGCGTGGATGAATCCGTCTCGACCTCGCTGACGTTCAGCGCTTTGAGATGTAGTGGCGTCGCTTGACTTCGGTGTTTCGCCCGAATAGCTTCACGACGTTTCCGGCGAGCTTCAAGTGCATCGGCTTCGTTAATGGGCTCAGCGAGCTCCGGCTCTTGCGCGATATCCTGGTTAGGGGTGGTTTCTCTGGGGTGGATATTAGTCGCACGTTCTTCCTCTTCAGTGACAGAATAAACATACTCGTCGGCCACATGGGCTTGAAGATTAGAAGAAGCCTGCACCTGGTTCTTTTGTTTTTCAGCACCAAGCTTCAAGTCCTGAGCGACGACCGAAGCCTTTCCTCGTTCCCTCACCAACTGTTCAGTGGGCAAGCGCCTTCCGGTATCCGCTGAAGACCTGGCATTAACCACATTTGAATCAAATTCATCGCCTGAATACTGCTTGGGTTTTCTCGATTCACGGTAAGGGGATCGGCTGCGGCTGCGGGTGCGTTGCCGCTTGTCCTTGTGTCGGTCATGTCGGTCGTAATCATCACTGTATCGTAACCCTTCTCCATGGGTCTCTTCGCGGTCATAATCGTAATATGAGTTCGGGCGCCTGTTGGAAGCGGGCCTGTCACGGCGTCTGTCGTCGTACCTAGACCTGTAGTGTCGCGGAGGCTCATAGCGGGGTCGCCGGTCGTAGCCACCATCATAGGACTCGGGAAGATCGTCGTGACTGCGCTTGTGGGTCTTATTCTCTCTGTACGGGGAACGAGAGCGGGATCTCGATAGGGACCTGGTCCGCGACCTCTGCCGGAGTGGCGATCGAGTGCCTTTCAGCGACGCGGGAGATCTGGGCGCAGAGGATGGGCTAGCTCTGGTGGGACGGTCAACGCTGGTGCCATTAAGAGGAGGTTTTGACGCAGTTGCCTTCGTCTCTGGGCCTGATTCGACGATCTCACCCTCAGAGGGGACCGATGGGGACCTCGACCTGGGATGCGACATGTTTGCAATTTTCGAGACAATCAAGCAAGACGCGTAGAGAATACTTTCGTCTTTTATTCACTTCACTTGGCCTTTGGAGGAAGCTTCAACAACAAGGCTCAGTTAGCAAAAGCTCCAGCGACAATAAGTCTTCTCAAAGGGTTTGTGAAAGTCCAACCGGCTGTAAGAGGCCTGCCTTCACACCAAAGCCTTGCAAAAGTGATTAAAATCCCTAGCGCATAGCTTGTCGAAGAAACAGGCTTGGTAGCTAGATAAGAGCACGTGCACAGGATATCGATGACAACAAGAGATGAATTGAAAGCCATGTCGAAGCTCGATGGGTCGAGATAGGGCAGAGTCTGCGCTAGTCCGTTTCAAGTAGGCGGTCGGTTGATTTTCTGCTGGGCGACGTACAAAGTCAGTGGGACCGTAGTTTTAGAATAGCCCTAACCTCTTTCAGACTAGCCCATCAGTATTTACAATACTCAGTCTTGGTGGGTAGGCTGAATCTCAGCATAACAAGCGTGTATGGGCTTGAAATAAGACAGTAAATTATACCACTAGTAATACCTTCAAAAGTAAAACCCTCGCCCCAGCCTACGATGTATGTAGGTGGCCACCGAGGGTGTGGATAAGCACCCCTCTATGTATTTTTTTTTCTCATTCAACGCCGTCAACTCACCCCGCCCTAACAAGACCCCTTTCAACCCACTCTCCTAGTTATTTTATTTAAACAAAATGGGTGGCATCGGCAGAGAAGGTTCGTCTACCTCACATTCTAGTATTCTCGAAATCCTGTTCGCTAATATCCTATGATCTACAGGTGGCAAGGCCAAGCCCTTGAAGGCTGCCAAGAAGGAGAAGAAGGAGCTCGATGAGGATGAGCTCGCTCACCAGGCCAAGCTCAAGGCTGGTATGGCTTTTCGAACACCCTATACAAAGAGTCACTGACTAACAACTCTCTTTAGACGCCAAGGCCCGCAAGGACATGCAGGATGCGGCTAAGGGCAAGAAGGGTCCCCTCAACACCGGCCAGCAAGGCATCAAGAAGTCCGGCAAGAAATAAACGGATCGCATACTCCTCGACGGATCCCTTGCCCAAAATCCTCACAACGAGCCTTGACACCAGGTTTCTTGAGCCCATCTTCACGACCTACACGAGCCATGTTCAATATGAGAGCGGACGATGGGTGGCTTCGAATGTGTGATCGCACCAACATCACTGCACTCATAGTTCATTCCAATGGGTCTTCTGTATATCTTTAGCCATCAATACCTATTTCGCGCTTGATCGCATTTTCATGCATACAAGAGTTTTCTGGAACGATCAGTTTCGTTAGACAGTAATGAGATTAGTCAGACTAAAATACATCAACATAAATCGCCGCAGCTTGGGCAAATTCCGAATAAAGTGGGTATCAACCTGCCATGCAGGGGAATCGAACGCTCAAAACACAACCACCATGCCCCAATATCGGAAAAAGAACAGGCAAACTGCCTCGAAAAGAGGTAGAACCAAACAAGACGCTAACAACTTCACAGTAGCATCAGAAATAAGATCGAGATCAGCCGCGCATAGACCAAATCACAACCCAACAGCAAGCAACAGCCACTAACTAGTGACTCGCTTGACCCAGAGATTATTGCCATCACCAGAATTCTCCTTCTCGTCCAGGCGACGCCACGCTCGAGTAATCTTCATACCAAGATCGTGCTCTTCTTTCTTGATATCCGCAATCTCGCCTTCGATGCCCTTAATGCTTTTCTGGGCCTCGGCTTTCGCAGCCAGATCGTACACCGCTGAAGTAGGCTGAATAACCTTACTCAATTCGGCGATCAACGCCTCCAGACTATATCTGCGCTGGGTAAGGTCATCCCTCTTGTTCTCCATTGCTTTAATGCGGCCCTGTGCATCTAGTGGCACCTCAGGGGGAGGTGGAGGCGAAGGCGACTGCGCGGGCATCTGCCCGACCTGTTGTGCGACCTGGGATGGAGTGGGCTTTCGGACGGGCATGGCGGAGACGGTCTGCTTCTTCGAAGTCGGCACGCCGATTGGGACTGGGCGGCGTCGGGCCATGATAGAGGATGTGGATACGTCGTCTGTAGATCGGTTTTCGAGCTGCATACTCTCCCGCGGGCTTGCATCTTGGCTACCGGGTTCGGTGGCTGTGTATGTAGTTGCGCTGAAACGGCTCCTGGGTTCATCGCTCGTGAGCATCATGTCGCTGAAATCGTTATCGAAATTGAGTAGTGGTTTGTCCTCTAGCAGATGGCTTGGAGCGTGCTCTGTTGCCGGTCGGGGAACTGATACTGGACCACCGGCGGTGATAGTGGTTACAGTTGTAGGAGCGAATGCAAAGTTATCGAGTTGGGGACTTGTCTTTAGCGCGTGGTTGCCGCTGCGCTTGCGGGAATGCTCGCTCGCTGGAAATCCACGTGATGCCGATCTACTTCTGGGTTCCTTTTGCGAAAGTTCTTCGGGCTTCGAGAAACTGCTGATCCGATGTCGAGCTGCATTGAGGGTCTTCTTGGGGTTGAACCCCTGGCCCCAGTTTAGTAAGTTGGAAGCAGGAGCCCCGGGCGCAGGAGCCGCAGAGGGTCTGTGAAAAGAAGTGTTGCGGGGATCAACATGGCTAGCTCTACCAAAGTCACTTGGTTCGCCCGAAAAATTATCCCAGCGCGTCGATTTACCGGAGATAAATCGTCTAGAGTCCTGTTCATACTGGGGAGGCTGGACAGGCTGGACAGGCTGAACCCGGGGATGAGAGGGTGTCTCAACATAGTCTACCTTGGGAGTAGGAGTAGGAGTTGGCGAAGATGAGATCCGAGTCTCCTGTCGCGCATAATCAGAATCAGGAAATTGGTCTCCGTCTCCGATGGGCGAGACACAGAAACTACTTTGGCTTGCCCGCCTATGAGCTTCAAGCATCGGCGAAACAGCAGGCGAGAAATCCGAGGGTCTTTTATTGATATCATCACGCGGGACAGAATCCGGCTGTAACGACGAATGCAAATCGCTGGTTTCCATTAGATGTGTTATCAAAAGGGTAGTAAACACAGTACTTACTCAGGCAGAGTGGGCAACCTTTTTGCGACCATATCATGCACAGGGTCTGATGTGGTGGGTGGATTGCCATTCAACTTGGGGCCGCTGATCGAGGGCCGTTTGGGCTTGTGGAACGGTCTTTTAGACCACATATCGATTTTCTCACGCTCTAACCGTGGCACAGGGTTGATTTTGGTCGGAAAAGAAAGCGCAAAGTTCACGTAAAACGATGAATAAGTTCAAGTCACAAAAAAAAGGATGAAAGGGGAATGAAAAGAGATAAAGGAGCGGAAAATATGGAAGGGGCTATGTCTTCTGGGCCACAATGCGCAGCCCAACACGGAAGCCTGTAGAATATAGGAAGAACGCAAAGATTATACAAATGAAAAGATGACTTGAAAAATTAAGTAGTGATTGAAGAGAAAGAAGGACTAGACCCGAACATCAATGATTAAAAATAACTTGAAATAACACATCCGCTAGTATTAATAGAAGTGGGCAGATTAAAATGGGGGGCAATAGTCCAGTGGAGAGAGCTCTTGAAACATTTCAGGGACTGCCGGGCGTTTTACGTTTTTTGAAATCTAAGGCCCGAGAGCCTAGTCTCCAATCAATTCACATGTGAGAAAAGTAGCTCTGTTGTAGATAATTTCCTAAATATAACCCGAAGAAGCCAAAGAATGAAAGAGAATGTCCATATAAGGCCTAATCACGTGGAGTGGGGATATCGATGTCATCCCGAGCCTCCGGACTTCCCACCTCTCTCCAAATCCAAAATATAATTTGCCTCAATGGGTATGTATATGTCCCACGTTGCTCATGGTCTAAACACCCGCTAACTTGGAGACTGCAGATAATTCCGCGCCACAGGCTGAAGTGTTTGTGTCCCTCAGATCCCACTCGGCGCGCTATGGAAGATGAGACACCAACCCAACTAACCGCTCGCTACCCAACAGGATGTCTATCGCTTCCCCCATCAACCTGATCCTAGTCTCCCTCTTCGGAGTCTTGGTGTACTGGCACTTCCGCCCAAAGGCGCCAATCACTCTTCCCCGTGCTCCGCCGCCAACCGTCTTCAAGACCTACATCCCCAAAACTCTTATTGAGTTCAACGGCGAGGAAGGCCGCCCCGTTTACCTGTCCGTCCGCGGCCGCGTCTTCGATGTCTCCCCTGGCAGGAACTTCTATGGGCCGGTATGTGTTTGGAATCCGTGAAATGCCACCGCGTAGCGCTGTTGGAGCTAAAGCTGACCATAATGATTGGAACAGGGCGGACCCTACGAGAACTTCGCTGGCCGGGACGCCTCGCGCGGCTTGGCTTGCCAGAGCTTCGATGAGGAGATGCTGACCAAGGACCTGTCTGCACCGTTGGATGATCTGAAGGATTTGGATGCGGAGCAGCTGGAGAACCTACAGTCGTGGGAAGACCGCTTCTCGGAGAAGTACCTGGTAGTTGGAAAGTTGGTAGCTGAGGGTGACGCCGAAGCTCCTAAATCGTGACCGCGCTACAAAAGGATTGGGGGGATACATATTTTGGAGGGTGTGTACGACAATGGCCGATAACTAGCGTTTACAAGGACAATCATGAGCCTGGACAACACGAGCGACATGTGATTTATTTTTCGGCAACAATTCAAAACCGGCGCAACCGGATCTCGGGTTTATTTACAATACTATCTCAGGTCCCCAGAATGTAACAAAGCTGGCCAAGGAAGTTGAGCAGGCCAGCAACATCCGTCGAATCGTCAGGTGCAATATTTCCGACATCCTGATGACCCCTTCCCTTCAGTGTGTCCCATTTGCGTTTTTCCTTGATCAACTCCCCCATCCCACTAGCATTTGGAAGATTCGGCGAAACGCCAATAGAGTTCCAGAAGTCCGGCACCGTCGGGTTCTAGGTGTTGTAGAGTATGTTGTGGCCGAAAGGCCGCTCTTGCGCCTTGCAGCCTGATCAGTCGCATATTTTTCTCTATTGCTCACTAGTAAGAACCAGTTAGTACGAAGTGCCTCTTTGTTAAGCATAGTATAGCGCGGTATCAAACTTACAACCAGTTCCACGGGCCTTCAGGCCGAGTGCTATACCAGGTCACATCACTATGGGTTGGTTCCGAGGTATACAACTGGTGGTGAACATCGGAAGTGATTTGATTGGATACGTGGAAGGGTGACCTCGGGAGTGTCAAGTGTGGATCTCGGGAGGCTGCAGATCGTAAGCCACGTGACTATAGCCGCTTTTCACCGGATTATACACTTTCTATATACAACATACTAGTACGCGAATAGGTTTTGACTAGAATTTATATTATACCTAGGTATGCGTCCGCTTGGCTTACCTAGCTAGGTACATATGCCTAGGTGTAGGTTCCAGCCTGTGAGGGTGATTTAGCGTCTGGATTACAAGATGTCACCTAAGGATTTTATTCAACCATGGACCTCTACCTTGGAACTTGACATTTCTCTGAGTGACATTATATCATATGATTCTATATCTAAATTTTGATTCTATTTGCACTGCCTTCAGCTAGTTCAAATAACTCAGATGGTTTGCTTACTGATACATAATACAGTCGGCGTCTGACTGACCCGTCACCCATTACAACCAGGAGTTATCCTGAACCTATCCAATCGTTGAACAGCCCTGGAACGTTTGAAATGACATCAATCAGCCAGATCAAGTCTTCCGAGTCGCTTCCTAGTAATGATACTTTAGAGAAGGAAGCCCAAAAATTGGCCCGGTCCGTCTTAGTGATTTAAAAAAGTCCTAGGCTAACTCAGACATTAGATATCCGAAGCCGTAGCACTTGGAGAGCTATCCTATCCCAAATCTTTTTCGGAAACCGAACCGTCCATCCGCACCGCACTAATTTACTGACAAGGCGCTGCGGGGGCCGTCCGAGTAACAACTCCTAGGACACACCATTTCTCCAATGTCACAACAGGGCTAAACGAATCAGGTTGGGCAATTATTACAGTCGGATCTAGAAAGGATTGCATGTTTTTTGGGAATCCAACAGTGCGCTTATTCCAAACTTCGTAAACGGAAACCTACAGTTACTTGCACTCCATCACGTACCTAATGAATGTGGTGGCCAAAAGCTGCGAGAATTCAACTTTAACTTTCGTATATCCGAAGTGCTGGAACCCGAAGTATAGGAAAAGCAACAGATGGCTAGAAAGTGGACAACTCATTTGCAAAGTTTTGTCCAGCCCTACAAGTTCAGGCAAAAAACCAATGAGATCTCCGAGTTGAAGGCCGAGTGGTATAGATTCGCAATTATGCGCAGAGCTATCGTGAGAGAGGCCCAAGGGGGTTTCAGAACCGCTTCCTAGGAAGATACTTGCATTAGTACTTTGAATGGTCTCGTTCATTTTATGTATATGTGCCTTCTGAAGATACGTTTTGAGATTGACGCCCCTGTCTCTGAGAGATATCATGGCGATTGTACAAACGATCGGGTATTAGATATCTTGGGCTAGGTTTAGGAAGGATAGCGTCGGATAGAATGTTACGAACCCTTCATAATTGTGTTCAAAATGCCCTTTAAAACGTCATTCATCAGGTCGTCTTCCAAACCTGCAATTTTCTACGGCAGATTTAAACACACTTTTTCCTAGGCTATGACACAAAGTATAGCTAGCAGCGCACCGTTCTACGGCTTAGAGTGCCTTTAACATTGTCTTTCCATGTCGAAGGTAGACAGGCATTGAGATATCGAATGTGGAAGCCGCCACATACGATAGGCCCACTGCATTTCTTTTATCCTCATTGCTTTAAAGCTTTATCTGATTGCGAATTGTGGTAGCGGTCGGTGATCGAGATCGACAGCTAGCTCGCTATAGTGGGGGAGCTAGAGCTTGATTAGCTTCTTCGAAAACCGAAACACCAGTCTTCAGGATCAGGATCACTAGGGTGTTTCAGCCTTAGTAAGTAACCACTAGTATGCAAAACTATTACCTCTAAAGTACTCTCTATCTTTTGATTTTATGATTCCTGATGATATTCCCTTCCCAGACTAGGGACCAGATCGGTGAACCATATGACCAAGATTGTTGAAGGGTTATGACTTCGAGGAAGGGGGTGGTAGTCAATCCTAGTTATGCTAGGTTTAAGTATATAGAAAAGTGATATCGAAATTCACCATTGTGACTGTGGGCTCCGGAGAAATAAGGTTGGGATGAAAATCGACTATTAAAGATACAGAATGCAGAAAGAGTTGTTGTGAGAAGAAACCCCTGTTAGTGAGATAGCAAGCAAGCCAGCAAACATTATTTTGCATTCGAAGTTCAACGTGTATATCTGGCCTATGTTCTTCATTAGGGGAATAACGAAGATATCGGCATCACATTCTGTATGATGTATGTTGTGTCTCTAATAAAGTCTCCACCTTTAAGGCTAGGAAATGAGCAATACCCACATCCCTTTTCTATACGCGTATATTCGACCACTAAACCGAGATGAGTGAAGTTGATCGATCTCAGCTTTCAGGCAACCTTGGACATTTTTAAAGGGGGCATCTTCCCGCTTCTGCATTTTATACTTCAAGTTCCGGGCTGCTACTCGAACAAAACATTTTCTTACTTTCTCCCCATAACTTTTAATCGAAACACTGCAAATCCGCAATTGCTATCAATCCGCTGCAAGTTGTAGCGACGAAGTCTCACACCACCTGTATCCAGTTGAGCTCATTGGCTGAAATACTTGCTCATCATGGCAGAACTCGAGCCCTACAAGGGTGGCCACTACTTATGGAAATATGTTCCTTCAATGCCCGCTGCCATCATATTCTTGTTATCCTTCCTTTTCGCAACGGCATTTCACTTCTGGAAGATTTCGCGAACAAAGGCTAGCTTCTGCGTGGCATTTTCAATCGGCGGAATATGTTGTCCACCCCAAATCCAAACATGTTCGAAACCAAGGCTAATAAAAGTAATAGTCGAGGTGATTGGTTATGCTGGCCGAGCCACCGCGCATCATCAAACAGGCTCGATAATGCCATACGCTGTGCAAAACGTCTTCCTCCTCCTCGGCCCAACCCTGTTCGCGGCGTCTATTTATATGGTTTTGGGTCGTATCATCCGATGTGTACACGCCGAAACACACTCGCTCATTCGCATCAATTGGCTCACGAAAGTCTTTGTTTCCGGCGACGTTTTCTCATTTTTGATCCAAGGTGGAGCTGCCGGTCTCATGGTTTCCGGAAGCAATGCCAAAATGGGTAGCAACATTGTTGTTGTTGGTCTCCTCATCCAAGTCCTGATGTTTTGTCTTTTCATTCTCACATCGGTGGTGTTTGAAGTTCGCATGCATCAACGTCCCACTGCTAAGTCTTTCAATGCGGAACTCGATTGGAAAACCCAGCTTCGGACGCTCTATATCCTTAGTGCTCTGATATTGATTCGAAGTGTTTTTCGGGTCTTTGAATACATAGAGGGCACTGACGGATATCTGATGGAGCATGAGTGGACGATCTATATATTTGATGCAGTATTGATGTTGTTAGTCATGATCGTTTGGGCAATCCGGCACCCTGGGGTTCTGCAAAAGTTCCTCCAACAAGAGAAGGCTCAAATGAGGATGGATCATGAATTGAGGTGACAAGGCTTGTTGAGGATCATAGCACAAATTTATTTTTCATAATACTCCGGTTCAGATTTACCTCGTCACGCATTTACCGACGTCGAATCGCGAGAAATATATTCCTAATTAATTTAGAAACTGTGAAGCCCACATTTTCCTTGAAATGTTTCGTCGGGTCGAGAATTGCACCCAAAAAGAATAGTAATGAATACATCCTGTATAAACTCACAACGAAGACATCGGTGTCGTGGCAAAGGAAATTAGCAGATGTATAATGATTTTGAGACAGGTATCCTGGGCCTGCCAGTACTATCCTTCGTTTTATTTCTTCGTGTCCCTCGTTGACTACATGTACCTAAGTGTTAAAGTCATATACAGTTCATGTGGCCTGCAAGAATCTATCCTATACCTTTCTACCTTGGAAATAGAAGACTATTAACAACCTACAGAAAAAAGCTTTTGATCTCAAATGTTGTAATCCAAATGTCATAATCATCGTAACTTAGAAGATATTACAAAACCCATTGTCCAGCCCAACTTTCTCGCAGGAGAAAAACAATAACAAAGATCTGAATACGATAAAGAGTAGTTCAAAGTTCTTCACGCAATTGTTCCGTGTGCTCGGAGACCTTCTTCTGAACCTTTTCAGCAGCTTCAGTGCCTTGGGCGCGGCCGCTAGCAGCGCCGATCTTCAGCTGATCCACAACCCAGTGCAAAGTATCCATAATTTTGGCATAGATAGTAGCTTGTGGGCTTACGGTACCGTACTTAAAGTACTGAGCGTTGCGCCGGGCCGCAGCTCGGAGCTCGTTAATGCTCGAGCCCTGGTAGGTGGGAACGCCGTAGTTGTCCAGATACCTCTTGAGCTCGGACTGCGACCATTGGTCGAAAGTGGTATCCTTGGCTGTGCTAGTGACCTTCGCGAGGGCAGCAGTTGCAGAGGCGTACTGTTCGCCGCCAGTCTTGGAAGCCTTGGCGTAAGAGTCCTCTGCATTCTTAATGAGCTCTTCGCGTGAAGCATCGACCTGCTGGGCCGCCTTGTGGTTCACGGCAGACAAGTAGTTCCTGTGGAAAGGTAAGCCAGTGCGACGATATAATCAACAGACAGGTATGTACTTACACCAGGTGCTCTTTATCCCAAGTATCGAAGTTGTACATGTTCCATCCACCGGCGGCTTTGTGGGCGTTGGCGCGGACCTTAGCAATCAGTTCATCACGCTTGCCGCTCTGAGGAACGGGGATGTTTCGGGCATCAAGGAATGCCTTCAGGCGGGAGTCAGACCAGCCATTCAAGGCAGTTTCGAAAGCATCCTCGATCTTCAGCTTAGCATAATCGGTAGCGCGTGCATATTCGTTCCCAGCCTTAGTGGTAGCAGCGCCAAACGCCTCCTCCACAGCAGATGAGGCACTCGATACCTGACCGGAGAGATAGTAACGGTTCTTCCGGGCTAGAGCAATGAGTTCATTGCGCTTCGAACCCTGGGGCACCTTGACATTGTGCTTGTCAAGGAATTCCTTCAGCTTCGAGTCTGACCAGGCGTTGAAAAGCTGATCGCTCAGAGTCTCCTTTGCAGCCTCGGCCTCAGCGGATGCAGATGCAGCAATGCTCTGGGACTGCAAGCTGATAATGCGCGAGTTGCGGCGAACAGATGCAATGAGCTTGTCACGGTTGGACGGCTGGGGCACCGGCCAGCCACGCTCGTCGAGCCATTCCTTGAGATCCGAGTCGGACCACTCCTCATACAGCCAGTCTCCGGGGTAGGAAGCTGTTTCACCGATCTTGGTGGCGATCTTCTCGTAGTTCTCACGCACGGTCTTGATCAGAAGGTCGCGTCTGCGGGGCTGGGGGGCAGGAATGCCGTGGCGATCGAGGAATGATTTCAACTGAGAGTCGGACCAACTATACCGGTCAACTTTCATTCCTGACAGGGATATGTGAGCACCTTACGTATCAAAGACCCATTCTCTGGCATGGTGTAGCTCATGATTGATGTTATCGGCAACTTGTCCAAGGGGTTTCTGCACCCTGCTATCCCAGTTGTTTTTGACCAAATTCTCTAGGTCACGGCGGTCGGCAGGACTGGGGTGGGGGATATCTGTATGAAGTGTAAGTATATGAAGCTGTTAGAAAACGAAGTGCTACATACTATGGTCCGAGAGCCATCGTTCGAGCTCAGTTTCATGCCATTTGTTGTAGACTATTGATGATATTAGCTTGCGAAAGGAGATTTCCGAATCCATGACAACATACTAGCCTTGCTCCACCAACTGGAAGCTGCCACTACTTCAGTGGACGCGAGCAAACAGATGAGGCCAGTGGCCAGATTCAACTTCATGGTGTTGCTGTGTTGGACAAAATGATAGGAGGGTTTTGGTATTTAGCAAGAATAAAGTATGAATGTGCTAGTGAAGAGAATAGAAATGGAAGATTTTAAAGAGAGCTGCAAAAGCAAGAAAGGGCCATGGATGATTGCTCAGTGACGTAGTTGGGGAATTTGCCTTGGATTGAGCTGGAGTGCATGAATCATCAATTCAATTCTATATTCTGCCCAGATCTGGAACATTTCCAAGTTTGTTTCTGTCATTAATTGATGCTAGAATATGAAATGTATGGATATGAATATATGCTACTCTTCATCAATAATGCTCTTCTGCTCTATACCCTGGTCTCTGTGAATTACCTGATATGGTTTAGCGTGCCTATTTTGGTTTAGAGTGAGGCTGTTAATGCCTGAAATATGAGGCATCGAGTATATTTCACATGATCATATTGGGGAACTTCCCTCCCTTTTAACACCGTCGGCAATTTCCAATATGTGTGCTCGATATGACCGTGAAAAGACATTGAAATACGCCGCCAACGAATCCACATGACATTGGGGTCAGGTACATGATCCCCTTTGATGTGACAACAACGAAACCACGACACGCAATGCCCCAGTAATCAATGCCGTATGTATACCACATCGGAGACCTCAATCCTGGGCGGTCGCGGATTGACCTCGATTAACCACGTAGATGGGGTTTCCTTGGGAGGTATGGAGCGTTCAGTTGAGTTGAGCATGTTGTCCGGAGATTCCATGCTCGAGCTTGCAACCCGCCGCAAGTCCTCCCCTTTTTACAGGTTTGCGGTTTTTCGTCAATGGATTCACCGCTCCTCTTGCTTGCCAATACTTCCAAGTCATTAATTTGTTTAGATTACAATAGTATTTCACATAATTTGCGTGCGGGGGGTTTTAAAAATTAGTAGCAGATGCAATATCCTCCCACTCATCACAGATCCTTAGCTTTGCCTGGGAATTCTCTCTTATCGCACTTATTGCATCGGGTCCTATTGGAAGCCTGAAGGGAAGTTCTTTGCCAATGCATCGACCCTGACCTTTGACGGCATCCACGATCAAATTAGCCGCTTCGAGAGGATCCCCGGGCTGGTTCCCGTCCGCAGCATTACAACCCGCCTTGATTAACTGATTCATCTCCGCATATTCCGGCAATGGGTTCGGTGCTCGGTACAGAATATTGCCTGGCGTCATAACACTAGTACGAAAGTAGCCAGGCGTGATCATACAAGTTCGGAGACCAAATGGCTCGATTTCCAGACTGAGATTAGGCACTAGTCCTTCAAGTAAACCCTTCGAGGCTGAGTATGCGCTAGCACCAGGTGCACCGTAGTAAGCACCCACGGATGACATGAAAAGAATAGCCCCAGTCCGCCTACTCCGCATGTACGGGAGGAAGGCACGTGTAAGATTGAGAGGACCAAGGGCATTGCTGCGGATGGCCTGGGTCAGGAATGCTTCACTGGAGTCGATATCAGGCTTTGGACATCCACAGTACATATTCGGTTTAGGGCTCACTCGATCTCTTCGAATACGCCCGCATCAATGTAGGCAGCATTGTTGACAAGGACGTCAATTTTTCCGTATATTGCCCATGCTTCTTTAGCTTTAGCATTGAGCACTTCTGCTGTTGCTGTGACGTCTAGCTCCATCACAGCGGCTCCTGCATCTTGAAGTGGAGTTAGGCGATCAAGAGCATTTGTGTTTCGCGCTCGAGCTGTTGCAATCACTTGATCACCCTGATTGCGATTGATTAACAAAATCTGGATTGTATCCATGGATGAAAGCAGAAATTAGTAGCGTACCGCCGCAAGAATTGCCCGGACCAGGCATTCCCCCATGCCAGAGGAACAGCCCGTCACGAACCAGGTGAGCTTTTCAGTCATGTTGCTGTAAGTACTACTCCATACACAACACTGGAAAGATGAAAATGTTCGAGAAATAGCGGAGCGGAAAACCGTGCTCTTTTATTTGGGCGACTCCTCACATTACGCGGCCCGTGCTAGGCTTGATTGCTACACGACAGAGTCAAAGCGGACCTATTTTGGGCATCTACGATTGCAGATCATTCACAGGGAGCCCGTAAGCCCACGACTAGGTTATCAGCTCCCCCACCAACTTAGATTTCCACTCCTCTAGAAGACCCTCGACAAATCCTTGCTCATAAAAGGCGTCATTGAAATGGCAAGTGAGATGTATCTCACCCTCACGCGTCCATAGATACGTTTGCAAAACTCGGTTGATAATTTGAACACCCAGCCACCAGTCTTCAATCTCTACCGTGGCTGCGGGGCCTGTGTGAACTGTTGGCAGACGGTCATCGATAACACCAAGTGAGCTGAGCTCGGGATGCGCGGCACCCGGTGCTTGGATCGATAGTTCTAGCGGTGCTGCTAGCAGTGAGGTGGTAGTCTGTACGTAGCATGGCATTATTTCGAAAATTGGTTGTAAACTGCGCTGGTAGTGGGAAGTCAAAATTGTAGCAATAGCATCGTAATCTTTGTTGACACCCAAGTCAATGCTACAGGGCCGGCCTGTATGATATAAACCAGTCGCTCCCTGAGGGCCACTCCAGGGCGCTGGAACTCGATCACGAATGTTATATGCGTTAAAGCAGACTAGGCGCCCATCCACGGGAACCATATGCGGCCGTACAGCAAGAATAAGGGCCGATTGGACAGCTGCTGTCACCCTCAGACCGCGGAGCTTACTCGCCGCGATGAGTTTCCGACTGAGGTCTTTGGAAATACGAGTACTTAAACGGCGCGAGTTCCCGGGTGTTTTATTCTGCAGAGTATGGGTGATAGAGGCGGGCGCTGCCCCACTAGTAATAACGGACAACTCAGCTTCGGTACCCAGTTTCATTTCATCCGTAATGTCAAGTGATATACCAACAGCTTCATCCAAGCTTGGAGGTATGCGTGACACTTCAGAGCCATCAAATTCCAGGGCAGATTGAGGGCCTCTAGCTAGTAGGGTCAAAAAGTCGTGCTGTAGCAGGACCATGCCTATTCCATCGGTACGCCAATGCGGTGTACGGAAAAACAATTCCCTTGACTGTGGTAGATAATGGAGCATGAATAGGGAGGATGGAGGAAGAACTGTATCAAGGCTCTCGGCGGGACGAGTCTCACTGAAGTGCACAATAAATGTCTTCTTTAGCCACTCTTCAAGGGTCTCCGGGGAAGGAACTGTATAGATCAACCGAGAACTTGTCTCATCACAGATAGCTGAGATCTGCGGGTGTTGATGTCGTAGTTCCTTCCACGCCTGGTGTAACTGTGTCAAAGAAGGCACATTTTTAAGCTGAATGACACTGGATATGTGGTAGTGTTCCTTCTGGAAACGCAAGCCGGTTGCTGCAATGCGGTGATAGAAGAGCTCGAGCGTGTCGAAGGGACGTTCGTACTGGCCAAATCCGACCTGCTTCAATGGCATTTTACCGGAAGTGGGAGAGAATCAGGGAACAGATTCACGATTTAGGTCTTTTTGAAGGAAAGGGATTGAAAATATGAGGAGTAGGAAAGGGGAGGACACTATCCACGCAGGCAATCACACTGGAGCTGAGGGAGAACAAATACAGCCGTAGATAAAACTCGGGTCTGATAAAAAGCGTAGCAACATTCCACGGACTATTTATTTGTTGGGCGTCTAATCTGATTTGTGCCAGAGACCAATTCCTCCAGGGCTATCTTCACCCTCAACTTCACCGACTTTTTTATGCAGTGCTATTTCCCTATACTCTATATTTTACTGGCGAATGCCGCCGATCATAAACATTCAGAATTAGGGCTCCCCCCCAGCCCCGCACGGTCCTCTAGAAATCCTGTGCATCGTCGACTATTATACATTCTGGCCGACATATTGGCCAGTATGCGTGACTATGAAGTGAGTGAGTAGAATCCCAGACAAAATGATAACTACAGAGACGATAGATCCTACTTCTGATTACGTAGCTCATGAGTATTTTAAAGATATCTTTAGTGTTTTCAAGCCGTCTGGGTGCTCGGGTTCGGCGTACATTAGAGCTGAACTCGCTGTGCAGACCGGATTACGCGTGCAGGGGAACCCAATTATACGACTTTTCTTGTGCATTGAACATTACATCCACCATCCCTGCTTTTCTCGTATATCCACTTTTATATACCCACTCTGGCTAGCGCTAGGCGCCGTATCAGGCTCTACGTGCATCATGGATTAGGGGGTGAGTAACGGCTGCTAGGTGGTTTCATCACCTGGCCGGGATCATGACTGTGTCTGTATATGTATGTGACTGGTTAGTGTAGTATATGTTTATATGTGGGGTGTCTAAATGCTATGTTGCAATATGACATAAATTTAGGTATACAATAATGTACTCCGTATGGTACGATCAATTGATATGAATAACTCGAGCTTAGGTATGAATTTCAGAATTAGCTTAAGTGCTTAAATATCAAATCGTTATAGTACGAAATGTGCTTTCCTTTACTTCCTAAGCCGATCTTGCCTATCATACAGTAAATTAGAACCCAGAACTCGAAAGGGATTTAATCATTTCAGTTCATTTCAGTTACATTGCTGCTGATTAAAGGTTCTCCCCGTCATGCACAGCCTCCGCCCAAACAACGTACTCAACATTAAAAGCTCAGTACTGTTGATGTGCTCCTTTTACTGTGTTAGATTAGATACATTTCCCTCTCTTTGAAACAATCATTCTTTTCTTGCCGCCTCAGTCCAGATTCAGTGGGTGTGTTTTAAAGTACTCCTCCAGGGTGGTCAATTTGCCTCTGGCGTTGGCCGCGGTCCATGTCACCAAGTCGTCGGTTTCCGAGCCATAATATCCAAAGTCTTGGATATACAGCAACATGTGAACCAAATAGTCGGCCATGTTGGGCGGCAAAAAGTTGCGGAACACTGCCTCCGGAAGTTGATTGTAAACGACCTTCTTTCCTAAGCTTTGACTCATGATCTCTACAATTTCCTGCATCGTGTAAAGCCGAGTAGCAGCAGCAAGGACCTTGTCTTCAAACTCGTCGGGGTTGGCGAGGATGGCGGCCACATATTTACCAGTGTCCTCGATATTGATGAGCGGCAGCTTGGCATTGGGGGAAATGATATTGGCCAGCGCATAGGTCCCATCACCAACAGGGTACGGCTTCATGTTCGTGCTGAAATTTTGCATGAAAGAGCCCGGTGCGAAGAATGCGCTTTTGATGGGTAATGTTCTGATGTAGTCCTCAACTTCGGCTTTGCAGTCGAAATGACGGCCTTTGTCATATTTCCCGCTGGAGACACGAGTGATATGGCAGAGGGTGCTGAAAATGAGGAACTGTGCTCCAGTAGCGACAGCCGCATCAGCGATTGCCTTGCCTTGAGACAATTCACGTTCCTCTAGCCGCTCGTCGTAGATAGTAGTTGTGAGAGAGTAGATAGTGTGGGCACCCTGAAGAACTCGCTTCAAGGATGAAGTGTCTTCCGCATCACCCTCAACAACATCAACTTTGCCCGTTTGTTTAAGAGCCAGCGCCGCGGGACTAGAGGTGTTTCGGGTAACAGCTCGGACTCGATACTCATTGGCAAGGACAGGGTCGTTGATAACAGAATCAATAATAGAGCCGCCCTGATTGCCAGTGGCACCGAAGACAACGAGGACCTTGGCCATCGTATGTTGTATGAGGTTTTGAAAGGTGAGATGTAGTGATAGTCAAAACTCTAAAGGATGTCTGTAATGGTTTGATTTATTGTATTAGAACAACACTTCTTACTTATAAGTGTTAAGAACAATATATACCTATAAAAGAAATTGAAGAGGCAATACTTCGCAAGTAGCTTTCCTTAACTCCGGGAAGACGCGAGACCGAAAGCAGCACCAACGGGTACGCACAGACCGGAACCGGGGGCCTACCTACTGCTTTAACTCCGGGTATAGCCCGACACCGAAGAACCACTTGCTTGTGCCAACATTTCGAGCTTGCTCAACTTTGGTGATATCTATAGTACAAAGGAGATTTGTATTTAGAAAAAGCACTGTGATATCGTTATCTCCAATAAATTCCCCAAGTCAAGATTTACATTCCGCAAGGAGCCATGAGTATGCTGTTGGGATTAATGGCCCGCTGAAAAGCTTTTCATAAGATGCTGTGCTAGTTATGTATGGCAGGCGCATCGCCCTTAGCCACATAGGAATGGTTAGGCTGAGATGCTCAGGTTAGGGTGTCATCTTAGGATTGGTTGATGATCTCGTTTTCGGATAGTGAGTTAGGAAGCGTTAGTTATTCCAACGGTAGAGTATATATTTAGAACCTATCCTTTTTTTTAACTATATAATGACTTTTCTCCAGTGGATCTTTTGAAACATTCTCGCTTTGATCACAAAATATAGTACACAATGAAGCAGGGCAAATGAAAGAGTCGTGAACTTCATGGTGAGAATGACTGATGATCGTCGGAATGATATCTATCACTTCATCCACACAAATGAGATGTCTGATCGCACCCGACTAATCTACCAAAAGGGTTTCTGGGCCTACAATGGCGGATAAAATATGATGTTCTTGTAAAATGGGGTGGAGAAAGCCATAATGATCTTCCGGGCTCGAAAAGCATATCATCAGTGGTTTGCATGATAGACTTGACCACTTCACCCTTCACTTGGCCTGGTCTCAACTCTATCAGTCCGCCCTGACTCTGATAGTATATAAAGAAAGATGCGGCACTAAACTATCTAGGCTCACGGCCCAGCACGACTCGTATGTTTACAGCAGCCGTTGCTGATGTAGCTGGTCTCCCAGCACTACTGCAGACAAATTCTTCGAGAGCGATTTCATCCTGGCCGCACTCATGACACCTCGCCAGGTCAATCTTACTGTACTCTTCTTCAAACAGCTTTTTCATCCGTCGGATCACTTTCCCTCACCGTTTGGTAGCGTGCACCATCAATCAGTTTCTCTGTTGATGTTATGCTATGGATCCATCAACCCACCAGGGGTTGTTTGCCGTATAGATGCCTGGGCACTGTATGATTAAGCTCTCCATGACTCAGTTGTAGGACCAACTCCCCCTGCATCTGAAGCTCAGTGAACTCAAGGCCCAATTCTCGAGTGAGTTGGTATACAAGTGAGACTGGGAGGCGTCGTTGAGCCACTCCGCGCACAAGTTTGCCACGCCCGCCCTATCTGGGCCGGATGGGATGGTCCACGTCTTTCCGCTTATACGCGACTATGCTTCCAATGTCACAGTCGAGAATCCCGCGTCTTGCAGCGAGTGAGCGGCTTGGGGGCCAGATAAACTTGCTCCAATAATGACAACGTCGATGGTTTCCAGTTCAAATGCCATTTTAGCGATCTCAAGCTTAGACTTGTTCTGCTTGCAAACAGAGTAAGGGAACGTATATATTGTATTATTGGAGCAGAAATGGTTATTTCCCGAAACAAATCGAACATCTCGTATATCGAATAAGAAGTGAGCCATGAGTGTACGAGAGGCGCCGGGAACTGAACAATACGATCTATTTTACACTATGAACATATTTGTTGTTGATTAACCAATTCCTCAGCATCTAGCGTCCATTTTAAGTAGATGCCATGGGGCTATAAAAAAATATGTGTAAGCACTCTGTATGCTGAGTGCATTTGACACTAACTAGGGGGCGTGCTTTAGTTAGTTACCCGAGTGGTTATTTAAGGCATTCAGGCAACCGAGCGTCAAGGGATTAAAGCACCGATGCCCAACGAGGTACTCAAGTTGATAATAATACCTTTCGGAATACATTTTCTTTGTCTTTGAAAATAACAATTTCCCTCTCATCTCGTTAAATTAGAGAGCGAAATCTCCAATGTGACGAATTGGTTTAATCAGCTGTTATCACGAGCTCCCGACCCCCGACCTCCTCATTTGAGCTTCATACATTTGAAAGACAACAACAATGGACTCATTAACACCCTACTGCCGCGAGCTGGCCTCGCCAGGCATATTTCAAACTGTCCTATCTGTGTACGTCCCTCCGAACCGAAACTAACAGTTTCCAGTCACTGACGTACCGTATAGCCTGATTATCCTCGGCATCCTCCTTTCATACCTGCCCCAACACATCCGCATCATCGCCCGACGAAGCTCCTTCGGCATCTCCCCATACTTTATCCTCCTAGGAGTAACATCAGGGACATCGGCATTTGCCAATATCCTGGTATTCCCATCCACCGCGCAAGATGTCGCCTGCTGCCAGGAGATCAGTGGGATTGCATGCTTCGCAGGGCTACTAGGTGTCTTCCAGGTGGCCATGCAATGGCTCTGTTTCTTTTCCATGTGAGTCGAACAACGTACTTAGTGGTTTCTGATTCCTAATTCCCGACCGAACACCCACACCCAAACCCACACCCGAGCTTGTCTAACCGTATCTAGTCTCTTGTTATACGTGATCTACTTCCCGCGCGCCACATCCCCCACAGACCCAGTGGACACCGTATCATCCACCTCTAACGGACCGACCTACCGCACCGCGCTCGTCATAACGGGGATATGTCTACTACACGCGCTCGCCACTATTATCATCTCCCTAGCGTTTGAGCTGCGCCAGCCGGCCGCTGTTTCGGCCTGGGCGAACTTCCTCGGTGTCCTCTCTGCGATCCTCGCGTCGATCCAGTACTTCCCGCAGATCTATACTACCTTCCGGTTGCGTTGCGTGGGGAGCTTGAGTATCCCCATGATGTGCATCCAGACTCCGGGAAGTCTTATCTGGGCTGCTAGCCTGGCTGCCCGCAAGGGTTGGAGTGGCTGGAGTATTTGGGGTGTGCTAGTTGTCACAGCCTGCTTGCAGGGTACCTTGTTGACGATGGCAATCTATTTCGAGTACTTCGGGTCCAAGAACAAGCGGGAAGTTGGGCAGCTGGCTGGTCAGAATGGCGCGCCCAATGGGTCGGCTCTTTCTAGTGAGAGTGCCCAGCAAGGACCTGCGCATGAGGAGCAACCATCTGAGGAGACCCCGCTGCTTCAGAGCCAGTGATGTGCGTATAAAAGATTTGCTTCGCGTTGCTTTTATTTAGTGCTATCTTGTAGCTCGATAGAATAGAAATCCAATACAGTTCTAGAATGATCGGTGATCCAAAAAAATAAATTCTTAATAAATCCTTCAATGGGGATATCGCAAGTCGAGGGGTGTCACTTGCGACAAAACGACAGATATCTGACTCGGTCACCTCCAAGGCATATCCTCTTCACAAGAAAGCACATCCCCCTGTCATCGCGTCGTGGTATTTGTTTCGGGGCCAGCAATTTACTGGGCGCTGTAGATCAGACGGAAGACATCGTTGAGCACGAAGTAGCTTCCGGCGCCATCGGGCTGCAGCTTGAAGCACTGGGTGTAGTTCATGGGCTTCTGCTCCTCGTCGACCTATTGATAGAGAAATTGGCATTAGCTAAGAAAACAGAAGAAGTCATGGGCATTCAACATACGAGGAGAGCGCCAGTAACCAGGACAACGATTCCATCTCCGCTGGAGGGCTGGGCGTCGAAGGTGGCAATCTGGTGCTGAACCTTCTGGAAGGGCAGAGCCTAGAGTCGCAAAATCAGTATTGGAGTATTTGTGAGGAAGGATTTTGGGGTGACGAACGCTGAGCTTCTCAGTGATGGCAGAGACACCCTGGACCGAGCTGGTCTCGAAGGTAAGCATAGACTGGTCACGCTGTTGGTTGATAATTGCTGTTAGTCCACATTCACATATCTCTCGCTTGCAAGTGTATCTCTAGAGCGGGACTTACGTAGAGGCCAGCCAGGCCAGCGCGGTTTCCGTCAAAGGTCTGGTAGTAGAACTGCACAAACTGCTCTGTACAGGTTGATCACAGGTTAGGACACGATTCTTTGTGTGTTATATAACATCCATCTCTTGGGGCATCATTTCCACCTAGGATGGCCGGATCGTTGGGAACAGGCGCATTGCTGGATCTGTATGCATGGACCAGGAAAGTGTGGGTATAACGTACGAGCGATAGCGTTGAAATCTATACAAATCACCAAGTTTGTTAGTCAATTTCTTATCTTTCATGTTCACATTGTTTTCTTCGTCGGTTCCCATCGCGTTGCGCAACATAGTCACACACTGCTATCTGGGATCCAAACGATCAGACCCCTCCATCCCCTTCGGGAGGGACATATATAAACCAAGCGCGAGAGAAAAACATACCAGCCATTTTGAGATACTTGTGGATTTGAAATAAAAGAAAGGAAAAGGGGATGCGACTGTATTTGAAGGGTACAGGAAGTTGAACGCGAAAGGAGAAAGGTATTTGTTGATGAGGGGTTGTGGGGCAGGAAATGTTCTGCCGATGATGCCTGGCTGCCTTATGTATTGAAGAGCCTCCGCTTGACAGGTCTTTTGAGTACTACTGCGTACAACTATCTTTTATCTATATGAGAGAACATGTTTTAAATAATCATTCATTGTTCATTGTTAATCATTACAGGTATCTTTCAGGTATCGTCCAGTGCTATCCATAATCTGTACAATTACAATCATGCCCAACCTTACTCCGAATCCGAGGCAAACATGTCTTCGGCTTTGGGTCGTGGCTTTCGTCGTCGTGTTTCTGGCTCCTGCTGCCCAGCGGATTCTTCGGATTTGTCAGATTGAGTTGGGTGCTGAGGTGGGTGCTGAGGTAGCTGGGGTATCTCGGTTTGGGTATCTTCATCGCCCGATGGCGGCGCCTTAAGCATGGTCTTCCCATCAACAGTCTTCAAGTCACTGGTTTCCATTCCAGTTCCCTCCATTCCATGCATTGATTCGTCCACTGCGTGGACAGAGGTAAATGGCTTGTTCTCATTCGCAGGACCAGTAGGGTCAAACTTTCCACCCCGCTCATCATCAACTGTCTTCCATCGACTCTTGCTTTTGGCAAATGCAACAGCCGCCTGATCTGCATGGGCCTTCTCCGTCTCCTTTTGCTTCTGTAATTCTGCTTCTGTGGGTGGTGGGTTTTCAAACACTTGGGTGAAATGCTCTTGGTTCAATTGCGTAAAACAACACCACCCTTCCCACAGATGTAAAAGAACGCCAACGCTGCGCTTCCACTTCTCTGCTTTCAGTCGTCCCCATTTCAGGTCTTTATCCAGTCGACCAAGGTGCTCAAACACCTTGCGTGAACGGAGGGCGTTTTCAAACAGCTGGCGGTATCGCCATGCATGGCGGACGCCACTGGTTGCTGAAGACGAGAGAATATCAGAGATTATGTAAAGACCGACAAGCTTCGCGGAGGACTGATCCAATAGTTCATCGGATGGTGGTAGATTGTCATTGTCAGTAATTGCAAGTCTAGCAGTACTTGTTTCCAATTCCCGATGTGGGTTGGCTCCTGTATAAGCGAGTGGCCGGAAAACGTTGCGAATGGCCATGTCCACAACCTCGGATGCCCCCGATGCCGCATGATCGATGGCGAATGCTGTCAGTCGCACAACATCTCCTCGTCGAAGCTTTGAATGGGTCGTCGGAAGTCGTGCAAGAAGATGAGTAAGCTTGGCCATCTTCAAGGGGTTCAAGAAGTTAGGATCATGGCTGTGTGTGTTGGCTCCATCCGGAGGTGCTCCGGCAATATTCCGTCTATCATCTTCTCCATCCGAATGTTCTTCGTCAGATGAGTCGTAGTCGGGGTGTGACACAAATTGTTCCATGCGAGTAACGTTCTCAAACTTGAGATGCTGTTTTGGAGGTAACCAGATCGGACCACCTTCAAAGATCATAGCCGGCTTATCGATGTTCTTTTTCTTGGGATCCGTGATTATTTGCCACAATTTCCACCGATAGTATACACCACCAGGCGACCTTGGATCGAACAACCATGCCCACTTTTCGTCCGTCTGGACTTCTGGCCGACTCATCAACAATGCCTCAAATCCCGGACCCTGTTTCACGAGTTGTTCAATAGTCTTGTGTATCTGTCTCAACACTCTTATGTCTGTCGGTAGCTCCACCTGCACCTGAGTGGTCGGGCGGTTTCGGCCAACAGTTGATCCATACGAGCTTGGGGGAGGGATTCCCCCGCGATGTGGTCCTGGTGGTGGAGCTCGACTCAAGCTTGTGCCGGAACTCGGTGGAATAGGCTTGGCGCCAAACGGAAGAGAAGTAGTAGTCGACGGGAGGCCGATAGGCAAAGGCATGTTTGAATTGATCGAAGTAGAAGAAAGGTGTCGACAGAGGGTCAGGTAGTACCCCAAACCGAGGTATTTGTTCTGAAGCGTGCTCACGGCTGTTTCGATATTAGACGCGGCCGAGTCGCTTGTGAGGGTGACGAGTGCAGAAGAGGACTCCCGGTGGCTTGGCAATTGTCCGGGTGGTTTGATGATCTTGACATTGTCCACAGTGAGGGTCGAGGGAATCAATGACTTAATAACCGACGGGGATGTCCCAGGAGGAAGCGATGCAAGATACAACGTGGGCTTGGGAGCTGCCCTCTCCTCCTCGTCAAGTACTCTGTCGGCTTCAGATGGAGTAAGCATGTTTTCAAATTTGAGATGGTCGCGACGGGAGGGAGGGAAAGTTTCGTGGGAGCGTTTGTGTGAAAGTGAGGGCGGCGGGGGTCCTAAATGTCCATGGCCACTGCCGCGTGAAGAGGAAGCTGCGAAATGACGCCTGGGGGGACCACCACCCCTGCCTCTAAACGTATTCGATCCTCCATCCAATGACTGTGGTACAACTGAATCCTCATCTTCGAAAGATTTGACAAATTCTTCATAGACTGCAGCTGTCTCTGCTTTTTCCCGGGCACGTTTGGCCTCCGCTTCGGCTTTTTGACGTTCAAAAAGTGATTTCTTTGGAAGCGCGGAGAGTTTCGCTGAGACGTCGGGGAAGCTCTTCCCCTTCGACTCGTCCGGCATGATGAGAATCAGCTGTGACTGCGGTAACACTGGCCAGCTTCAAACATAAGCAGAATGAAGAAATCTGATAGAAATCTAACGAGATAGGAGTGCTAGAAGAACTAGAAGAGCGGACATCTTAAACATTAGACAACTTGACTGGGCTACTGTAGGCGGTCGAGCTTCATCGAATTAGCGGGCGTTCTCCGTGGGCACGTGTCAGGCAGTACTTTTACTTGAAGTAGTAGGCGGTCGAGCTTCATCGACGTTTAGCTTATCGATAAGAATATTAATAGAAACGATAAGAAGCTGAGCATTTTGACATCCATCCATGGATGTTCATGAACCGTCTAGTAGTATAACATCGAGAGATTGTTATCTCTAGGAAGCCTCTCGTATATCCTCATTAAAGAGTTGGAGCAGTGCTTTTATAATCACTATTTATTCTAAACCTACTGACTATCGTGATACTCTTGAGTCAATTAATCTTGCCATGCGAAAATCTCCCGCAATGCTCGAAAAAGCCCTAAAATTTTCAAATGGGCCAGGATTATCAACCAAACCCTTTCGTTAATCATATATAACCAATCTGAGATTCTTATCCAGTACCATTGGTGGTAGTTGACGCGGCCGAAGAGAACCAAAAGTCTCATTGAGTATGAGAAATCGCTGAGGAAGTACCATAGGTACAACCTATGACTTATATTTCAATCATTGAAATCAGAAGTGAAACAATTCCCAACATGAAGAAGTACATAGTACATATGTGACCGCGTCAAAGCTACCTAGATATCCCCGGAAGGAGGCATGCTGTCATCATCGTCATCCTTATACGGCCAATTACGCCAACAGGTCTCCTGCTGGCCCTCCTCTGCCTGCCGAACCATTTCATTACGGAACTGTTGATTGAACTTCATTGCCCTCTCAAAGTTCTCTGGCTCGGTACCACCTTCCAGGTCGATATCGAGGTGTTCTCTAACCTGGGACAATAGCTGTTCAGACTCGTTCCATTCCTGTAATTCAGCTATAGCAGCTTTTCGTTCTTCATCGCTGAATACTACTGGACAAACTGCTGAGGAGATGCTGCTCTATACAGATGGAGTGGTGATGCCTACTAGTGCAGCACGTAAGGTAATTACGTCTGCGTCCCAAGGATACTCTGTTTGGCGGAGGACATACTGTCGCATTCCGAGATAAGGAGTTTTCAACATATCCATGTGTTTGTCATTGTGTACACCTGTCGCAGCTGTGTAATAGAGGTTGGCCTCTTCTAAGCGCAAGGTAGCCCTGGATTGTCTTTGTTGATCGATGTCCATCTCATCGAAATCATCGGGGAGAGATGGAATATGTAGACTTTGAGGCTGGGAGGAGTTGTGCTTACAGAACACGGGATAACCTGCTTGCATGAAGCGAGGGAATATCACGGCATCCTGCTAATCAATGATACTGATGATTTTAGTTGACCTAGGTGTCAATAAAATATTGCTTAGGCTCAAGTCGGGGTGTCTTAGTGTCAGGGTAGAATCTAGTTGAATTAAATGAGGCGCCAACTGTAGGAACTTCGAAAGTAACGAGGTTTGCTCAGAAGGAGAAATGTTATACTCAGTCGGTAGAAGAAATGTCTGGCGAGGCTGAGCTTTAGCGTGATGTCGAATGATAGCTATCTCCCGGCGAGCCGTGGACGTAACATAGTCCACGGGTAAAAGCCCTGTAGCAATGATCAGTTCCGGTCGTATAGTTTTTTTTGCTAACAATCAAGAGCCAAAGGGAAAGGGGAAAGGGGGGAAAGGGAGAAGCCTACAGGGTCCACGGTCAATTTCTGTTTTACTTCGTTCACCATGCCAAAACTGCCGCGCAGACATAGGGCCGATACAGAAATCGTCCACGATTGGTACCCGGGTTTCGCTGTCTTCGAGGTCCTTTTTGTGATATAGGCTTCCATACGCAGGAAAATTGAAGTCAAAAATCTTTCTCTCCATATCTGCAATTTGTGTCATGACGCCTTTTACCTCGTCGGTCGTGACGGATAACCACCGTGAGGAAAGACTCTCTCCCTCCACTCGCTCCATCAGAATATACTTTGCGCCGATAGAATTGTCCGATAATGTTGAATATGCCAAGATCTCCGGTACCGGCAGCTTAAGGACAGTCCGCAAAAACTTCATCGTTGCCACCTCACTGGCGGTTGTATAATGACGAGGCCCGGCAATGGGAGTAGGAATCCGTGCGATCACTTCACGGCCATTCTTTGCTCGCAGAAGAAACACTTTGTTGAAGCCTCCCTCTGCAAGTTTAGCAATATCAGGGCAATAGCCTTGTTGTACTGCTTCGCCGGCAATCCGTTGTAGCTCTGTTGGTCTAAACTTGACATATCGTTCGCTTAAACGGTCGCTCTCATTAAATCTAGCTCACATTTATAACAGTAATCAAATTCATGATAGGCTCTAATAGCGCTCACTTACATCCATCGTTGCGATGTATTCTGAAAGAATTCCTCGCCGGGTGCTTGTGAGCTAGTGGAAAAGTGATGAGAAACAGACAGCTGCCCAGAGTAGACCCATGTTTTGCGAATACAGGGAATGGGTGATATAGGCTAACATGAGTGCACAAAGTTGTGCCCTGGTTAAGTTCACCGCGGAAGTATGTTGAAAATGAAAGCTCCATAAATGCCAGATCACCCTGTGACTGCCAAGCCCATAGCCGGCAGCTGTGGCATGGCGACCCCACCGTTCCCCGGAGCTACACCACTCCCGGGGGGCTGTACAACATACAAAATGGGTCTGCTAAAAATTAGGCTTCTTGTATATAATGAAGGACCATAGTGCGCATTAATGTAATCAGGAATAGACAGAGGGAAAGACAGAACCGAGATGATTGAGTTCTCGATTTTTAGACTTTACGTTCGTTTGTAACAAAGAATATTCGTGAATATATATTCGAGAAGTGTTGCGCTATAGAATAAACACAAGAATACAACCCTGGCTGAATAATTCCTCGGTTCTTCAATCTATCTCATCAAGCATTCGGCCTTGTTTCCTCAACTGTCTCAATTGTTTCTGTTGTAGACTTACTTTGAGGACCCTCCTCTAGAGCAATATCCTTCCCCACGGAAATTGTAACATTAAGCTCAGTGTCCCGGTGACTATCCATGACATGTTTATTGAAGACGTTCACGTAAACGGGAAAAGCCAATGCGAGAACGAAGCCCATCATTGGGATTGCCATGGCAATGTGAGCATTCTTGTTTGTCTGAAGAGTGCTGCAATGTTAGTACTCGAAACTCGGAAAATCCCTAAAAGTCAGGTTATGTAAACGAACCACAATAGCTCCCATCATAGGAGGAAAGACCATGCCACCTGAGATGGCCGCAACAAGCAGAGAGCCACCACGCTTAGTGTGACGACCAAGGCCACGAAGAGCTAGAGAGAAAATGGTTGCAAAGCAACACTGATAAGAATTTTTGTCAGTTATAGGAGCTCGGCTCGCAAATTCATCATGTTGCTCACCGACTCAAAACACAAGACAAGGATAATCATCGCTACTGAAGTATAGCCCTTTGTGGTCATGGCGGCCACCGAGAAGACGCAGCAGAGGATTAAGTACACTGTCAGCATATATCGGGGTTTGAAAGCTTTCATCATCATCAAGCCCGTGGCCACAAATCGGTTGAAAGCGTACAGACCCTGCGCAATGGCAAGCAAGTCGGCTAGGAGAGCATCGTTAGACTCCAACACCTAAGCGTGGTCTTCTTTATATAACTTACATGATTCTGCAGAGGTTTTGCCAGCTTCTTTGCAAAAGTTGATAAAATAACCAGCCACAGCCACTTGTGCTCCCACATAGCAGAACTGGCTCCACACACCGAAGAACAGATTATATTGCTTTTTGAACGGGCCGGTGTCTTCGCCATGTTCGGAGATCTGCGCTTCCAGTGCTTCCTGATCCGCATCTGTGATCTCAGGGAAGGGAGCGAGCCAGAAGAGAATAATAAGCAGAGCGACAAAGCAGGCCACCCCGAGGTATGTCCATTGCACATTCTTCAGTCCGGCATTGTCATCCACGGTGTTTGCAAAGAAGACACGAGAGGCCAGGAGAGGGGCAACAAAAGTCCCCACTCCCTGGACAGCTTGGCCTAGGTTCAGACGGATCTCGCTATATTTTGGAGGTCCGCAGATCGAGAGGAAGGGGTCAGCAGCAGTCTCTAAGGTGGATAACCCAGCACCAACAACCTATTAATAGGGTTAGAAGTATATCTCGGAGCGAGTTGTTTTGCTTCACGTACAAACATGCTACCGCAAAATCCACCAAATGACTTTTTCACGCCGCTAGGCCAGAAGAGAAGGCACCCAACAGCTAGAACGGCGAGGCCTGGCTCACAGAAGGATATGTTAGCTGGCGACAAAATGGATCCTGGAAATAATCTCGTGTCTCTTACCGGTCATGAAGGTAACTCGGAATCCATACTTGCGGGCGATCCAGCCGGATATGGTTAGTGGGCAAATGAAGTAGGCACCAAAGTATGAGGCCTGTAGGCCACTGGACTTGCTAGCAGTGATATTGAGGGTTGTTTGGAAATGGGAGTTCAGAACATCCAGCAGTCCGTACGCGAATCCCCAAAGAAAGAAGAGGATCATAACTACAGAGATGTTAGAAACTTGCCATCAGATATATCGAGCCGATATATACCTAATGCATTCGGGAGTAGAGACTGTCGTAGAGTCAAATGAATTGCTGATGTGACAGCATTGTCCTCAACAGTGATATTCCGCTTGAAATATACACCCATGATGGCTCGTTGGATTATCAGTAAACATAGACTTGTTGATACGTAATCTTGCAACAAAATCGAACGTAGAAGATGATGTGGACTTTATAAACAAACCCCATATTTTCCCCAGCTTTTCCCCAGCTCTGCATGGAGCCACGAGGGTTCCGGCAACGGGATAATGCGCAGCGAAGCCACAAAATTCTCTTCGGATCAGCTGCCATTCGTCCCTAGCTCACTAGAGATTATCTTGTATTGCATACCATATCAGACAGACCAATCAGAGCTTTTTATGGAAGAGTAGCTTCACATATGCCAATTAGCGTGGGCAGGGGTGGTTCACTTTGGTTAGTGGACCGAATACGAAGCTGTTTAGGTTGTTGGATGTCGGGGAAGTTTGGGGCCGAGAGACTCCTCACATTTTTACATGATCTGAGGTTTCATCGAAAGGCCCGTTGTAAACTGTGCACCTCATGATAGCGTTTCTGAAGATCCACACCCTGTCCAATAATAAATGGTGGCCCGAACCGCTCAATAAGGCCTTACAAGTCGGAGCGCCCACAGATCTCAAACGGTCATCATTAGACCGATAAGCCGAGCAGAGAGAGTATGGGGTTATAGCCAAGCAAAGTATATTCCTGTTGTACCATGCCACGCTTACTTTCACCTGTAGTCTGAAATATGCGGTCGACTATGGTTCATGCATTGTAGGGTCCGGTATTGGCTTAGAAGACTATGGGCAGGGGTTGCGGAGGGAAATCAGGAAAGCGAAATTGCTTTTGCGTCCTTGTTGATATGTATGTGTGAAGTTGAAGACTTTCTGTATATCTGGTGTCTATGTGCTGTGCGATAGAGTTGGATCTACATCGGATCATCGCCCTTACTCCACAGGACCAGCTCGAATGTCTCATATGATGCAGTGATGGGCTCCACAATGCACTGAGTCATGTTAATAAACATGCCTAGGTACCGAGAACAGCGTATGAAATGCATTCAGTAATATATAACTAGGCGAGGTATATTGACCTTGACCTCATGGGGCTGGAAACTTTTTAGCTCTATCAAACACCTATTACACCTTCCTATATCCCATTAAAGCATTTTAATCAGATTTATTTTCTCTGAAGAATAGCTGATTTGCGCTTCGCACTCTTGCTGTACATTATGCGATTCTTGATATAGAAACATGGCTGATCTATATTACCTATAATGTAGACCAACAATAATTTTGTGTAGTTATACTATATCAAATATAAATTTAATATTTGCTAATATACAGAAAAGAGAATACGGAGAACTCTTTCGCGATGGGTAATTGAGAATTTTCCAGTTGTATATGATACACTAACTATTGTAGATCTAGATAGTTTACTAGTTACAAGTGATGGATGAACCAGGTCTCTGATCAGGCGGAGGAAAGATCTCGGGTTCTCTCAAAATGCTGGTAGATACTAAGTGGAAATCGAAACCGACGTACCAAATACATATATCAGATGGAGTCAGATGGAGTCAGATGGGGTTGGCCCTGGATGGATCCCGTTACGCACGCAACCCCGTCCTAGAGGGGCTGGACCGAAGAAGCCGCGGATGGCTGAAACTGTTGACCCATACGGCCTTCCTCGGATGACTGTGTTGGGACTGAATATCATACCCCTTCCGGGTATGAGTAGACAGGTCTTCCACGGATATGTTGTACGATGCCCGATAAATCTCCAAGCCCTAAAACGAAGATACGAATGGATATCATAGATGGATAAACACGAAACCGTATATTCCAATAGACTTTTGTTTCAACTCCAACAGCGAATAGGGGATGTCTGAGGGATGATCAGCTCATAAAAAAGGTATGATCATGATAGGTGAACAAATCTGCATTTTTTGGAATACGATTAGTCCGCAAGACATTGAATCCGAGTTGTCCGTTCAGCCCTGATATCTGAACGTTCCGATTTTCAGGTTGAATTTTTTTTTTTTTCGTGAGCCCAGACTCGAGAGTCCTTGAACATTGGTTCGGCAGGGTCCATTTCTCCAGTTCGTGAATTCCAGACCCAAACACACAAAGGGGTTTGGTATTCTCACATTGAGAAAGAAATCGATTCAAATTCGATCTATAGCCAAAAAATTTGGGGATATTGGTCTAGAGCTAGGTAGCTGGAACGTGTGTTTCGTATTATAGTACGGAGATACTAGGAGAGAATATCAAAATAGCACAAGATAGTATGCAGCGTGCATAGTGGCGAAGTCCGTTCAGGCCCACCGTAGACGGGATGGGCTCGCTAGTTGGTCGCCCTAGTCGTAGTAGCGTAGACAGAGGAGTCCTAGGCACGGAGTACGGAGTAGATCATAGTACATTATTGTATGTTATACATTGTACATTGTATGTTGTAAAATAAAATGAGAAGATTTGAAAAGAAAGAAAAGCGAATAGAAAAAAAAAGAGAAAGTAAATAGAAAAAGTCCCCTAACAAAACCCCCCAGGAGACGGTGCAAATCCCAAAAGCCAAGAATTTCAGTTGGTCCGAGTGTGGTCGACTTCTCTCTCTCCCCCGGCTCCCCTCAGTAAACTCGTCACACTAAAGTCTCAATCTCCTCCCTTCCCTTCTCACCTTGACTTTCTTAACATCCCATCTCTATCATTTAGAACATATCTTCTTACTCTTTATTATTCTTCGCGAATCAGTCGGCTGTATCTGCTTGCTCCCCATTCCTCGCCCATCCTCGCCGGGTAGCGAAACGGATTGATCAAACAACGAGGTGGCCCGACAGGGCTGCCAGACCGATAGGAAATGTCTGGTCATATTTCATCGGAGCATTCTCGCTCTGATTCACGATCCTCTCACACGCCACGAATCTCCGGCGATTTGACACCTCGCCACTCCTTCGGTCGCACCTCTTTCTCCAACCCAAATGTCTTCGCCGACGAATACTCATTAGAAACCATTGACTCCGATCGCATCCAACGCCCCCACAGTCCCTCTTCCATCGCATCCTCCTCTACTCTTCGAGAAAATACCCAGTCAAGGACCGTCAGCACGGCCCCGACCGAGAACGAGAACCCTTTTGGTGATGACGCTCGGGTGTCCTTCGATGAACCTCATCGGTCAAGTCTGCCCCAAAAGGGGTACAATTTCGCCAACAACCGTAACTCCACCTCCTCTCTCAACTCTACGCCTTCAATGATCCAGCGAAATCAAAGTGTTTCTTCTCGTTTCTCGATTCCCCGCGCCCTCAGCCCCTACACCGGAGCCACCGGACCCAGCCATCCATATGGTATGTATCCACAAGTTGGGGTTAGCCGGTCGCCTAGTGTTGGTAGTACTTCGACGATACGCCCAATCGAACGTCCACTTGAAGAATCCAATGGTCCACAGCACCCCTATGCGATGTACTCGCAGAATGTGGTCGAGGAAGGAATGGATGACGATATCATCCCAGTCGGATTTCCAGGCCATAATCCACCATATCAACCGCCCGCTGGTCGTCAGGCTGATGACGTGGGTGATATCATTGGACCGGATGGTCACGCAGAGCCGCTACCACCCTATTCACGCTATCCAACTGGTGTTGTACCCAAGCCTCCAGGGGCTGAGACGACGGCCGATATCAGCACTCCACCGGAGGAACACCGACTCAACAATGAAAGCCTAAGAGCACCACCGATCTCAGAAACCTCATCAAGGCCTTTGGTGCCTGCATATTCTGGACTTGGGAACGATGGTGGGAACGGGGAGGAAAGAGTCGCTGCGACTACAGGCATCATGGCCTTCGAGGAGAAACTCAAACGCAAGGGGAAACAGACTGCATGCTGTGGCCTGCCGGTGTGGACGTTTGTCCTCATTGCAACTGTTATGCTCATCGGAGGGTGTATTGGGGGTGCCATTGGCGGTGTTTTGGGAACCAAGAAGGCCGCCGAAGCTGCAAAGCAAGAAGACCAAGAGGCTCAAAAATCTAGCGCGTTACCAATTATCACGGTCACTGCAACTCCTCAGATGGATGCGTCCATGATATCCACCCCCACCTATCTGAAACAAATCCCAACGGGTCACTTTGTGGTTCCTTCCGGTTATCAGAATGGATCAGGGCTTTGCGTGGACGAGTCGAATTACGGGAAAGCCTGGAAATGCCTGCAATCGCCGAGCAAAGTTGATATTTTTGTCGGCGAATACAAAGGTCATCATTCCATCGTTTTCGACAACAGTTCTCCAACCCCGACTTTTACATACGGTGCCCAGGCGCCATATTGGTCTGCTTCGCCTACACAAGCACTGAGTATGGCCATTGATACCACTGATATTGGCATGGGCCCTGCTCTATTCTTCCTTGCTCCGTTCGACAAGTTGGTCATTGTCCCAGACGATACATTCTCTAACTCCCTTTCCAAGCGCTCGTGGGTGGAAGACGGGTGGGTGAATGCAAACGCCTACAAGAACCTGAAGCAGACTGCATCAATCGGCGACAAGCCGTGGTTCTGTTGGTGGAATAACACGATGATGGAGTTCTTCTTGTATGTCAACCAGTCGACGTCGCATTCCTCGACCACTACCGCTTCCACCAACAGCGACATGGCGGCAAGCACAGCTGGCGTAACTACTGACTCCAAACGCGACGAATCCTCCACTTCTGATTACCCACGGAGGATCAAGATGGAGGAGCGTCGAGACGACCCATCACGCGAAGCTCCTTACTGTCAGCAAATGCAGATTCGCAATGACGGGGGTTTGGCGCTTCTCTCGGGCAATATCATCAACATCAAAGAAAATGAGCCCACGCCGACTACTACCTACACCAATTATAAAGGTGGCACTGCCCAGACATACACTGCCCAGGCATCTTACGCCAGCCCGTGCTACTGCGTGTCTCTGACTGACTAGCCGGAGGCAACCTCAAACAATATCATTTATTCATTGTAGTCCCTCCTGCTGCGGACACAGGCGTTGGCGTTGGATTGGCCAGCCAAATGGCCTCAAACTCATGTGCACATGATCCTCTTCCTTCTTGACTGTGTGATTTTATCTTCCTTTCGTCCCCGCAAGCTACTGGCCTTGTGGGGTGTTTCGTTTCTTGCATTATCCGTGACTATGCTCCCCCCCTCTTTTTATTGCCGACTGTCATTGCGGTATGACATGATTCTCACTACTTTGCGAGTTATTCTTTCCATCTTTCCTGGGTTATATTTTCTCGACCTGTTGATCGGCTCTTACTGGTTTCGACTCTGGCGTTCATTGGATAGGTATGGTTCAGGTACTGCGATATGCTTGATCATATATCGTTCTCATCTACTATGTTCTTAGGATGCTAGGTTGAATTTTATCCTATCTTAGCATTTGACGGAGGAGCAGTTCTATCATCATCTCCCTCAATCATATTGCAAGACAGACAAGCTTTACCGGTTTTTACCCTGTGTAGGATAACATATAATATTAGCTCTCAAAGGGAATTTCTGCCCCATGAATCTCTAAATAAAAAAACTTTAGACACGGAATAGTAGAAGCCGAAGTATATCATATCTTATATCGCTAGTTTATGCTTAGACTACTCTCTGCATGGTACTCCGTGGCCCTCGCTTTGTTAGGGTAGGTGAGTGACGGACCCGTGCAGCGGCGGGTGAGTGGACCCCAGAGTAGATGACTCAGCAATGCATCACGTGCTGAAATACTACACGTGACCATCTCCCAAGACCAGCATGCAGGTTTGGAAAATGACGGGCAATGAATAGCAAGGGAAGCGACAGTCATACAATCATTAAGTCTAAAATAGGATAGAGCTCAAGCAACCCCTCGACGCTTGAAAGAACGCAAGGTGTGCCTTATATCCCCTCCCTGGTGCCTGATTAGGAGCTCCCGCTCGACACCTGAGGCAGGCACACTTCCGACAACTCGCACCTTGCACCCCATTCCTCTTGCAACCTCTCCATCTCATCGTTCCCCCATCCATTCCTCTCCCACAGTGTCATCTTCTTTTCCCAATACCCTCCCTCTTTCGATATCGCATGATCTTGCGTCTATTTCATTGATCTGCTTTATCGATTTCCCCCCGTTTATTGCGCCTGTGACTTAAAAATCTGTCTTTGGACCTCCAGATCAAATGATCGCGTCTCCTAGATGACCTTCCCTCCCCCTCACCCTTCCGCCCAATCGTCGATTGCTTCTGGCACCGATAAATCTTCTTCGACCAGGACCGATATTGGTGCCTGGGGTCGGTCCGTGTCGCAATCCGGCGCACGTCGTGGGTTGACTCCACTCGCGACCAACATATCCTCCGCCGCTCCCCCCACGGCTTCCCGGGGCTTGGACGCAGGCCTTGGGGTTTCGACACCGTCTTCTTTCTCTGCCGTGCTGAGTTCTGCTAGGGGTCTCTCCGGCGGAAGTCCCAAACACACATCTTCGCCCTTCACATCATTGCAATCTGGCTCGCAACAGCACGCAACAACCCTCTCGTCTCCTAAGTTCCGAGCTCACACCCCTTCCATAGGGTCCCATTTGGCCTCTGCTACAGGCTCCACCCCGGGTGGAGGAGGTACTGGGGGAGGAGGTGGTGGGCCGGGATCTTCCAGAGGCGTCTTCTCGCCGCTCTCGTCCGGAACAACCGTGAATTCTCCCACAGGCTTCGCTTCTGACAAGCCGGGTTCGACAGCCGCCCACTCGAGCCAATCGTCGCTCACCAAAATCTCCATTGCTCAGGTGTTCCTGTTGCTGGATTCTATCACAGAGAAGGAAGGAAAAGAGAAGTGGGAGACAAAGGCTGCCCAGATACACAAGGTTGGTGGTGCTGCCATATATCCTAATCGACTCGATTCTAATATCCGCAGCTTGTGACATCGAACGGAATGGAGGTCTTTTCCAAATACTTTCGCCGCCTCCTAACAGGAAATGCGCCCCAAATCTTCCCGGGTGTCAACAAGTCCGTTGAGAATGCGGGCAACTACCCTCTCCTTGTCCAGGAGCTGCAAAAAGTGTCCTCGGACATGGAGCAAGCCCAGAAAATTGCTGAGACAGTAGATACCTCTGAAGGAGACATCTTCCGCGACTTCGACCTTTCTACTTTCCTAGATCATTTCCGACTCGACCCAGTTGTCAAGGTTGCACTTGCGTTGGCTTTTAAGCTGACTAGCAAGTCGGATCTTCGTGCTAAAGGTATGCCTGCTCCTTCACGTCTCTGGATTAACTCTAACCACCGCCGTTAGCCGATGCCATCCTCTCGAATTCCATTGCTCCTTTCTTGCAGAGCTTGGCCAGTCCCACCGAAGTGACCAAGGATTACCACAACTCCTTCCTTGGTATGACGATTGAACGTTTCATCTTATACCCTCCCCGCAATTTTACCGACGACGTCAAGGCGAAGCTGGTTTACGCAGCCAATCTGCGATACCAAAAACTTGGCTTGGATATGCCATTCGAAGTTTCCTCTGCCCTACAGATGTTCAACTTTGTCAACCCTCAATATGTCCTTGTGCGACAGCTTCATGCTAAGGGAGCTCGTGCCACTGCAAATATCGAGACAATAAGTGAATTGCTAAACTCAGACCAGAAGAACTGGAGCGAAGAACATCTAGCCAGCGCGCTTCTCTTCATGATCTTGTCGCAATATTGGGAACAATTCTCACTAGAGATATTCTTAAGTGCATATACCGACAAGCCAATCAATTGGCCCCTCGTGTTCCGACACTTCGATCGTGAGGGTCTCCGAGTGGATCCGAAGCAATTCAGCAAATTGTACAGCGTTCTTTCCGCCGTGGCGGTCGACGACTCGTCTTTGGATGTTCAAAAGCTTTGGGGTGGAGACTGGGAGCATCGTGACACGCAGATGTCATTCCTGACAGCTTTTGTGGCCTCTCGGATCGACCCATCGCACATTAACAACCTTCGCGCAACTTTCCCCACCGACTTCTTTGAAGATGCCCCTGATATCGTCAAACTGCAAGGCGAGCGTGCGGCAAAGTCACCTCTTCGGTCTATGGACGCTATGAAAGCAATTTTCGACCTCGCTTTGTTCTCCCAGGCTTCATGGGCTGCGACAGAAAGCCAGCTTCTTATAAAGGCGGTTGTCCAATTCGATTTGCCAGTTTTCCTCGTTTCCGCTCTTGCTGTTCCCCAACCGTGGTCCAGTGTCCAACAGAGCTTTGTGCTGCGCACATTCATCGTCTTCATCTCGAAGCAAGAGGATGGGTATCAGCTCGCTCTTCACGGTGCGTGGCGACAAGATCGACAGTGGGTATCAGAGCAACTTTTCACCACTTTCACCCAGGATCCAACGTCCACCGCTGTGATCTATGAGCACGCCGCGGCATACGGATGGCTCGATTATCTCCTTGGGTTCACCAACGGTCTTGCTCTCGATCTCGCCTGCTACTCCCACCGCAAGAGTCCCTTTGATCTTGAGCAGTGGGTTCGGAATGCCGCACAGAAAGGTGCCATTGACATGGGTGGTTTGCTTTCCAAGTTCCTGCGAATCAAGGCCGAGGACGAATTGCACGTCCAACGGAAGGAGCAGTCTGCTCATCAAATGGTCAGCCTTGCAGTCAAGACTGTTTATACCCTTTTGTCTGTTTTGGAGGAATATGTCGGGGACCGCGAAAATCTCACACCAGTTCAGCGAATTTGCATTCAGACATACCCTCGCCTGATCAATTACGGCGAAGGGTTCGATGATATCATCGACGCTAATGGGGAGAACGGCAACACGTTGCCTGACTCAATTGACAAGCAAATGCAAGAGCTCTTTGGTAAAATGTACCACGAGGAACTCTCGCTTCGTGAGATGCTGGAGTTGATGCGCAAATACAAGTCTTCGCGTGACCCCACAGAACAAGATCTGTTTGCCTGCATGGTGCACGGCCTAATCGACGAATATCATTGCTATCATGAGTACCCGCTTGAGGCTCTGACCAAGACTGCGGTCATGTTTGGTGGTATCATCAACTTCCGTCTTGTTGACGGCATTACGTTGAAGGTTGGTCTCGGTATGATCCTCGAGGCTGTCCGCGAACATGAACCCCACGACCCCATGTACAAGTTCGGTGTGGAAGCGATTGAGCAGTTGATTAACCGTCTCCCCGAGTGGGCTGGCTTCTGCCACCTGCTCTTCCAAATCCCCTCTCTTCAAGGCACGCCCATCTACCAAAAGGCAGAGGAGGTGCTCCGTGAGCAAGGAAACCAGATTGGCGAAGCCGAGGTAGGACCCTTTGATGGTCTTGCTTCTGTGCCTCTGACAAATGGCAATTCTGTTGACTCCCCCATCGCGGATGGCTCCGTGCGCAAGTTCCGTGCTGTTCAACTCGATCCACCTCTTCGATCTGAACTCTACGAAGACCCGGATGAAGACATCCAGGACAAGATTCTTTTCGTTCTCAACAATGTTTCCGAGCAGAACATTGACGAGAAGCTTGAGGATCTGCGAGAAGTGTTGCGCGATCAACACCACCAGTGGTTCGCCGCATACCTGGTGGAAGAACGTGCCAAGCTGCAGCCCAATTTCCAGCAACTCTACCTTGACCTCCTTGGGCGCATTGGCGACAAGATCCTCTGGGCCGAGGTCCTGCGGGAGACCTATGTCAGTGTCGCTAAATTGATTAACTCAGAAGGCACTTTAAGCTCGTCTACTGATCGCGGTCACTTGAAGAACCTTGGTGCTTGGCTTGGTTCGCTGACTATCGCCAAAGACAAACCTATCAAGCACAAGAACATCTACTTCAAGGGCCTGCTTCTCGAAGGCTATGACACCCAACGCCTCATGGTTACGATTCCCTTCACCTGCAAAGTTCTTGTGCAGGCTACCAAATCCACGGTCTTCAAGCCACCCAACCCCTGGCTGATGGATATTTTGGGCCTGTTGTTGGAGCTTTATCATTTCGCCGAATTGAAGCTCAATCTCAAGTTCGAGATTGAAGTCCTCTGTAAAGATCTTGATCTCGACCACAAGACAATTGAGCCTGCAATCGTCATTCGCGATCGTGCTGCACATGCCGAGGAACCACTGCCCACTGTTAACGCCCCAGAGGGTCTTACCGAGCCATTTGAGGATTTGTCCCTCAGCGCTATCAACCCGGCCATCCGGAACGAGAGGTTGTCTCCGGCCGCCATCATGTCAACACTGCCAAGCCTTGACAAGATCCTTGTCCTGCCCTCATCGGCGAGTAGCATGGTCGATCCCACCATTCTCAAGCAGATTGTGCACACCGCAGTCGAGCGCGCCATTGCCGAGATCATTACTCCTGTCGTTGAGCGCTCTGTCACCATTGCGTCTATTTCGACTGTACAACTTGTTTCTAAGGACTTTGCTATGGAACCCGATGAGGAACGCGTGCGCCATGCCGCGGGCATCATGGTCCGACAACTTGCCGGTAGCCTGGCACTCGTCACATGCAAAGAGCCTCTAAAGGTCAGCATGACTAACTACATTCGCATGATTCAGCAAGACTACTCCGAGCAGCCTATGCCCGAAGGCTTGATTCTTATGTGTGTCAATGATAACCTGGATGCTGCCTGTGGCATTGTCGAGAAAGCCGCAGAGGAAAAGTCGCTGCCTGAGATCGAGAAGGTGATTGAGCCTCAGTTGGAGGCCCGTCGTCGCCACCAGGCCAGTCGCTCTAACGACCCTTTCATTGATCCTTCTATGAACCGTTGGGGATTGTTCATTCCGGAGCCTTACCGACAAGCGCCAGGCGGTCTCAACAAGGAGCAACTCGCCATCTACGAAGAGTTTGCCCGCCAATCCCGAGGCCCGGCGCCATCCGTCGACGCATCGGCCGGCCGTCAACTTCCCGACGTGCTTGGAGAATCATACCCTGCTATTCCAAACCTTTCCACCCCAGCTGAGCAGCCAGCCATCCCTCACAGAACCCCCCAGGCGCAGCCTGCCGTTTCTCAAATGCCCCCCGTTCAGACCAACGGGTTCCTCGATGCTCAAAGCCCCCGGGAAAGAGTGGAAAGCCTCGTCTCCGATCTGCAGCAGTCTGCTCGCAGCGCCCCCGAAGAACACGTCAAAGATCTCGGCAGAGATAGTGCGGTTCTTCAAGAATACAACCAGGCATTGCGCAGCATCCTTTCCTCAACGAACGGAGAGGAGCTGGCACGACTGACCTCTTTGAAGGTTTGCACCCTTCTGTATTCCCAGCCACATGGATCTCTCGAGATCGAAGTTCTCGTACACCTTCTTGCCAAGCTGTGCGATATGTCTAGTCTTATTGCTCGGTACACGTGGGCACTGCTCTCCGAAGTTGATGATGAGCACATGTTCAATGTGCCGGTCACTGTTGCTCTCATTGATGCAGGGCTCCTGGATATCCGTCGGGTCGATACGAACCTGACCCGACTCATTCAATCCAGGAACGTGCCCGCTTTGGAGTTGCTGGGCAACCTGATGGACCGCGTTCTTTTCAATGAAGAACCCTCCGCACTTCGATCAGACTTCTCTGGTAGTCTAGATGCCATGAGCCAATGGCTTGCCGAGGATGCAAGCGTTGCTCCAGGTCTAGAAATCGTGCGAAAGCTGCGCGAGTCTGGTATTCCTGAGGTCGTCAACACTCTCCTTACTGACCAAGCTAGGTCCAAGCGAGACCAAATGGAGTACATCTTCAGCGAGTGGATTGGTATTTACAAGGCCCCCGGTGCGACTGATCGCACCTTCCACTCGTTCCTGCAGGACCTCCACAACCGCCAAGTGATGAACAGCCAGGAGGATTCCGCGCTATTCTTCCGTCTCAGCATCGACATTTCCGTCGCCATGTTTGAGCATGAGTCTCAGAACCCCAACGGCAGCCTTGACGAGGCCTTCCTTTACATCGATGCCCTCGCTAAACTCGTGATTCTTCTCATCAGATTCCAGGGCGAGAGCACTGGCGCTGTCAAAGCCAGCAAGGCTACATACTTCAACTCCATTCTCTCTCTCTTGGTCCTGGTCCTCAACCACCACCAGGTTATGAGAGGAGAAGCTTTCAACCAGCGTGTATTCTTCCGTCTGTTCTCAAGCATCTTGTGCGAGTACTCGATGAACGGCCTCCAACACACTGAGCAACACCAGGGAATGATCTTCGCCTTGGCCAACAAATTCCTCTCCTTCCAGCCCCGTTATGTGCCCGGGTTCGTTTATGGTTGGCTTTGCTTGGTCTCCCACCGGGTGTTCATGTCTGACATGCTCAACATGCCCGACCGTGCAGGATGGGCGCCTTACTGCGAAATCATGCAAGCATTGCTGTCCTACATGGGCGAGCAACTCAAGGCTGCTAACATTACATACGTTGCCAAGGATCTATACAAGGGCGTTCTCCGTATCTTGTTGATTTTGCACCACGACTTCCCCGAGTTCGTTGCTGAGAACCATTTCCAGTTCTGCAACGTGATTCCGGCCCATTGCGCTCAGCTCCGCAATCTTGTCCTCAGTGCCTACCCGTCGTCGTTCCAGAAGCTTCCAGATCCTTTCCGCGAAGGCTTGAAGGTCGAGCGTATCGAGGAGATGCGCGAAATCCCCAAGATTGCTGGTGATATCGTTGCTCCTTTGCAGGTTGCCAACATCAAGGACATTGTTGACGATGTGCTCCAGAATGAGAGCATCTCCGAGTCTGCTGTTCAGCAGCTTTGCGACACCATTCTCAACCCCGATTCCAAGGACACTGGCCTCTTCTTTGTCCCCGTCGATGTGGATGTCGTCCTGGTTAATGCGCTTGTTTTGTATATTGGCCAACAAGCCGCAGTGGAGCATGCTTCCAAGGGCAATACCCGTAGCGCCTTTGAGAACTCGACTCATGCCACTCTTCTGGAGAAGATCGCCCAAGTTCTGCGACCCGAAAGCCGCTACTACTTGCTCAGTGCAATGGCCAACCAGCTCCGCTACCCCAACAGCCACACCTACTTCTTTAGCTTCACGATTCTCCGTCTGTTTGGCGTGGACTACTCCGAGCAAGATGACTCAGATATCCGCCAGCAAATCATTCGTGTGTTGTTGGAGCGGTTGATTGTCCACCGCCCGCATCCATGGGGTCTGATCATCACCCTGCAGGAGCTCCTCCAGAACCGGAGCTACTCATTCTTCCGCCTCCCCTTTATCCAGGCGGCACCTGAGGTAAGCTTACCACCAATCTTTCACAATCTCGCGATACTAACTGCTCCCCAGATCGGCCGTCTCTTCGACGCTCTTCTCCAACATATCCAACAACAGAGCCCTCGGCCCATTGCCTAGGCTTCTCTCGGCTTCTCATCCTCATCCTCTCCTTCCATATCTCTCCTCAAGTTCTTTCTCTGGTAACTCGGGCGGTACAGGAGTACTTCGTTGCATGTAATTTTCACGGGGTTCTCTTCCGCAATTGCTCCTTTGCGTCCTTTTTCCATTTTATCTTTTCAGTTTCATGTTACGGCAGGGGTTAGCCGTGGTGATGGCATGCATATTTATTTCTCTTACGATTTCCGCATGACTTGAGGTTCCATGATATTTTTTCGCGTCTCATGCTGCCCGCGACTTGTAATGATAAGACTGTAAAAGCTGGAGTTGACGGTGTCATCATTATCTGCATGGGGCAAAGCTAATTTACTATTCTTATGATTGTTGTAGCTTCTTTTTGGGCCTTCCATATGGCTTCATATAGTTTAATGAACCACGTCTCTTTTCGTCACTTATCGTCAAAGTAGCAGTCCTGTCCTAGAATCAATATACCCAGAATGGAACAGCCTCTAAAGGTCTCGTTTATACGTAGGCGTACAGCTATCAGGTGCTAAAAAAAGGGCAAGGAATTGGCAGATATGAGCATGGGAATATAGTTGCAGGGCGAAGCTACCTCGGTGCAGATAACAGCGATAACAGGATAAGCCTCAGACCTCAACTTCCAAGGTAGTTTCTACCAACTATTCCCCTATACAATGGCCGACTCGGAATTTGGAGACGACTCCGAATATGGCTCATCTTCTGTCAGGGCAGTCATCATGGTGAGTATGTCGATGCAAGTTTCTCACTTGTAACTGACGCAAGACAGGACGCGGTCCTCGCGCCGTTCCGCGCGCTGGTATCCAAGTCCGCTTTACGGCTATACCTGAACACGCTGCTGTTTATGGGCGCCGCATCATTCCTAATAGGCATATCCGCAATTGCTTACGGGGTCTTCTATTTCAAATTCATCCCCACAGTCGGACTGCAGCGCGAAGTCCATCTACAATTCGGGTACGATAACATTCCCCACAACCAAACACCCACCTCAACTAACTTGTGTACAGCAATGGCAACCCCTGGGGCACAGCACAATTTGACTCTGAGTTCGTGTCTCTCCAACCCTACGATGTATCTGTGACGCTCGAGCTTCCACGCACACCCTCAAATCTCGATACAGGCAACTTCATGCTCGACCTCACCCTCTTCTCCTCCCGCCCCGCCTCGTCCCTCCTACCTGGTCCGAATAATGCCCCGATTTCACAGGCTCGCCGCCCTGCTATCATGACTTATGCTTCGCCGCTGGTGGATGTTGCCCGGAGAGTGGCGCGTATGCCGCTCTATGTTGTTGGCTGGCACCGGGAGTCGGAAACACTGGAGGTCCCGATGATGGAGCTTCTTGAGTTTGCGAAGGGGGCGCGGAATCTGCCGCAGAGTCTCCGACTGGAGATTCAAAGTGACTCGAAGATGCAGATCTATACCGCTCGGGTGGAATTCCGTGCTAGGCTTACGGGGCTTAGGTAGGTTTTCTTGGGGATCGGGGTGTTTGAAATGTGGCTAACAGATGAATAGATGGATTATGTATCGCTGGAGGATTACTTCTTTTATTGTTTTTAGCTCTCTGTTCTGGTCTGTCTCCATGCTCTCTGCTGGTGTGACATGGCTAGCGATGACTTGGATTTTGGGAACTATACCAAAGGACGAGATTAAGGGGGAGCCGGAAGACTCCATCAAAGAAGATCCTGAGGACCAGGATACTTCGGATGAATCTTCTGAGGTTAAAAAAGAGGAGCCGGAGGAGCAGGAACGGAGGCTACTTTCTAGTTATCTAGCTGAGGGTGATGAAGCTAGTACAGGCTCTGGAATAGAAAGCGCAGAAGCTCGTGGGGTACAGAGACGGCGGAGTCATTTGACACAAACAGATTGAAGTGATTTCATTGGTCTAGCTGGTCTGATTGGGTGCTATATGTTGTAATGTCGTTATGATATAGTGTGAATGGCATTGTGGATCGTTTGGGCCGATTGCGACAACGCAAAGCGGGGGAAACTTTCTTCCCCTCCATTCTTCACATCTCAACCACTCCGCCCGCAATGCATATCCTGGTAAGTAGATATAGTTCTTGCAATGTTAATTTGGAGACTCATCTCTGTTTAGGTCACCAACGACGACGGTCCTCCGTCAAACCAGTCATCGCCGTACGTGCATTCGCTCGTCCACTCCCTCCAGTCCGCTGGTCACACGGTCTCGGTCATTCTCCCGCACCAGCAGCGATCATGGATTGGTAAAGCGCACATCGTAGGCGCATCCGTCAAACCCACCTACTTCCGGCCCGGAACACTCCACCAAGAAGACGGGACAACACACCATCTGCCTCGGGGCAGTGATGGTGAACCCGATGAAGGCGACGAATGGGTTCTGATTGACTCGACCCCCGCGAGCTGTGTCCAGATCGGTCTATATCATTACTTCAAAGAACGTGGCCCTATCGATGTCATTGTGTCAGGTCCGAACTATGGTCGCAATACAACCGCACTGTTCGCATTGTCGAGTGGAACTATTGGCGCGGCGTTGGAAGGTGCCTGCTGTGGAAAGCGCTCAATTGCTCTGTCGTATGCTTTCAGCTCTCGAAACCATGACCCTGTCATTATCGCGGAGGCTGCAGGTCATTCGGTCAAGGTGATTGAACATCTTTGTGCGAACTGGGCAGACGGAGTGCACCTCTATAGCGTCAATGTTCCCCTCGAACCCGGTGTTAGTGAGAACAAGGTCTTATATACCGATATGCTGCAGAATACGTGGACTGGGAGTTGCTTCCAGGCTGTGGATCCCACAGCCGCGGACGACCCTGATTTGCAAGAAAGGCTGCTGCGCGACGGAGGCGAGACGGAAGGAAAGAAACCGGACCAGACTGTCGGCAATAGCGAGAAGTCACCCTATGGACCCCGGATTCAACACAAGCATTTCAAGTGGGCACCGAGCTTCCAGGACGTTTACCGAAGCGTGGAGGAAAGTGAGCCTGGCAATGATGGCTGGACCGTCAAGGAGCAAATGACTAGGTTTGTCCAATGCCCTCTTATTTATGAACATCAACTGACTTTTACAGCGTCACGCCTCTTAAGGCCAATTTCATGCATGCGCCCGGTATTTCGGGGGAGATTAAGCTGTGAGTGAAGACTTTGACGCGATGGGGGCATGGTATGGAGGGTTCTATCCGAAATCTACATGTTGCATGCACTTAAGATATCTGGCTTAGCTGTTAGATGCCATGTCCCCTCCCCTTTTATCTGCTTTTATTTTCAAGTATTGGAGCCCTTTCTGATAGACGGAGATCTTGTAGATCGGCTAATCAACCCTCGTTGTACTCCCTCGTCGACTGCGATGATTCCTACGTGCAAGAAATGGTTGACCGGGCATTGACCCGTCGCCTGGGAAGTGCCTCCAAGCGTGTTTCTTCTGTGTCCGAACTACCGGACTCTTCCGCGCCGCTTTTCCAATACCGTGAATATGAACGCCTCGACTTCGAGCATATCATGTCCAGATCCTCGACCTCTCTTTCGAGCGCATACATCATCCGGAAAGCTTTGATTCGCAAGCACTATCTCTCAAACACAGTGTCCAACTGGATCTCAAAACACCCAGATAGCATCCTACGACACCACTTCAAGCCCGCCTTCGACTTCGAACTCGACTATGCCGAATTCCTCGACGACGCCCTGCTAGAAGCATACGAGCTGAACGACAGCCTAGCTAAGAACGAAGAACGACAAGACTCCGAAAAGGAATGGTGGATCCTCAAGCCCGGCATGAGTGATCGAGGCCAGGGAATCCGCATCTTCAACAGTGAAGACCAGCTACGTGAGATCTTCGAGGAGTGGGAAGAAGACTCAGACGATGAGAGCGGATCCGAGACAAACGCCGACGACGTGGAGGCCAACGCTAGCGCTGCCCTGGACACAGGCATCGTTACTTCGCAGCTCCGCCACTTCCTCGCACAGCCCTACATCGACCCTCCCCTCCTCCTCCCTTCGTCTTCGAACCGCAAATTCCACATCCGCACCTACGTCCTCGCCTCGGGCTCACTCAAAGTCTACGTCTTCAAGGAGATGCTCGCGCTCTTCGCTGCCAAGGGCTACTGTGCCCCACACGAAGAGGACGACGTCGCCGACCTCGCACGCCATCTGACCAACACCTGTTTCCAGGAGGGCGGCAGCTCGAACGAAGGCAGTGTGCGTCGTTTCTGGGACCTCGATCATCACGTCCCCGGTCTCAGTGCAGACTGGAAGGAGAAGATCTTTGAGCAGATCTGCTCGGTGACGGGTGAGGTGTTTGAAGCTGCGGCCCGGGGAATGATGGTTCATTTCCAGACTCTGCCTAATGCATTTGAGCTGTTTGGTGTTGATTTCCTCGTCGATGCTAAGGGAGATGTGTGGCTGCTGGAGCTTAACGCCTACCCCGACTTCGCGCAGACTGGTGAGGACCTGAAGGAGGCTGTTGTTGGGCGCTTGTTTGAGGAGGTGGTTGATGTTGCTGTCAAGCCATTCTTTGGTCTGGGTGACGGGGCTGGTACTGATGACATGAAACTGGTTGCTGATATTGATCTTGGGAGACATGCTTAGACCTGGGATTAGAATAGATGATGATGTAGATATACCACTTGTGATGTACAAGAATAAAAGTTTTGATTTGGATATCTCATATACTCGGGACTTTTCTCTTCTCTTCCTTCATGTTGCTTCTACCCAGCTATCTACATATTCTTCTCAGGTGCCAATCAAACACCATTCGCCCACTCAATTATCATTCTTCCAGAAAATACGGCCCTCGAACAAACGACGGGCTGTACTAAAGACCGTGGCAGAAGTTAACGCCCCTTCTACATCGAAATCGGCACCAACCAGCAGATTCCCACTGGCATGACCAATAGTAATGCCAGCACCGTCGACAGGATTCTCACCCACAACGCCAGCCACTGTACTCTGCGGTACACGAGCAGCAGCAGCAAGCGCCAAAGCAACGGTAATTGGGACCGCCTTATGCGGCTGTCCAACAGAAAGCGCACGAACCAAAAGATCAACATCAGCAGACGTCTGTCTCTGCTCGATATCCCTGGAATCGGTAGTAGAAGGGGCAGCCACGATACAGATCTTAGGCACACTACCAGGAACTGCCTCAAACTCATCCGCAATACCCATCTTAACGCCCGCCTGCCGACGAATAGAGTCCAAGCGCAGCAGCAAATCCGAATGAGCCGTGATCTCATCAGGAGTCAAATTCCCACTCACGTCGAGATCAAGCGCCTGAACAAAGACACACGGATTCCCAACATCAATACAAGTAGCCCTGATTCCATCAAAGGTATCAACGACATTGCCCGTAGGCAAAAGTTTCCCCGTGACCGAGCCGGCGGGGTTGATAAAGTCTAGCTGGACGCGTGCCGCTGTGCCCGCGACACCGTCTATAGCGAAGTCCCCGCTTGCAGCAGCTTCGCCCTCGACAACGGGGAAGGACGAATGGATGATCTTTCCGGTGTTGGTGTTGTGGATGCGTACCGAGGCTGAATCCGGGCTGGGATCTTGTAAGGGGAACACATGTGCATCGACGGCGAAGGGGCCGACGGCGGAACTCATGTTCCCGCAATTACTGGAATAGTCCACGTCGGTGTTCTCGATGCCGAGCGATATGAAGGTGTAGTCGACGTCGGCATCGGCGTGTGTCGGTGCGCCGACTACGCAGACCTTCGAGAGACTGGATATTCCACCCCCTAGTCCGTCGAGTTGTCGGCCATGGGGGTCTGGACTGCCGATTACACTGCGGAATATGGGGGCCCAGTCTTTTCTGTTCGGGGGCAGGTCTTCTTGCTTGAAGAAGACTGCGCGTGAGGTACCGCCCCGGTAGTATGCTGCTGGCAGGGAGTGTTGCTTTTTGGTTTGGAAATATCGTCGGCTACTGGGTGCTACCGGGGTCGCTGTTGACCGGCATGGTAGGCGAGATAGTTGTTTGAACATGCTTGGGTTACAGTGATCTGGGTATTGTTTTAGGAAGATCGTATATGGTCTAAATGCCCCGGAGTGACTCCGATGGCGGCGTCGGACCGTTCCGACGGAGCGGATGAGCCAATTGGGAAAGTGTAGGGTCTAGATGGTATTTATATTATTGCTTTATGAATCTAACAGTGAAGGATACAGGATATTCGGACCAAGAGGACGTGTGAACAACCGTCTTGCTTTTTTAATGTTCAGCCAAATCGCTGCTTTGCCAGAGCTTGCAAGAATCCCATGGTCTCTTGCTCCTTCTGTCGATACGCCTGCGCACGTTCTTCTCGCTCCGCTGTACGCGCACGAAGAATCTCCTCTCTCCGAATCTCACGATCGTTCTTCTTACGTTGATCTTTCTCCTTCTCACGTTTCAAGGCAGAAAACTCATTGCCCCCACCCATTAAATCTTCATCGCGAGCTGCCTCGGGCGAGGCACCGCGCGCGTCCGCGAATGCACGGTTGCTCGAAGCAACTTCTCGCCGCTTCTCGAGCTGTCTCTCCCGTGTGCCCGCCTCAGCCCGCGGTGCAATCTCGTCTTGGAGATAGCGCATTTCGGATTTATGCGAACGTATTTCAGCGCGGTACTGATCGCGTGATTCACCGCGGGCAGCGATGGCATCTTCAATAGCAGATTCTGGAGGGAAGTCAGCACTCTGGCCATATTTGGGGGAAGTATAAAAAAGCATACCTCTTTTGAGCTCAAGGTCTTGCGTAGTTGGGATTGCAGGGCCCGCTTGTGGACCGCCTCTCCCTGAGCCAGGATGTGGCAGACTAGGCCCGTACTCGTCATCTTCATCCTCCTCATCATCGTCATCACCTACTGGCGGCTCCCGTGGGGCTTCACCAGTCGCTCGCTGGCCCTGCGTATAATCCGGCGATTCGCGTCCGCCTCTCGGGCCAGGTGCCGGTTCTTCTTCTGCACTCTGGCGCGCCTTGTCTAGCGTAACGGGATCATACCATCCCTCGGCGAGTTCTCCGCGGTTCCTGCGATGTCAGTAATTATCGCATTAAGGAATGAACACCCTCATGCTTACCATTTTTGCGTAAAACTTTTCCACCGTCCTCTCACCTCATCTTCACTCAAGTCTTCGATATATTTTCCTTTTTGAATATCCAAGTACATGGCAAACATGGGCTCGTAAACCTTCAGGTCGCGCCCTGAGAGCTCGCGTGCTTGGTAAGGGAGCACGACCGGTTTCGCTGGGGCATCTCTGTGTCGTCGCTCGTGGTGCCCGCGGTCCTTTTCTTCGCCACGGCGGTGGTGACGGTCTGATCTGTGTCTGTCTGATCGGTGCGGAGAGCGCGAGCGCGAGCTCTCTCGGGGTCGGTGGCGATGGGAATGGCTGTGGCGGCTGCGGTGATGACGGCTTTCGCTTGGTGCAGAGGGAGACGCAGCTCGGTGCGATGAACGAGTTGGTGAAGGCATTTTGGCTGGTTTCCTTCGTAGTTGAGAGGTTATGGAGAGTCTGGAGGAATTTGTCTTCTGGGGTGATAAGGAAAGACAGGTCTGCTTATCGGTTCGGCCATCTGATTTCCAAGATTGTCCCCACGTTTTCGATTCTATAACGCATTCTTACATTCTTCGTCTCAATTTCGTTAATTTCAGTTATAAATTTATACAAAGATAAAGGCAAATACATTACGGAGCGACTATTTAGTCCAAGGAAAAATCTTCATTGTGATAAATACATTTAGGCGAAAGAGGTATACAATATCCAATACTCCAGTAATCCTAGTTCAACTTTAGCTGGAAGGAGCACTCTGCTCCACGCTCGGGCTAGTAGTGTTTTCGGCAGGTGTGGCAGGTGTACTCGACTGCGAACTGGCCTTAGACCGGTTGGCCGCGGCCATTTGCCATGCCGGGATGGAGGCAGATCGACCAAGCTGCGAGAGGGGATTGGGGCTCTGGCTCGTGCTCGCTGGGGCAGCAGCTGGGGTCGGCTCCTGTTCAGCTGGAGTCACAGTGGCAGCCAAACTGTTGGTGGCGGCAGGAAGAGCGGATGCGGCGGGGGTCTCTTCCGGTGCCGGGCGAGGAATACTGGGGATGGAAGTAGATCCAACGGTCCTACCAGCAATAGGGATAGCTCCACTGCCACCAAGTCTGTTGCCCAGCAAGGTCTTCAAGCTCTTGAGCTCAGTTCCGAGCTCCTTCAGTCGATTCTCATTGCCTTCCCGGGCACCTTCGAGGGCCTTGGGAATGGCGTCCTTCAATGACTTCACCTCGTCGCTAATGCGACGAGTCTCATCGTCTCTTCGGCGGGATGAGTTCTTAAGATCAGCAACAAGACTCTCCACGTCCTTGAGAGCCCCGTCCAAGCGCTCGGTACGGGCTTCCTCGGCGGTCTTCAATGCAGCGGTGTCGGTCGATAGTTGCTCGATCAGAGTAAATGCACGTGAGAACTGCTCATCAATGTTTTCTTTATCTTGCTCCAGCTGGGGAGGGGTCGGTGGGGCAATCAAAGGTGCGATATAACGCTGGATGGATTGATCAGCGCCATTAGTTTTGAGAGAGGAGACAACTGGATACCTTTGTGACGGTATACAACCCATAACCAACTCCGCCCACCACCGTCGCCATAATAAACCAGTCCCGCCAATCTCTCTTGGGTGGCCTTTTCATGTGATTAGTCTCAAACCCCATGCGACGATCGACAGTTGAACTTACTCAGGAGGCGGCTGCCATTGATTATATGGAGGATAGCCATATCCTTGAGGCGGTTGTGGTTGACGGTAAGGAACTGGCTGTGAAGAGTAGCTAGGTGCCGGGGATGCTGAAGCTGTAGCTGCGGCCGCGGCCGATGGGTCCTCGCCCACTCGCGATAAGGCAATGTCCACTTCCTCTTGAGTCAAATTCTTGGATTGAAGGAATGAGACCCTTTTTTCAATGGGTGAAGATGCAACCGACGGGTCCTGGAGGACTAGATAAAGTCAGCGATCATCGCACGTCAGGTTGTCTGCCTTGTAGTCCATACAGGTAATCTAGCGGACACATGAGTTAGCAGGAGCTCCGAAAGCGGATGATAATCCATGGCAATATATAGCTTACAGCTGAAGCAATCAGCTCCTCGCGTGGAGCCATTATGATGGATGTCGACTACCAGTGGAGTGAGTGTAGGAGAGGTGAATCAGGGAGAGATGCGACGCTCACATCGGCAATCGCCATTTGGACCTCGGAACTCGCTCCAACGCCAAGACTTTCCCCAGACCGGGAGTCTCGTGATTATCGGTTAAATTGTTTTTCCTTTCGCCCACACCGCCTACCCTATTTGAAAGTAGCACGCATTTGTTTACTTCGCTGAAGTCCCGCCTCGTGCCTGCCAAACAACAGATCAAACCCCTCCTCTTGGATTTTGTGGTGCAACCTACTTGGACGTGGAGTCTTTGTCAATACATAAATCATATCCAAACCCAGTTATTAAAAGAATCGCCTTGTCTATTGCCGCCTTCGCGGCTTGTTTATCACCATGTCGCAAGATACTGGACTTTTCAGTATTAAGCGCCCCCGAGAAGTATAGAACCCTCCTATGCAGCGCACGACGTCGGGCTAATTTATATTGCAATTAAGACCCTCGGGAGTGTACAGAATTTCTCCGCTATCCCCCAACCGCAATCGGCACTGAAGCGCGCAAGCTCTATCGGATTCCAAAACCCCCCGTTCAGCTCTCAGAACCACCGAGCTTCCTTGATGGGCTCCACTGGTCGCCCGCAGCAGCCCAACTTTACGCGCATGTCAATTGGTGGACCATATGGCGCTGATGCCGGCCTTTCATCTGTTCGCCGATCAGTGTCGAGTAATATGTTCAGTGGAGCCAGTGCCAGTCGGCAAAGCTACGCGCCAGGGTCTCTTTCCTCCAATCCTGCCCCTCCTCAAAACCCACAGCGCAGAAGCAGTGTGTTTTCGCGACCATCCACCGGAGGAGGACCGATGGGACATCAATCGTTCTTCACTCAAGTTCCTACTGTGGCTGGTGTTCCCAGAGACCCGCGCCCTCTCAGAGACCGATCCTTCCAGGCACGAATTGGCCAAGAACTGTTGGAATATTTGACTATTCATGGATTCGAGTTGGAAATGAAACATTCCTTGGGGCAGAACACTCTTCGCTCGCCAACCCAAAAGGATTTCAACTTTATCTTCCAGTGGCTATATCATCGAATCGATCCAGGATACAAGTTCCAAAAAGCAATGGACTCCGAAGTACCGCCAATCCTGAAACAGCTAAGATACCCGTATGAGAAAGGCATTACGAAGTCCCAAATCGCAGCCGTTGGTGGCCAGAACTGGTCGACCTTCCTCGGAATGCTCCATTGGTTGATGCAATTGGCACAGATGATGGATCGTTATCAGTCTGGCGAGTACGACGATGCCTGCGCCGAGGCAGGTGTTGATGTCAGCGGTGATCGCATTATTTTCCGATTCCTCACTCAAGCCTACCACGATTGGCTGCAGGGTGGTGAAGACGAGGATGATGACACCGCGGAAAAGCGGTTGATTCCGCACGTTGAAAACATGTCGCGAGAGTTCGCTCACGGAAATGAGCGGTACGTACAGGAAATGGAGGCATTAGAAGCGGAGAACCGGGCTCTTCGCGACCAAATCGAAGAAGTGGAGAAGAGTGCTCCCGACATCGCCAAGTTGGACAAACACTTCCGCATCTTGGAGGATGACAAGAGGAAATTTGAGGATTATAACCAAAACGTCAAAGGGAAGATCGAAAAATACGAGACTCGCATCAAATTCCTCGACACGGAGATTCAAAAAACTGATACCGATCTTCAGGCCACTGAATCTGAGCGCTCCAATCTCCAGGAAAGTGTTGATCGCCAAGGCATCACTATCCAGGATATCGACCGCATGAACTCGGAGCGAGAACGTCTGCAGAAGAATCTGGAAGACACCGTGGCTCGCCTCGAAGAAGCCCATGCCCGTGTCATGGAGAAGGAAGCGGAAGCCAGCCACAAACTAGAAGATCTGGAACAGATTGTGAAGGCTTACAATACTCTTGGCTACCAGACTAGCTTGATTCCCGCAGCTGCCGAGAACGCCAAGGGCCAAGATTATGAACTTAGTCTGAATATCAATGAGAGCAACTTCTCCGCGAGCCAGATTGGTGGCCCTCCCAGCCGAATTTCTCCCGAGGGAGATCGCCTATTGGCGGAACCTTTCACTGGCTACCACCCGGCGCATTTGCTCAGTTTGGATCTCCGGGGATCTGTCCGAAACAGCCTGCAATCACTCCGGAAAGAGATCAATGAACGACGGAAGCAAGGTATCGATGATGACCTCGACCGTCGCAATCTACTCGACAACATCAAAGAGGCAATGGATGAAAAACGAAGCGAGGTCGAGGCCCTGGAGCATCGACGCCGGGCAGCTGAAGAAGAATTCGAACGAACAAAGGAAATCACGACTACTCAGAAGCTGGCATCCGATGCCCAAATTGAGAAGATGGAGAAGGAGTTGGCGAAGATGCGCGCCACGCTCAGTGACAGTGTACAGTTGATGGAGCAGCGCGAGATGAACACCAACATCGAATACGAACAACTGACGCTTCGAGCAAATTCTCTCCGAGAGGAGTTGCACACCAACGTCGAAACAATGCTTAACGACGTAATTCGCTTCAAAGTTCACGTTCAGAAAGGTCTCGAGGACTACGAAAGCTTTGTTGTTGACGAGGTAGAACAGGAGCTTGGTGGTGAAGAAGTTCTCGAAGAGGAGCTTTGAAATTACTTGACGATTTGATGATTTGGTGTTCAATTTAATAGTGTTGGTTTCATCTACAATACCCCGGATCCGTTCAGGACGCAATGCATATATCGTTTTACTAAATGTTTCTCTTTTTTTCTCTCTTTTTGTAAACGGCGGACCTATGAATTACTGTATCAAGTTAGTTTTACCGTTTTGGGTTTAGCATCTCAATATGTTGTCATATAACCTCCCCTCAATGCTCCTAACTTAAAGACCTAATCTTACCCTCTTTCCTTTCTCTATCCCGAGCTCGTTCTGGCTAGTATAGGCTGCTATACCAGTCGCCCAGGAGCAGAACCCTCCCTCCTACTGGTACAGTGGGACCTCCGAAGTATTGAGCGGCATTTCAGAGCCTTCACATACCGCCTTTCGTATAGAGGTACAAAATTCCGCCCAATACTTCGGAGGTCCCACTATACATACGACCACAGGGTGTGGAAAACAGAGCTTCCTGTCCGCTCAGCCGTACTTAAGCCATACGCTGGTGAGTTTGTACCAGCACGGCCTCACTTTTGTTTGTGTTTTGGATGTGCAATTGGATATTTTTTTAAACAAACTCTCTTTTACCAGAAGCTGATAGAAGAAGCGAGAAGTCCAATCCTACGTTTTAGCACTCCCCTCCTTTAGAAAATTTCGGAGATACCCTTTGAGTCACGTGTCGTTGGCTTCATGCTGCCCATAAACTAGACTAGGAGGGGCGTAGTGTCCGTTCTATACTCTTACAAAAAAGCATGGAGAAGTGGATTGAAAGCGTCATTAAATTGAGGAGGACAACATAGGCTGTGCAAAAGCCAAGATGCCAAGTGCCAAGTGCCAAGGCACGGGTCGGTGCATTCTCCCAGTGTGGTCTAAGTTTGTTAGTTTCCTCACATCTTTCATATCAGATCCCATCTAATCTGATTAGCAATCCCACAGCCTTCAATTTAGACCCGCATTGCTGCCAACACACTCTAAGGTTTTGAAATAAACCTTGAAAATTCATGCCAAGTCTTCTTCTTGCTTCTACTCGTCGTTTCCTCGTCGTTTCCTCGTCGATTTTTTCCATCGGCCCACCCTAACAGGGCTGTGCAAGTCGTATTTACAGTGGGACCTCCGAAGTATTGGGCGGAATTCTGTACCTCTATACGAAAGGCGGTATGTGAAGGCTCTGAAATGCCGCTCAATACTTCGGAGGTCCCACTATACATAGACCCTGCACTAAGAGAAGACCCTCGATGTCTTTGATTATCAGTTGATCATATCAGAAAATTCTCCCTTCAACTACCATCAGAGTCGATCACGCTCCGTGACGCTCCGTGAATCTGTGGATCGTAACTAGCCATGGCATTCCTTGGCTCTCTTGGCTCACACACTGAGTATTATCAACGAGGAAATGAGGGATTAAATACAGGGCGTTTAAGGGATTCCCCGAAGAGAAAAGTGATTAATCTTTGTAATAGCTTACCTACCATCGTCTCATCCTTAAAAGTAAATCGTAAATTCCATTCTACCTTCCTATTACTGGAAAGAAAAGAGCCCGAGACAACGTGATGAAGATTTTGCTTCTTTTCTGTTCTTTTTACCAGGTGGCACTGGTGACAGCTGGCGCAGTATGTGCAACTGCTTGCCAAACTGCCCTCTCTAATATCGAATTTATCGAAACGAGCCCCATTGAGGACTACTATTCAGATTTATGCCAAAATGTGCTCCGGGTGAAATCAACTTTTATCTGCATGCGGAACTATTGCTCAACAGATGAGATTACGGAAGGATGGAAAAGCCTCGATCAGTCATGTGAAGGAGACGGGGGGGTTAATACTCTACCATGGTCTATTATCGAGGAGGTGACTGAAGCTGAGGTAAACTCATGGCCTCTTTTGACCTATGAAGATACGCAAGCTGGTACCAGTGTGAATACCTCGGCTTCTGTTGATCAAACTCTTTTTGACATTGCTTACACAACAATGGCATGTCATAAGGTTATCCTCGTTCCTGTATTGTGGCTAATTTGTTTATAGTTTGATTGGGAAAATCAACTTATCACACGGAAACATTATGGGTAATTTAAATGTGCAAACCACTTTGTCGAAGTTCATATTGACTGACGGTGAACCCTTTGTATAGCTATGCAACCATGGGTTTCTGGGGGCTTGTTGTTCTTTTTGGCACCTTGAACAATATCCTTCGATATCTGAACAGTTCTTCTGTCTTTCGCTCAGTAATCACCAGACCCCAAGGCTTCATTCTCCGATGGTTGACCGTGCCACCCATATTGAAAACCAGTCGCTTTTCCGGATTTTCCGGTACCTCAAGACTGTGTGCAATTACAATTTCGATATTTTTCTTGATCAACATAGTTCTCATGTGTGTTGAATACCATGCGTTTGAAACTAATCTTTAGTAAGATCATATTGATTCTCTTCACTACCTATTGGAACCAGAAGACTTGACTAACTATTTTCCATCTCAACAGCTTTACCAAAAAATCGACACAACTTTGGCGGTACATTGGAGACAGGGCAGGAGTTATGGCAATCAATAACTTGCCAGTAATGTGGCTTTTTGCAACGAGAAATAACTTTCTCTTGTGGGCGACGGGATGGGAATTTGCTACATTTAATATGTTTCACCGCTGGATGGCTAGGGCTTGTGCTCTAGAAGTATTTGTTCATGGGATGTGTGTTTGCATCTATCAAAATCTAGGTGAGTCTGCCCTCTGACCTGCCGGATCCCTTAAATTGAACTTCAAGCTGACGCTATATGGTTTAAGAACTTGGAAAGGAATATTTTCTTTCACTTTGGAAAACTACTGACTGGTTTATGGGAGTTACCGTAAGTCCTAACTTTATCTTGTTTCTAGTTTTTTGCTAAACTCGTTTGAAAGGCGGCCCTCTCAATAATAATAACATGCCTCTTCGCAAGCTCCGGAATTCGAAATTCAGTCTATGAACTGTTTCTCGTCATTCACCAAGGCTTTGCCTGTTTGATCCTTGCTGCATTGTGGTAGTAAGTACTATTTTCAAACTTGTGCTTCAGAAAAACGTTTAACCCTGGTGAAATTTTAGTCATCTAATTGTTGATGGGCCCGACTACGTCGTCTTTATCTGGCCTTGTGTTGCTATTTGGTCCTTTGACCGACTTGGAAGGATTTTACGACTGTTGATCTGGAACAAAGTCACTGCGTATTCCTCTGCAGAGTATAACAGCGATGCAAACGTCATCCAAATCAAGGCTCGAGTAAGACAGGCTTTGTCTCCGAGTCCCGGCACCTACTTTTACGTCTACGGTTGGCGATCAATCAAATTCTGGGAAAGCCATCCATTCACGCTCAGCAGTTGGAACAAAGTGACCACGGGAGATGAGTCTTATACAGAATTGATCTTCCTTGTCAGTATACGAGGCGGTTTCACCTCCAGGCTCCAAAAACAGCTACTGCATCATGGTGATTCCGATATGGGTGCTTCATCTGCCGTGAGAAAGATGACTCTATCTGTCGAGGGTCCGTACGGACCAAGCTTTTGCCCATGGAAATCTGAAATGGCTGTCTTCATTATTGGAGGAGCAGGTATTACAGTTGCGACCTCTTTCATGCAACAGCTGCTACACTCTCTCACCTCGCAAACAGATCAGAAATCAGATATAAGGACTATCAAAATAGTTTGGGCCGTTAAGAACATTGAGCTCTATCGGTTTGTCCGCGAGCGCTACATCTCCACCTGGGAGCATGTATTTGCATCAAATGATGTCGAATTGTCTCTGGATATTTACCTAACATGCTCTTCTAAGATGAATAGCGAGACCTCAATCTCAACAGAACATGTTCCCCAGTCTCTTGATCTTTCAGGGGATACAAAAGGGGGTGTTTTGCCATCACCATCGACTGAGTCTGAAATTTCGACCCCGAGCGCTCTGCGTGAAGTGGGATCTGAGAAACCAGGGCCAGGGCCATTTTTAACGACTTTCTACCACGGAAGGCCGGACATCAGCAATATAGTCACAAATCAAGTCGAAGTCCTTGAGTCTGCTGGTGGCAAGCGCCTAGCTTTGGTTGGATGTGGTCCAAAGGCAATGGCTCATGACATACGTCTCAGTTTTGTCGATATTTCGAAGATACCACAGGTCAATGTGGATTTCCACTTGGCTCCTTTTGGTTGGTGATACAAACATCAGACATCCCAAAAAAAAAAAAAGTTTGTTTCATGCTGCAAAGAAGCTAGGATAGAGATCAAAACATCACTTGTATCTCCACATGTATACAGAACGTTCAAGAAACGTTTCCGAAGATGATATATCTTACTTTCCAACATTTTTCCCATGCACAAAGATAAGACGATTATCTTTCGAAGCATACATAACGAACATAAAGATATCAAGAAACGAAATCAACAAAAGAAAAACAAAGGGATCTATTAAAAGGCCAAATGTATCATCGAAACCAGCACCGGTACTGCCTTCCCCGGCAGGGGGTCCTGCCGCTCGACGACCCGTTTAGGAAATAGGTTTTTTTTCCTCCTCGACCAGACTCCCTGGGCGCATTCAATCCCATCTAGCTGTCAATGATCTGTAGAATTATCTGTTGTCTGTATTATGAACAGGTGTGGCAGACTAAACGCCACCGATACGATGGCTAGACAAGCCGGAGAAAACAACCCAACTCTTTCTCAAGTCTAACATCGAGCTTATAATTATTTTATTTAAAACGATAACGATAGAAGACCCTATTCTGCTGAAGATATGTGGTAAGATAATGTTTTTAATGCCAAATATCAATTCACATGGTTTTACTGACGTCTTCATTCAGTGATAATGATTGATATCTAGAAAAGGATACTATTGCTATGACTACGGGAATCCGGGGCAAGTAGCTTTCGGGAAATGGTTGGCTTTCGGTTGCCGATCTCTGTTTGAGAAGCCCCCCTCATGTTGGTGGTTCGTATAGGGTCGTACAATATAGATGACGCCCACCTATCTGAAAATCCTTTCTAGACTGCATACTCTAGAATCTCGTGTTCAAGGTTATTAGCAGGACGGATGCTATCCCAGCGAGTACCTTCAAAATTCATTGTGGCGAGCTTTAACTATGGGTTCTGATTATATATATGCCTACCACCCACGAGTTCTGGCTACCATACAAAAACAGAGCAAAGAAGAACTCACCGCTATCCTCCCTCCTCCCTTGTGCTGCCTGCGGATCAAGGCACTCATAGTCCATGTCGGCGCATCCGTCTGCAATATCTACCCCCAAGAGCCCCGCAACAAATCCTGGCCAACATAAGTAGGTCTAGAGTCACTTGGCTCATCCCCTTGGAATTAGTGTCCAATCCTGTACCAGCCACAGCTCTTCTAATGCCAGTGCAATCGGATTTTATTTCAATATGAAATATATACTTATGTAGCTATTACTATTACTAAATTCTATAAATTTAAAAACTAGATAATAAGTAGAAGGTTAGAATATAGCGATTATAAGATGCTAGGTAGACCCCGTTTAATGGGCTTTAATAGGGGCCTTATAGGCCCCCACGAATAGGCTGTGGGTTGGGTTGGGCTTTGGGCCTGGGGTTCGGGCTCATTTATGGGCTTTGCGGAACGCTACTGTGGATAGTATCCAAATCGTAGGTCACCACCCAATCGCCGGGGGGCTCATACTCAGGCAGTTTGAGGTCCGGATTTTTCTTGTTCATTCCCCTTGAAAAAAATATTCTAGCATAGACGGGGTCAAACACGAAGATCGTTTCGTTGGTCACACGGTTTCTGATTTCCGCTGTAGCCAAGATCTCGTCTATGGCGACGTACTCGTTCACTTTCGGCACACGTGCCCTCTCGAGATTTTCCTTCGCGTGCCTTGCAGTCTCAGGAGTGGTCCGGATGTCGAGGAAGTATAACTCATTTGGGCCGGTCGCTGCCACGTATGGAGTATCCGGCGCAACAACCTGGGGGCCAAATTCGGTGTCGATAACCTTTGGTACGTAGCTACCCCGATATTCCTCTGCATAGATTGGCGTGCACCCGCATGGTGCGGGCGTGCCCCCGCATGATGCGAGCCGGCTTAGTAGAAGGGTGGTGATCAATGGTAGAAAGAGCATTGTGATAAAAAGATGGACAGGTTGACTATGTATTCTGATTGATATGTCTGTGTGCGTAGCTTGTTTCTCTTAAAGAACTTGTCGAAGATAGAGGGTTACTTGCTTACTATGTGTAGGCTGACCTTGTTGTAGGCTGACCTTGTTGAAGGCTGACATCTTGTGGGCTGACCTCGTGGGGGCTGAAACCGTGATTAGCCACCGCATTACTGAGTACCAGCACAATGCTACCATTGAAAACCTGTGGAACCCTAGATAAGCTTGGTCACAGTTTCCCACAATGTTTTCCTCGCGTTGAGCGTACCACAAGTTGAACTTTTGCGTTGTTGGTGAACTAAATCCACCTCTACAGGGTGTGGTAAACTGTTTTTATCAATTTTATTCCTGGTCACCTCTACTTATTTTGCTATTGAGCATGGTTATGCACATGAAGTTCAGTTTTTGTACAGACTTTGTCAAAATTTCTACTATGCGCACTGTTTAGACCGAGCCATAGATTAATCGTGCCAAAGCTCATAATCACAGGCTTTGCACGATTATGGTAATTTGAACGTCAGCTCTTCAACTCAGCGTCTTTTTAGGTCCTACTATTGATATCTTTAAGCCACTCAACTACTTGAGAAGATCGGCTCTTTGTTCACATTCCAAGACTGAATTATGAAGGCTAGTTGGCCCACGTTTAGGATCAACATATGCTTTCTCTATTCTGCTATTTACTTGAGTTAAACAAGAAGCCTAGTTTTATCATTATTCGCGACTAGCATTAGGTCGTTGGCATTTCTGATGTTATCCCAGCGTTTTTCCATATCTACGACCCAGAGGAATGGTAATACTGTAACCTGTCCATCCTCAAATGATTGCCTGGTCTACTGATGATGAACGCAAACACTCCCAAACAGCACGATAACCCATGTTCTAAACAAATACTGATAATGAGATGATACCCAGAGTTGATCCCCTCCAAGTGACGGGTATTTCACGATAATCCGCATCTAGGCTTGCCCCAAGACTCGGCCAATGTTATTGTGACCTGATCTGATCTCTCATTTTTAGTTGAGACAATATCATTGTAGAGGGTTTTTGATATGATTCTCCACTTGGCATATAGGCGATTGAGAGTTATCGAGAATTTTTCTTGATTTATTTTATCAACTTGAATGGGCGTTCTTACGCTTTGATGAAGGGGGATGATACGGGAAACCTGGTAGGAAGCGTGGCAACGAATAAGAAGTAGATAAGATGAACAAGAGAAATCACCGGAGAAGAAAAGAATATGGGAAATGGCGATCAGGAAGAGACCTTGAAGCCCGCCGAATAAGTCCAGGTAGTAAGCAGAGAAGATTTACAGAATATCTCATCCTTTAGGCAAATAAAATGTTGCTTTTTTGAAGCATCTGAAGCAAAAAAAGTCTACGCCACTGAAACCGCGGCTTGATCAGCTCTCGCACAGATAGTTACCAAGCTCGCGATAATCTTTGATTCAAATCCAAATCCAAATCTAAATCTAAATCTAACTATTCTAACGGCATTTGTTATAAACATTGAGTGTGTGGGAATCAAATTATCGAAGGCAACATGGACATGCTCACAGTGCGCAAAGTGAATTGGACACAATCCAGCACGTTCCTAGGATCCAAAAGTAAACTCCAACGATGAAAACATGCCAGATGGAATGCTAGCTGCTCAAACCCCTTCACGCTCTAATCGAAAAGGTACTGGCAGCGCTCGATACCCAGGGCCTTGGCCAAAAATGGGTTGACAAACTGGCAGTTGGGATCATTCTTCTCCTGAATATCAACCCAGTCGTGGATCTTTGGGTAGATCGTGGCACTGTAAGTCTCATTGTGGAACTGCATCTTGTTCCAGTGAGGTTGGACATTGTAGGTTTCACCAAACTTCGGGATGTATTCGCTGGCCAGCTCCTGGAAGAAGTACTGGGTGGTGAAGTTGTTGTAGGTGGGAACCCAAGAATATTCCAACGTGGCAAAGATCCCACTTGCGTTGGGCTTCAAGTTGTCGTTGTTGACTGGAGACAACCAGTTGTCATCACCCTTGATGAATCGGGTGATGACAGTCACATCGTCACTCAGGTAGTGTCCCTTCAAGCCTGGGCCGATAACAGAGGTATCGATGTGAGGCTTCATGCGCTCGGACTGGGCCTGGGCGTAGGTCAAATAGTCCGTGCCAATCTCGGCCAGGTTCTCCTTTGGGAAGAAGTGCTCGAACTGGCCCATGAAGCCACGGTAACAAATGCCAGCTGGGGTGGTCGCAATTGCTTCCATCTTGTAATCATAACAGTGATAGTTTCGGTCACAGTGTCCGCAGTCATTGGAGCAGAAATCCAAGGAGCAGTTCCGGACTCCCTTGTAATCAGTCTCCTCCCAGTAGACCAGTGTGATATTGGGATTGAGCACAAGCTCGTGCTCGGACTGATCCCATTTCAGAGTAGGGCCGACAATGTTGACCTGCTCGTATTTTTCGCCAATCTCTGCAACCAACTCATAGAGCTCGGTGATGTTGTTGGGTCCCTCCACAAGCTTGGTGGTGCGCTTGAGGTAGGCCAAGGGCTCCACCTGGATTGTCACCTCGACGATAATTCCCAAGGCTCCAATCGCAATGCTGTAAGCTTTGAGCAATTCAGGGGTGTCTTTCTTTGTGATATGGTGGATCTCTCCTGTTGCATCGAGGACACGAAGGCCGACAATCTGAGTGGCGAGGTTCGGGTGTTGCTTTCCAGTACCGTGGGTTCCGGTAGTAGAGGCACCGATGTAGTTCTGCACCATTTCGCTGCCAAGGTTGGCTACTTGGAGACCATTCTCTTCCAGAGTTGGCATGAGATCAACCAAATTCCAGCCACCACCAAAGGTGACCGTGTGGTTGTCATGGATTTCCAGATGTTTTAGATTGGCCAAGCTGAGAATATAAGATTCTCGATCAGTGTCTTTGTCATTGACACAGGTGGTGAGATTGCCAAAACCGTGGCCATTTCCGACGGGCTTGAGCAGGGTCTTGCGTGGGTAATGGTATTTCACAAATTCAACAAGCTCTGATTCATTGGCAGGCACATAGTAGGCTGTGGCCTCGCATGTGATGTCAAATTGCCAGTTAAACCAGCGGTACGCTTCGACACCGGAGCTCGCAGCCAGAAGAGACAGAAATGCACCGCTCAAAGATGAGCGCGAGCGAAACATCTCGAATGAGTTGGAGATGACTGGAAGAGATTGACTTGAAATTTCCTTCTGAGGAATGCTCAACAAGGCCGGTGGAATTGAAACTGTGCCTGTGTGATGTAGAATGGATGGGAGGACTCCAGGCTTTTATATCCCAAACCATGACGCATCGCAATAATCTAGACTATTCAGCCATTTGGCAATTGAACTAGTTACCAATCGCATTGTGGTTCACTTCCATATCCTTCAAATCATCACTAATCATCGACGACTTCCTCTTTGGGTATTCGATAACCCGCCCGATGAGGAATGCATTGTTGGAGCTCGGTAAAACACCGGAGAACTTTGATCGGCCCTTTTATCCATGTAGCCACTGTTTGTTGGCCGTCTGCAATACCCATTATTGGTTAGAATAGCCCGATCATCGTTACAGCTACGGGAAAATATGGGGTGAAACTTGGCGATACCACCTTTTGAGAGGTTGGCAGCCCTGGAGGGTAAGCTGACCCGGATACTTATGACACCGGAGGATGCTTGGCGCATGCATGAACCTGATTGACAATTTCTTTTCTTGTCTTGTCTTTTATTCAGCATGGGGGCTTTCGAGAACATGTTGAATTCCACCTCGTAAAGAGGTTATGCCTCCAACACGTGGTCATCCCGCCCCCCTCTTCCCCGAAGATCGTATTGTACAGACCACAATGATACATCATTTACATCATTACAAGTAAAGGCCACATTCCATATGTCCCTTCTGAGATATGTAAAAGGACTCGCGCAAGCTCTTACTCTCTTCATTTAAAGACAACTTCTAGATAGCGTGCTTTGAGGGCATATATTGACCCTGTCGTGATCGATGAATATCGCTTCTGCAAAGTGAACCAATCCTGTGCCAAGCATCTAGGATCATTATGTTACATGTATGTACGATAGGTATAGTTAACGGATGGGTTTGGAGGTAGGCCATATCTTGGCTGCATCTAGGTCAAGGTAGCAGTTGAGGAAAGAAGGACCCATGAAAGAAGATTAATGATCCGGTGAGAGGGTGCATAACCCCAGTAAGCAGGCTTACTGGGAAATTGACCTAAAGCAGTGATGGATTGCAGATCGACTCGGGAAAAAGGGTATCCCGCAGACACTAGGGGATGCAAGTAGTCCGTCCCCGAAAAGTATTGTCCCTTTTGCAGAGTTGCTATACGCTGACACTGAAAGTGGCGTGATTAGCTCAGGATAATTTAGTTCGGCGTAAGGAATTGACCTATCGGCTAGAGCCAAGATTATGCCAAGAGCGGGAATGGCGCTGAATGTTTGGAGATCTGTCCCGGCTAATCTTATTTCCAGAGTCCGGAGTATAAAGCCACAATGGCGTTGTTCTGGACGTTAGATTCGTCAATCTTCTACAGTTCTAGACAAACAAAGCTTATCAATCTATCAGTACTTGGCCGATCCTGATATCTTTCTTAGGAATCAACCCCAACAGTTCCACTCTCGATTGTCCTATCATGAAGTCTAGACGGAGGGGCAAATCCATTTCCACACAAGCACTCGAGCAACAAGCTTGTCACTGAATTTGTGATCTCATAGCAAATTCTATTTAACCCTTCTTCACTATGGATTAGTGAGAAAGTACTGTGCTTCTAACGCCGAATAATTGAAGGCACCTGTAGACTGCGGTAAAGCCATACCAAGCCACTAGGTAAGAACATCTAGAGATAGGCAAGGCCGATCTTGGTTTGTCAATTCAACCAGCCTAGTTCCAGGGTTCTTAGAGTGCTGCAGATGTGCTTACAGTGGGGCATCTGTTCGACTCCAGATTGAGACACTTATGCGCCAAGGCTGAAAGATCCCCGTGGGATGCAACAGTAAGGCAAGTGCGCCGACTACTGCCTCTTTCGACCAAGAACCCGCATGATATCAGGTTCCTTGAAGAACGTTTAGCACGGAAGCTGACCGAGCTGTGGACGAGTTGCTGTTAAATAACCAATAGATCGCTCGCTACTACGTCCCGATAGTCACAGAGGCCGACACCCCTTTCTAAGTTTGCCAAGATGCTCTGCTCTACTCTTCTCTCTCTTTTTTCTTTGGCCCTCTTTGCTCAGGGGGACGTGACCAAGGAGCACGATGACCGTCTGACAACAGCCGTCATTCTGGAAACTCCCACCACGGGTGCCAGCACCACGCCGGAGGGCCGGGCTTTCCTTAAGCTTGCTCGAGTTGACGGCACGACGGGCTCTCAGATTGTCGAGGTCATCGGCGAGATCGGCGAGCAAAAGCTAATCCCGTATCCCGATGATGCGTGGAACTCGTGGAATGCCACCACCGATAGCGATGTCAACTCGCAGAACAAGTACGTCTCGGCCAACTCGTCGAAGCTCATCTCGTTCAACCTAACTACCAACGAAGTGCAGCGGATCTACTACCTCGGAGACGTGACCACTGAAGACGGCTCGCTGAACGATGTGCGCTTCAACGGCAAGTACGCCTACTTCACAGAGTATACCATCGGTTCCCTCATTGTACTGGATTTGGAGACGGGCTTTGCCCGCATGGTGCTTCGGGGGCACAGGTCGGTGGTCGCCTTGATGCCACTATCGAGCGACGGTCAACTCGTGCGCACTCAGTCGACTGGAAGGTTTGAGTATATCCACGCCGACCAGCTCGAAGTATCTCCAGACGGCAGATACTTCTACTACCAACCCGGCATTGGCTACATGTGGCGCATTGAAACCAAGTACCTGAACGAAGCCCTTCACAATGACAAGGCGGCGGACCTGCTCCCCAATTACGTCGAGCCATTTTCGTTGACTCCCAGCACTGGTGGCACTGCTATTGATGCGAAGGGCAACATATACTACAGCGACGGTGACCGGCAAGAAATTCGCGTGATCGCGCCAAACGGGACAACCACTTTGTTGGTGCGCGATGCTAGGCTGAGCTGGGTGGACGCGCTCTGGATCGACACGCAGCAGCGTCTATGGATGTGCGCCTCGCAGTTGGGCCACAGCACTCGCTTTGTCCAGCCTGATAATAAGACCAACACTATTGTGAAGCCTATCTATGTCTATAACATTGAGACCGGCAACAATCCGTCTCCAATTGACCATGCTTGAGAATGCTGGTAGATATTATTTGGCTTTGTTCTCGGCCAAACATCGGTTCTTATTCGAGTGAAGCGAGTCTGTTTGCTAGATGAAATACCGATTGTCGTTTCAGAATTTTAATACCTGGTAAAGGATTTTGTGGAATTTTAATCTGCTATTCCAACTAAAAGTGACATGATTTTTTGCTTAAAGAAAATATCTCATAAGAAATCCAGTAGCTTACCATATAAATCCATGTATCACCAATTTTTCAGGTGGTTGACTTTTAATTCGTCTCTCTCTTCCTCTCGCTCTATCTACACCTCCTTCTTCCTATCAACCACTACTGTACGCCTAAGCTTGCGACTACTTACCTGCTACCCTGTTGTACTTCTCGGGGTAGATACCACGCCCTAGAAAGTCGCCACCGAGTCTGATCCCTTGCTGTTTTATTTCTTGCCAAAAAGTAGTGAAAATGCAGATAGGGAGGCTGATATACAGTACATGGTATTAGGCGGTGGATACGGCGATCTATAATTCAGGTAACAATTCCCAATGTGGACGAAAATTGACAAAATACAGGGTATTTATTACTGTCCGCTATGCCCCTTTGCAAATGGGTTTAGATTGGGTGGCTACTAGCTTACCGAATACGTCACCAATTAATCAATAAGTAATCCTATCAAAAGATGTCCGATATAGATCTCGGACTTACTCCGTATGTGGTAGGATATTACCGCCGATTCGTATTATTCTATTATAATTAGGTAACAGATATAGAGTTTCGGGGTTATAACAAATACGAGGCCTATTATATCCGTATAGTGATTCGATTGCGATTCTAAGGAAATACTTGCCGATCGGACATTACCCGAGCCGGCCGCTAATACCTATAAGGGCTGATACTATATCGTTATTACCAATCTAACCGAATGGCCTACTGTTACCGAAAAAGTCGAGTCTCCAAAACTTTTATACGATCAGTTTCCTTTTAGGGGATATAGTATATTTATGCCTTAGAGGCTTCTGACCTTATCATAATGTGCGTAGCTAACATACATAGTCAGTGTCCGTCATGAATAGTATGAGGCTCTGTCAAAAAGGTTACGAATAAGACACTGTCCTACGATGAACATATAATATATTTTGTATGTAAGCATATAGAAGTCGACAGAGCGCCAGATTGAGTTGTCTTAACTTTACGGATAGAATTTGATAATATATCTTTTTCGCCCCAAATAGGAAGGAGACGTTGCATCAAAACAGTAAGACGGGGAGACGGGGAGACCGGGAGACCCGGAGGCCGGGAGACGGGGAGATGGAGCAATACTTGCCTTTTCCCTTCGGCGATATCATCGGGGATCAGGAGATAGACTAAAAGTCAAGGGAATGTATATCAAGAGACACGTTATTATAAAAGGGCGACTTCAGCTTGTCGAGAGCTTGTTCTAGCGTGACTCTATAACATTTTCCAAAGCTCCTCTCTGTGGTATCTTCAATACCATAACACTCTCCACAAAATGCATTCAGCCAGCACTGCCCTCACATTTGTGCTATCCCTCGCGATCCCAATCGCAGCCCAGACCATACCCTACTACCATATGTGGGCCGACACGAACGGTGTGTCGCATGTCTCCCAATGCAACTTCACCGATTTGCAACTTCAATTGCTATCGACGGGCGACAGTCCGCAATACCTTGACAAAATCGGCTCAACTTTCTCCAACGGCACTTATTCAAACACCAACTTTACCACCGATATCACGTTCACCGTGCAACCTGCAGGATGGTCCGCGGGGTGGCACAAGAATCCCAAGGTTCAGTTCATCGTTCCACTTAGCGGAAGCTGGACGATTCATATGACAGATGGCAGCGTGGCCACAATGGGACCAGGGGAGGTGGCCCTCGGAGAGGATCAATTCGCTACTGCCATCTCAAGTGGAGAATATGCTGGTGCTATTGGACACAATGCCACCAATGTGGGTGATGAGGCAGTGAATTTGATGATTGTTCAGACGGACTGGATTCCAAAAGTTGGAGAGCCATGTTGGCTGGAATAAATTGTCACTCGTCCCCTTTCCAATGACACGGGTGTCACGACTCAAGAATAGACCAGGCGGCGACACGGCATGTTGCCGCTCTGGTTATGACTACCCTGCAATGGAAGGATGGAGCATCCTGTTGGAGGCCATATCAGAGTTATCCAAGGATCACCACGATCACTGGTATACGTGATCAAAGTGATCACCACAGAACTACATATATCACAGTCATTACCTCAGTTTAGCCATTGGATAGTCTTCAGCTATCAATAAAGATTATTCAAGTTGTAAACGTTCCACGCTCTCATTCGCATGACAAATTCAAATCAGACGACACCCATATCCAGCTCGACGACACGGTCTGGCACATTCCATGACATGCCGCCAAACAAACCCATAACGCAGCAGATTATCGCCTCTGATGAGGTCCATCCCCATACCATAATAGCAAAGCCTTGTTCCCCCGACCTAGAGCGTCCCTCCGTCGATACCCAAACTTCTTCGAAGCCTCCTCTATCCTCAAATACCTCATCGTGTAACTGGCTGCATCCGCATCTTCTCATGCAATAACACACTTGGAAATCATTATATCGGCGTACACGGCAAGCGAGAGGGTAGGTAAGCACGCATCCCATTTGTCTGAATACTTGGCTGACAGCACCTTCAGAGCAGTAAGCACCGTATGATTAAGATAGACTAGGTTAAGAGAGCTATACGCTGTATAGGATGCACTTTATTAAAGACAACTTACTCCGCTCTGTGCCTAGGAGATTGCTTGCTACGCGCAAAGCAAAGGGTTAATACACTGGACATTAAATGCATTGAGTTCGTTGCCCAATTCTCTATCTTTTAACAATATGTATTTACCATGTTGGTGTGGTAAAATACGAAGTTGAATGTAGAGATATATATTGGTTGGGGTGCAGTTGAAAACCGACTGTCGCAGGACTTAGCCTCATAGGGTTTATGACCTTCTTCTAAAGACATTAAACACACTCTACGATAATACCGAAAAAAGCCTAGAGACTACTCGGCTGATAAAGGACGAATCGAGAGATTGCGCTGGATTGAATGCATCACAAAAATTGACGCAGAGCTCTAAGATTTCCGTCTCAAGGTCCCCGGACCACAACATTGAAGATATCGTGGGATAAGTGCCAGAATGTTCTTGATCGCCTGAAAGACCACAGCATAGTAGCAGAGCGATGTGCCGGTAGCATGGGGACGATTTGATCAAAGTTTGCTCTGTCGGGTAAGAGATCCATCCTTGGCATTGATTGACGTCATGCTAATTCGAGAAATAGAACAAGATGGCCAACAGCAAGACCCCAACGAACAACCTGACATAGCAGCGCACAGCATAGGGCAAATGCCGTTTCCGGAAGATCTTTTTCTTGACTTCGCTTTCGATAACCAAACCTTCTTTGACCCTTTTTGGTATGATTTGGAATTTTGATAATTTCCACGTTTAGTTGGGAAACCGCTCTCCTACTGCAGAAACTAGTGCTTTGTAGAAGTCCGAAGGAGAGGTGTAGTAATAAGATAAAATAATATAATAAAGGATGAATAGTGAGAGTACGAGGATAGAAGTGGCTTGACGCGTAACCATCTAGAATTTCATAGGCAATAGAGCATGTTACAATAGCATAATACATAGTATAATACATAGCCCCTATAAGAGAAGCGTGCGGAGTAGCAAGGCTCCAATCAAAATATCATACTTCACATTGTCTCTCACCTATATACTTCCGTGCTTCTTTAGTTCTACCAAAGAGTGCTGCGCAGAGTGCCATTCAACTGCGCACGGTAGAGCTTGTGCTCGTTGAGAATGTACAATTGCCCTTTCTTGCCGAAAGAGAAGTTTGAAGAGCCACCGTTAACCAAAATCTTTCCCAGTAAGACACCACCAGACGACCAGACATTGACACCGTCACCGCAGCCAGCGTACACATTACCGTACTGATCAACCTTGAGACCATCAGGAATACCATCACTAGGCATGGCAAAGACCCGACGGTTAGTTAAGAAAGGCTGTCCGTTGATGGTGGACACATCGAAAGCATAGCTAGACCATGTTAGTCAAAATTCCCCATCGCATTTCATTCATGCATAGATGAAAACCATTCCAGAGCTCAACTTACATAGTGGCAGGCTTCAGCACATCAGTAGTCCCATCACCAATTGTCTCGGCAGTATCGGAAATATACACGGTCTTCTCATCAGGCGAGAAAGAAATTCCATTAGGCCGAGCGAGTCCATCCGCAACAACGCGCACAGCCTTGGTAACAGGATCATACCGGTAAACCTGAGCTGGCAGCTTGGGCTTCGGCCGAATACCCTGGAGCCAGCCATAGATGGGATCCGTGAACCAGAAGGAGCCGTCACCGGCAACAACAACGTCGTTAAGGGAATTGAACTGGCGGCCGTAGAAGCCTCCCACGATGAACTCGGCCTTGTTGGGCGATTGTGCGGACATCTGCCATAGACCACCTGTGGTGTTCATGGTGCCTTGACTGGTCCAGAGGATACCACCATCGTGGTTTACGCCGCCATTGGGCATGGGAATGGTCGAGTTGAGGATCTCGGCGGTGACGGGGTTTGCGGTCACGTTCACCTTTGAGATCTTGATGGTCGTTTCATTGGTGACTGGGTCAGTGAACATGTTACTGGACACGAACAGTTCATCTGTTGTTGGGACATAGACGCTTGCCTCGTGGGCGAAGGGAAGGTCATTGTTCTCCAAGATAACCTCCAGCTTCGGGGCTGAGCCGAGGATGTTATAAAAGCCATTGTCATACACGGTGAATGCAGATGGAATGGAGGTGCTGGCCGGGGAGGCAGCGTGTGAGAGAGAGGTGGTCATCGTGCGTCTGACTTTCTGTCGTAGGGATGGTAGAAGTGTCTCGGAGATCTTCGTCAGGGGGGACCCGCGACCTTATTTAAGGTTGAATTGAGAGTGGCTTAGATTTTTTGACTGAGATGATGTCAGCAAACAGTGAATCCATGGATCCATGGATCCACTTCCTGCAGATGGACAACCTTACCACCTGCCCAGGTGGGCAAGCCCCCGGGTCCCCAGTCCATGGTGGGGTTACATAATGGCTTGGCGCCAGGAATTCCGCCGAGGATTCACCTTACAGATCCACTATTTTAAGTTACCATGCATGATTGTTGATCGGGATATATTCAATCTCCCCGGTTTGCTGCCTATATCCCCGGATACGAAGACTTCTAGGACTCGGGTTCAAAACGCAAAAACGAAGCTTTAGTCCTATACAAATGAATCCATCTCCATTTTTTTGAGTGGTTGACATGTATTAAAAATGAACCTTTTGATCTCCATATAAATTGATACATCTCCATATTCCTAGGGGATTTTGCAAATCCAAATATGATGCTCTTCCCACCACGCAAAAATACAGAGATCTCTCAATTTGTATATGATCAAACGCTTCAATTTTGACAGCTGTAAAAATTAATCAATTTACCATACACTGTATAGAGCGGTGTAAATAGCGGTACTAAATAAGACATTCTGGCATCAATTCCCTCCTACAAAAGGGGGTTGAACCCTGAGTCCTTTAAGTCTTTGTACCCGGGGTAAGTTCCATCGACCTCACGGGACTGTGGCAGGTCACGATGCCCCCCGACGGCTCTTGGATCACCGAGCCAAGCAGCCAAAGGGGCTATCTATGAAATACAACCATTATACAAATGCTACACGACCGCTCTTCGAGGCCATGTATGTAGCGCTGTTATGCGTGCAGTTATACAGTATCGCGATTCATGCTAAGAGTTTTAGTTTTCAACCTAACAAAGTCAAGTCCCCCAAAACAGCAGTTGATTGATTTTAAACACGATTGCGACATATGCTCGGTGGTATCATCTGACTAGCTTTATATTATTACTCCTTTTCCCACCCGTTCCATCGTTCAAAATTTCCCGCATCGAGGTTGAACATATCCAGCATTCTCCCCACACTCTGATTGACCAGATCCTCAACCGAGGAAGGTCTAATGTAAAATGCTGGCACAGGTGGAAATATTATCGCTCCACTCCGTGACACAGACAACATATTTCGCAGATGAATGTCGCTCAATGGCGTTTCTCTGGTCACTAGGACCAATTTGCGCCTTTCCTTCAGCGTCACATCTGCGGTCCGAGAAATCAAATCATCGCAGAATCCGGAATTGATCGCTGCAAGAGTCTTCATACTGCAAGGCACGATGATCATTCCATCTGTGTGGAACGACCCACTGGATATGGAAGCTGCCATGTCACTGATATTGTAGACGTGATCAGCGAGGGCCTTCACGTTGGCAGGATGATAGTCTGTTTCGTATTTGATGGTTGCTTCGGCCCATTTGGACATGACCAGGTGGGTTTCGACGTGAAGATGGCGAAGGGCGACAAGTAAATTGATTGCCAGTGGTGCTCCGGTAGCGCCTGTAATTGCTACCACAATCCGCTTTCGTGGCTCGCCTGCTTGGGGCTGACTGACGGACATTGTCGGATTGCGAGTATCAGGAGTGTGCACTCAAACCTATCGGAGGAATGAGAAATGAAAATAGAACAGTATTATGTTTTGGTGCTGGCAGTTATGGAGGCGATGGTCATGGTCGAGAAGGGATCCCTTTCATTTAAATATCCCGCATCTTCGTGCATTATCTTATCGGGGCTATTAGAGTCATTTGTCCTGCTTCAAACCATAGTGGTGGTTGTCTTTGGCTTGGCAATCGCTGCCCAGGTGTGGGACATTTCTCACAATGCGGAAACTGCATTGGTAATCGGGTTTACGGGGACATCATCGGCCTATCGGGCCGGTGTGATGGAGCGCTGATCATAGCCTGCTGCGGTCGGGAAGAAATAATCAAATTACTATGGATAGATCGGCCGGGGATATATGATGGGATCTGGAGTTCAAAACAGGATTTCGGGGCCACAGAAAATAATGATGTGGCCATAGTATGGTAATGCACGGCTGCTTGTGGCATGATACTTAGATGATAGGATGTTGAGAATATGATCGGCATCCCGCGGCTTAGCGAACCCTACGACATCCCTATCTCCCCGGGGATAGTTTACGCTATACATCGCAGAATCAAGAGAAGCTGAAGAACGAATATATTTAGCAGGGCCCTAACCAAGATGAACCAAAAACCAACTCTACTGACTCGACTTCCAAGAAATACTTGAAGACACCTCAGTAACGAAGCATTTGCTGTCATCGACAACTCTGTTATTCTCGGAACTCAAGCATCGAAACATGTCTACAGAAAAGCTCTCTGCCGCATCATCCCTGCGCACATTCCTTGAAGAATGTAAGGCGGAGGGAGATGTTGTGGAAATTGATCTGGAAGTGGATCCCCATCTCGAGTCTGGTGCCATCTCTCGCCGTGCATACGAAACAGGCAGTCCAATGCCGCTCATCAACAATCCCAAGGGTAAAGACGGCCCAGAAGGTCTCTTCCGCATCCTCGGTGCTCCAGTGGGTGTCCGATCTGATCGAGCAACTAGATACGCTCGTTTCGCGAAGTCTATTGGGCTTCCTTCCAACGCAACTGGACATGAAATCATCCAGAAGCTCCTAGTCTGCAAGAGAGCCGACCCGATTCCATCTGTTCTCGTTGATGATGCACCGCTCAAGGAGCACAAGATCTTTGGTGATGATGTCGACCTTCTCAAGCTGCCAATTCCACAAAATCACGCAAAGGACGGAGGCAAATATTTCCTCACATACGGGCTACACAGTGTTCAAACTCCGGATGGGAAATGGGTGAACTGGGCTATCACTCGTTGCATGGTGATCGGTAAACGGCAATTGACCGGCCTCGTGGACGTGAAGCAGGATATTGGGGCCATCTGGGCGATGTGGAAGGCTCAGGGAAAGGACACACCCTGGGCTTGCGCTCTTGGCGTTCCGCCAGCAGCCGTAAGTTCTATTCTAATCTTTTTTATGTCAGCGCCATACGCTAACATCTGAAAAATTCAAAGGGCGTGGCTAGTGGTATGCCACTCCCTAAATTTGTGAACGAGCCGGATTATGTCGGTGCTATCACAGGAACTCCTATGGAGGTCATCAAGTGTGAGACAAATGATCTTGTAGTGCCGGCACAATCTGAGGTCGTTCTTGAAGGAGTTATCTCGGCAACCGAGACGGCGATTGAAGGACCCATGGGAGAATATCATGGTTTCCTTTTCCCAACCAAGCAATCGGCACAGCCAGTGATGACGGTCAACGCAATTACCTATCGAAGCAATCCTATCGTACCGATCAGTGTCGCAGGTCGTGCTCCAGACGAAACTCATACCGTTTGGGCCTTGTCAATTTGCGCTGAAGTTCTCGACTTGTTGCAGCAGGCAGACCTACCAATCACCAAGGCCTGGTGCCCGTTCGAGTCTCAGGCCATCTGGTACGTGGTTCAGGTCGATCGGAAGAGGCTTGTGGAGATGAAGACCACGCCTGAAAAATTCTGCCGCCAAATTGGGGAGATCATTTTCACCTCTAAGCCTGGTCGATTTGTGCCAAAGATCTATGTTGTTGGCGACAATATCGAGCCTAGTGACTTGCATGACGTCGTCTGGGCTGAAGCGACCAAGTCCCAGCCACAAGCCAGCGACTTCTTCTTCGTGGGCAACTACCCAACCTATGATCTAGTACCATACGCCACTCACGGCTTTAACCCTCGTGAGCCCAAGGCCAAGGTCGTCAGATTATGCATGTTGCCCGAGGAATTCGAGACTTTGGACCGGCCGTGGATTGAAGCTTCTTTCCGTGGATCTTATCCGGAAGAAATCAAGAAGAAAGTCCTGGATAACTGGCAAGCATACGGATATGAGGAAAATCCTGTCAATCTCTGAGAGTCTTAATACTAGGACAGTTAAACTGTGCTATCGGGTTTCTAGGTGCCTTGATGCCCTATACTTTGCTTGGGAATTGACAGGGACACACCCGACTTTGTCGTCGAACTGGGGGGGTATTTTGCCACTGACAGGGTTATTCTTCATTCAACATGGACTGCTTCTTGATTTACGAGGCATCAACTACTGAATCAGTTCGAAAGAGCCCCTTTGCTTTGTACTGTACCATAATTATACAGAAATACACACATTCGCTTATTCTAGTACGAGTGCATACTTCACATTTCGGAACCGACAGAATGTCTCGGGCAAGGCACCTGGGAAAACTACGACGGACGCCCAATATACAGCCATACCTCGTCGCCCAAGAGCTAACATGAGCTTCAGCCAGCATGCGCAAGAAAATCGTGGCCCTGAAAGTTCTCCTTAATCACAAAATACGCGTTCAGGTTAGCGTCGAAGAAGTTCCGATGTCCAGATTACGGAGCTAGACAACGCTCGACGAGTAGTCTTGGGAGAGGACAGGGATTTCTCTCCTGCTTAATTGTCTACCATGAACGAGCCTTCACGGCGTACGGGATCTTACGTGATAGCCGCGACGCTACGAGACAACAGTGTTCCTTGGCGCGTTTCACCAACTTGACCAGCTATCCTATCGTGCATCACCAGCATTCATGCTGGCTTACAAGACAAAGAACTGCACAAAGTCTGCCAGAGTGGGGGGGTTCAAGATATTCACTGCACATTTCGCTTGACCGAGGACAAAGACCATGTACATGGGAGTATGGTCCTACGTTCCACATAGTGTAGGGCGTTATCACACCTTGCCTGTAGAAGAGTGGCTGGCCAAAAAGGATACGGGATTTGGGATATCATGCTGTATCTGGTGAATGAAAGTCTCCGCAATGTTGCCCGATTGACATACGAATGGAGCCTAGTCGAAACCATTATTCCTCTCCTGATGGGGGGCCGATTTTGTGCATTCGCACTAGTCGCAATCTCCGCGGCCATGTCTCCCCTGAGACGGGTATCAGGCGGTAGCGCCTGAAGTTACGACTACGGTGAACTAATTATCGAACTTCTGCAACCTCTGGTTGGTGATTATGTTAACTACGCACACTATGATAAGATCAGAAGCCTCTAAGGCATAAAGATACTATATCCGCTAAAAGGAAACTGATCGTATAAGAGTTTTGGAGACTCCAGTTTTTCGGTAACAGTAGGCCATTCGGTTATATTAGTACTAGCGATATAGTATCAGCCCTTATAGGTATTAGCGGCCGGCTCGGGTAATGTCCGATTGGTAATTATTTCCCCGGGCCCCGGGGATCGTAAGATACCTAGGGCTCGGATTTGTTAACGCCGAAACTCTATATCCGTTATCCGATTACTCCGTGTAATAGAAAAGTATACTCCGTAGATCTGGCGGTAACATCCTAGATCCGAGATTGATATCGGACATTATTTAATAAAATTACTCATTAATTCATTGTTGTGTTTAAGTTTTTAAAAGGATTTGGATTGTATAATAGCTCGACTATTCGAAATTTGCTTACGAATCTCTTCATCACTAATCGGTGAGGCCTGGGCCCTGAAATGAGATACTGTCAAAGCAAGGCCGAATTGGTGCATATACTAGTATGAATTAGGAAGAAGGATACAGTGATATTCCAAAAGTTTTTGTAGGGTCGCAGCAAGACAGAGAATAGGTCAAAAACAAATATTTTATTAAAGCAATGACCAAAAGAGGTTTTACTTGGCACTATTCCAAAATCGGGTTTGCCGTCGCCGAAAATCGAGCACTACCGCCAAAATTATGTTAACTTCAAAAGTTCCCAACTTCAATACCTTCTTTTGGCTCACCCAGAGATGCTGGAGAAGTTTCAATTGCAGATTCCGACTAGCTGGTTTGACTTCCCTAATTGAGGTCAATATCATACGACCCATGAGTGGCTCTAGTTTTAGTCAAGAATTGTCCTTTAGGAATGAGACGACAGGAGCACGCACGGTAGACCAATCAGCATAGCGGAGATCGATATTGGGGGTCCGAGACCATCCGCTATTAGGGTGTAGAGTTTCCCGATCTTACAGATCTCGTGCAGCAAATTTTCCGGCAAGTCGACCGAATGTAAGACATCTGAGAGCACTGTTGCATGGTGGATCTAAAGTGAACTGTCAGTAAATAGGAGGAACGACCCGTTGGCGATCTACCCAGGGTGTCAAATTCGGAGGCAACCTTACTCTTTTGATTTGTTAGTATTACTTGCTTCAATGTCAGAACATCAGGTAAGGCTTACCTCATTGTAATAAAACCCGCTGAGTTCACCGGTGCAGTAAAGTCCTGAGTTCGACGATTCGTGTCAGCAAGTTTCAAGTGTTCATGCGAATATCTAATGGGTTTCTCTGTCATAAAGAGTATTGAAAATAATACCTGGAATAGGAGTACCTGTCGTGGAGAGCACCCGGGAATCAAGATCGACCTTCAGTCCTCCAAAAGTGAACACAATCTTTGCCGTCAGAGGATAACTAAATACCCATCAGTATCAGTGGTACTTCAGCATAGTATATGATCTGAAAGGATCATTACCCATAGAAAGGAGCCACTTTAATCGGAGCGGCCCAGTTGGTCTTGTTAGGAGTTAGGCCGGAGGTGCTCTTGCCATCAAGAGTCGTAGGGTCAAATTCTTTGCCGTTGATCCTGCAATCAGACATTAGTATACGACTCCAACCTTAGCTTTATGTGACCTACGAAGCATTGTATTCATCCACTGTCTTCTTCAATTCTTGAGGAACGAGGCCGAGTTTAACGGCAAGATCTTCAATCGTTTCGCCCTTCTCTGGGTCAAGGTCAGTAGTATCATACACCCAACCTGGTCGGAATCGGTCCATAATTGGAGCGTCGGTAATACTAGGAGACAATTTAGACAAGTCATTTGCAGAATGGAATCATCAATCTCACAAATATGCTTTTTGATTTTGGTCTGTGATTCACGTTAGCGGCGTATACTCGCATTTCTGACCAACCTCGCCACTTACCGCGCCATGTCTCATAAGCAATGACTTCGCAAGTAGCGAACAGACTGCATTTGTCAGTTTGAACTTTGGACAAGCCGGAACCATAACATACGATCGATTCCCTTCATCATAGAACCGCTTTGAGTGTCTTAAACAGATGATGTGAGTCTTTATCTATCGTTTTCTTTTTCAGATGTTTGAAACATACTCGTTGACAACAATACCGAAGCTGTGGCCCCAGACAGTTGCCTCTGGCTTTGAAGAGCGAGTATCAACGAGCTCACACTATCATGATTTTAGTGAGTCTTTATGACATCTCCGTTGGAGTAACTTACGTGCAGGCCATGGAAGGAGCCCGCTGTTGCGGCACCAACTTGCAAGCCCATCTTGAGGCCGAAACCTGTGTTATACTTGAGACCAGGGGCTACCAACCCAAGCTGCTCGGCTCTAGGTCCAACGTATCGGCCCAACCTGCCATATTTTTTTAGATTCATATCATGTCGAAGGAGTCCTGATGACACTCACATTTCGCGGTTACCCTCAAAGCCACCGCATGATAGCATGACTTGCTTACCAAGCACTTTGGCGAAGCGGCCGTCGTTCTTTCGAACCTTGACACCACGAATGGTACCATCGTCATGGGTCAGGAGTTCCTCCGCATTTGTCTCCCACATAATGCCCACGTTCGGGTGGGAAAGTAAGTGCTCGAACAGCTTCAGGATTATGGCATACCCACCACCCTGTTTGTAGTAATTAGATACTGGCTGGTGTGATAATCACTTTTTGAGAATGCGTACTTCTCCTTTGGCGAAATTCTGGCCTAAAAATTCCTTAGCATTTGACATAGCCTGAAGTTACATTTCTCAGAAAGCTTACCTGTGTTGAATCCGAGGTAGACATTTTTCTCATCTTGGTGTTGAATTATGATTCCGTCTACCATATGTCAGTGTCAGTCCGAGCAGATGATGGGCTTCCGAATCTGTTTACGGTCCAAAAGAAACTTCACTGTGTTGGGAACTTCGGATTCCAGTTTCTCGCAGTATGCCTGATCAGCAAGCCCATTACTGCGATAATTAGAGAGTGTGATATTTGACCTAGCAGGAACGCTAACCTGACAAGCTAGACACTAGTGAGTCGCGAAGAAGATGAAAGTCATTGGCCCACCACTTACCTTCATCTCATTCTTGAAGTCGCTATCAAACTTGTTATCTGCTCAATATATCAGTAAGTTGTACTTCAAGTTGCAATTATCTTGCAACACACTCTTGTCCAACCGAAAGAAGGCCGGTGTCCACCTGGGCGAGCTTTGTAAGCACATTTATCTCAATTATAACCAAGACTTGAAGCTTCTACCTGCTGGCACCACATCGTTCTCCATCTTTACCGGCCTCAATCAGAGCAACTTTGGTGGCCTTTCCCTTGATCTTAGTATCTTCAAGGAAGTTTAGAGCGGTCATACACCCCTAAAAAGAATATCATTAATACCTCGTCACAATACATTAATTTACCAAGCTTACGGCAAAACCAGAGCCAACCACAACAAGGTCATACACCTGGTCAGAATCCGAAGGGTTATTGGCAGGTGAATTGATACTCGACATGATGCTAGCTTTCTTCGCGATTGTTGTCGATATAGGTCTGCACAATAAAGTAATTAGTGACAGATGACAGACAAGACGGATTTTGGATGTGAATTGCTTGATGAGCCCTTGGGGCAACGGAATTTAAAAGTCACCGTATTCCGGCGAGATCTCAAGCCACAAGTCGAAAGTGACGTGGTATCGGACTTTGTACGGAGTAAACAACGGGAGGATCTACCCGAGTTTCTTGGCTCCGTATGGGCCCAGCCGTAATCTCCCCGTCGGAACATGAACCGAAACCTCTCGTATTCAATCTTGCCGCCTTTTCCGGCCCGTGGAATTGCTGGTAATAGTCCCATGCGTACCCACATCTCGGTCTCGATTCTGTCTTTCTCCGCTGGCTTCTGCTTTATCCAATAAACGACCACTTGTCTCTTGTGGGCGCTAAATGAATCCATAGTGTTTTAATCTTGTTAACAAAGGAAATAGGGTTTCCAGTCGTTTCAGCATCTCTCCGAATCATCGCATTTGCGCTCTATTCTACCATACGGGCAGTGGATGGAATATGGAGAGCATCAAGAACTTCGATCTAGCGAATCAATGCTACTTCATACTCATGGTCTAGGCGCTTGGTAGTGATAATGCGCTACGTACGAATTCACCGATCCTGGAGGCGCGCCCGCAGCCGAAATATGGGAACGTCGAACTCACGCGCCAGCGATACGATTCTCGCATTTTTTCGAGCTCTAGCGGCCTCCCAAGCGGACGGAATACGCTGTTCAATGGCTTCATTTGAAGAATTGAAGGTGTGGGTAGAGGAATGAAGCTGAATACCTTCAGAAGCTACGTTAAGCTTTGTCGGACTTCCACTAGCGGTATGGGTACGCACGGGACCATTACTGTCCTTCCTTCTGTATCGATTACCATATCCGAAGTTCTCCGGGCTCAATGTGGGGGGCACAGAGGGGTGGGAAAATTCGTTACTCATTCGTTTGCTCAATTTCGTTTTGCTAAGTCCTACTTACTTTCTCAAAAGGCGTGCGCTTCAATTTTCTGGGCTTATACAGGTCATCTAATTTTTGGGATACTGTATACTTCCCAATGTCGTCCCCAGAACCGAGACAGAAACGGCGAAGAGTTCCCTTGGCCTGCAGCACATGTCGGCAACGTAAATCCCGAGTAAGTCTTACCTACGGTAGTTGGACAAATAGCAGGAATCAGTCGAGAGACTCTTTCATACTTCGTGGTAATAGTTATACTGTGTACTGTTATCTGTTCCGCGTTCTCTTTCCTCCGCTCACTGGGTCCTCGCCCTTGGATATGAAAGTGCTAAAAAGCAAGGGAAAAAAGACATGCTACAGTCAAATATCTAACTTTTTGTCTTCTAACAGTGCACCGGTGAAAGGCCATGCTCTACCTGCAGGGAACTCCAAACTGAGTGCCTGTATCCAGCAGACGGATCTTCAAATAACCTTACAGGAGAAAAGAGGTATTACCATGTTGTCCCACCCTTCCATGGATATTGCATTAATTGGTTTAGATATCTTCTACAGATGGAGAAGAGGCTGGCCAGTATGGAAAAGAAGGTCCAGCAGCTTTGGCAGGCACAAGGCCCAGTCACTTCGAGCGCTATTGACAGCCACCCAGCAGACGGTGTGGCCCAGGAGCACCAATCCGATACGATATCCGAACTTAGAGAGATAGATTCCTCAGAGAGTGCTGTGGATGGAATGGGCACAATGAATTTCACCGATGAAGAAGAGTCCGGCTTTTTCGGTATGTGTGAAAACCATGTGAAGAAGTCATATGGCTTGCTAACCCCAGGAAGGTCCATCATCCAACATAGCTTTCATGAGATATCTATCTCGTGCAATAGCGAAAGCAAAATCAAACGGCGTGGTCCGAGCTGCGACACCGCCATCGATGCAGAAGCGTGGTGGTATGATAAGCCCTGTTCAATCACAAGCCCCAGTCGTCAGCCGTGAACCGATCGCCGAGGACTCTATCACACCCAGACATGTGAATATCTATGCTCTGCCACCAGAAGATCGCACCCGAACATTGATCGAACAATACTTCGAAAAGACTGGCCAGCTACTCCCTTTCATCCATGAAATGTCTTTTTATGAGACGTATCTCCAGATGCGGCTCAAAGGTTTCAGTAAAATACGACGAAACTGGCTCGGATTACTAAATATAATCCTTGCTATATCCACAAGCCTGTCAATGAAAGATGAACTTACACCGGAAGAACGTATTCAAGAATCGGACATATATTACCAAAGAGCCAACAGCCTCTGTGACAGAGATTCGAAGCGTCATGCAAGTCTTGAGATGGGTAAGTAGCATTTGATACCGACCAAAAATTCATAATTTTGCTACATATTGTACTGACCTGGCAATTACTAGTTCAATACCTTTTGGTATTGGGGCAGTACCTTCAAGGGACTCAGAAATCAATCCAAGCTTGGACTACTCATGGTCTAGCTATCTCTGTCGCTTACCAGATAGGTTTGCATTCGCCTGACAGAAATCAAAGACATTCTCCATTGGAATATGAAATTCGCAAACGCACGTGGTTCGGCTGTGTTCTTTTGGATCGGTAAGAATTTCGAACCCCAGCCTTCGTGGTGGGAGGTACTCATATCGCCCCAGCACTCTCAGCATGACTTTTGGTCGTCCTTGCTCGATTCCCGAATCCCATATACAGTTAGATCTTCCTTCTCGAGAAATCAAAATGCTGAGTTCTGGCTCAGAGAGCAGTGGCTCGTCTCAGCTGGATGGTGCTTTCTATACAGCCGCAATGTGAGCATCCCGATGCGATTACTTTCTGAGTGCTGACAAAATTTTAGCAAGTTGTATGTCATATTGTATCGCGTTTTAGATTCCTGTTATGGAAAAAATCTTGGCCTTCAAAATTCACTGAGCACTGCAGATTCAATGTCGCATATCCTTGATGAACAGCGTCAGCTCAACGAATGGCGTACCCAACTCGTGCCATCTCTAGGGTTGCACATTCATGAGCGCTTGATGACTCCTGAAGATGTGAAACATATGGACCCGCACTTTATGATACGCTACCGGTTTGACATTGTCCTTTCTATACGCTACCATAACCTGCGAATACTCCTGCATCGTCGTCGTCTTGAAAGCCTCCTGGAAACCCTTTGGCTTCCTAGTGACATGCCTACCGAGGATAAAAGGATCTTCATGCCCATGGATCTTGCAAGCGTACATAGTTGTCTTGAATCCGCCAGTTCCATTATTGCCATCGTCCATAGCTTCACGACATCTAAAGTTCGACATCACGAGTTTCTGGGCGCGTGGAACTATACATTATACTACAGTGAGTGAAGGGTCTTCAATCGCCGTATGCTTTTGATATGAACAAAAATGCTGATGGTAATCTAGCATTCAATGCCGCATTGGTAATAGTTGGCTGCATGGTAGTAGCTTGGAAAGACCGAGATGACAGTCCTTCAACATGGGACACGGTGGACAAGTCCAGGGGTTATATTGAGAAAGCAATTTTAGCGCTTCGCCGACTTGATTCCGGGAATCGAGTAATAGCACGATGCGTTGAATACCTTTCGCAGCTTGTCCTCATCTTGGATACTTTGAGTAAGTCAAGTGTTCCCTTGAGAATCGGTGGTGATAGCTTAACGCAATTACGGTGGCCACTTACAGAAACCACCAATCTTGCAAAGCTAGAATCGGCCAATATATCTTTTGAAATTCACCATAGCTAATAAAGTTTACATACAGCTTCGGATCGATGGCATTCAAGCAACACAGCGGCTTCCAGTATGCTCTCAGAATACTTCGACGACCTTTTCACATCCGAATACACCGACTCATTACCTCTTGCGCATCCAGGGGATTTCGTTATTGATTCGGATCTGGAATTTCTTAGAAACGTTTTCAATCCAGACGCGGAATGAAGCTGGAAGGGTATGGGGAACCCTGGCTTTAAATAACTTGTATGGCTCCTTGTATCGCACACTGATCAAGTAACCTGTCGATGATGTTATATCGCGGTCTTGCACAGAGTCCTATGTTTTACATTTGTATCACTACGTTGAATCAAATCCTGTGTTTGGTTAGGTCAATAAATTACATTAGCCAAATTCTACGAATTCAATGAATTAGGCCTCTTCTGTGTTGTAATCAATTGTACAGGGCATGTGCGTGCAGGATACGCCTGTCTCAGGCAGGTACTATACAATCTAGCAGTTCTACTCATCTCCACCCTTGATGCTTTTTTTCTCAGTCGAGATATCGGGAGTTGTGTCCCCTCACGCTACCATGTTTCTAAGAGCGTCATCATTCGTAGTACACCTACGTGAGTACTATAAGGATATCGGGCCTCATCACTGGAGGGTTGAGGATAGGCTTGAAGAATGAATAAAGGTAGACTACCTCCTCAACACCATCATCATATTCATCATAGGTACAGTATATTCACCCTGAAATTCAACACCCTCAAGCTGCCACCTGGGCAGTCTTAAACTCGGCACTAAACTCATAATCAATGTACCCCTTCGGGTCCTTGGCGGGATAGAAAGTGTCCCTATTGTAAGGAACCAGCTCTACCCCCTTGAGAATCCTGAACACCAGATCAGGGTTTGAAATGAATGGCCTTCCAATCCCAATAATCGCATCATAATCCTTATACTTCCCATCAACTGCCTCCTTCGCTGAATCAGGCTTGTACCCTCCAGCAATAATAACTGGCCCTACCTTACCATACGCCTCGAGGAAGAAGTCCAATTGATCCGTCGCCCCAATAACATCAGTGTTTCCGGCAACCCGCGATTCGACAACATGCACATATGCAAGCTTGAACTCCGCTATCTTGCTCGCAAGGTAGCTGAATTGCGGTACTGGGTCATCCATGCGCATTCCCTGGAATGTGCTGTAGGGACTGAATCGGATACCTGTGCGGTCTGCACCCACGGCATCGACCACGACGCGGGTTACTTCGAGTGCGAAGCGGGCGCGGTTCTCGACGCTGCCACCCCATCGGTCTGTACGAGTGTTCACGGTGTCCTGATTGAACTGGTCGATGAGGTAGCCGTTCGCGCCGTGGATTTCGACACCGTCAAAGCCCGCGGATATGGCGTTGCGGGCCGCTTGGGCGTAGTCCTTGATCCAGTCTTGGATCTCAGATTCGGTGAGCTCGTGGGGCACTGTTGTGCCGGGCGTGATAGGGTTGGGGCTGCTAGAGACGAGTTGGAAATCGCCTTCCTTTTTGAGCTGTTCAGGGCTTGCAACGCGGCCTAGGGCCCAGAGTTGGAGGTAGATGTATGAGCCCTTGGCGTGAACGGCGGAAGTAACTTCTTTCCAGGCAGCGATTTGGGCGGAGGTGTAGATACCAGGCACGTTAGCTGCGCCGCCGGCACGTGGCGAGATGAAGGTTGCTTCCGTGATCAGGAGAGTTCCTGGTACTGAGGCGCGCTGGGCGTAGTACTCTACCATCATCGGTAAAGGGGTATGGTTGTCGTCGGCGCGGAAGCGAGTCATTGGCGCCATGGCGATGCGATTGGAAAGGTCCAGCCGACCGACGTGGAGAGGGGTGGAGAGCTTGGTCATTACGGGCGATTTGTGTTCGTTGAGGTCGTATATAGATAGATATATGAAGGGAGTAGTCTAACAGGATTAACAAGGTTAATAGATACAAGGTCGGGTGTCTTTATAGATGGACGCTAGTATAGATGGACGCTAGACCTACAGGGTGATTTCCAAGCAAGTATGCATGCCGGTGGAGCAAATGCCACACTATAACCAAATCCAGATCACTATTTCCTATGTCCCCGAAATCCTCTTTTCACACCCGAGAAGCCGTCCTATCTCCCCGGCTGATTTATCCGTGGGAATTTGATTTTTTTTCCCCATGATCAGTCAGCCCGACTACTCAACAGGTCCGGCATGCCGATGATGCAGGCAGGTCCTAGCGGTATGTTTTCTGCTGACTACAAAAAGCTCTTATACTAATTCCTTTAGTCCTGGTAGGTACAATTATGTATTATATACTAGCTAGGGTATATAGTCTACTTTTTGCCTCTATGTACAACATATATTGGTAAAAATTGCTTACTATTGTTCTATTTGAATCGCATATATCGTAATATATATAAACTGCTATAGAACTGTTACGTCTAGTTCGTGTTAGAAATAGTATATCTCCCGTAGTGATAATGGAATAGACCATCGAGTTATTGGAGAACACATAGGAGATGGCGTCGAAGGGTTAAATATAGGGTATTTTACCCAGAAAAATTTCATATGATCATAGATTGGGAAATCTTATACAAATGATTGCACATTGTGCTTATTTAGATTGTCCGCTAAAATTCTCTTTTTTGTTTACTCGCACCTTAAAGCTCTACCAAAGTATAACTAGCCATTAATAGGTAAAGAAAATCATAGGATTTATTAAGGAGAAAGAGAGAGAGGAAAGAAGATCAAACTGAATAGGCGAGGAGCGATCCTACTGCCTAGGCAGTAAGGCTGCCTCAAAACCTTTGTACCCGCCTAGCCTAGCATATTCTAAATCGTTTATTTCTTTTGCGCATGTTGTCCATGCTCTCGATATGAACCTTTATGATACAATCGCAGAGGATATGGAGTGGAGGAGATTACTTATCGCCTCATTTGAAAGTCCAAGTAGTAGAGATTGTATATCATTTATTGACAATCTCAGTTATATTTTCACATGTGCTAAAATTTCGAACATAGAAATTTTTCTCTAAGACATACTTTGTGAAGGCAAATATAAGCAAGTGTGGCTAACCTTCCCAATCTCATTGATGTTTTATTGCAAGCTTTGACCAGTTCATGACACCATTCCCATGTGGTTATTATTTAAAAGTGGGTAGCAAGCTGATGAAAACTTTAAAAAATCTACTAAAATAGTTAGAAGGCATTGGTTATCAAAAAATTCGGTCGATATGACCCCCACAATATAGTTTGTTATAGAGTGTTCTATTAAAAGCTACACGAAGTATAAATTTGTTCTAGACAGAGCGATAAAGCATAAGAATTTATGTGGGGGCATCATTTCACACTTGTTTACAGCAAAATATATCAGAGATAAGCAAACAGTATACTTTTAAGTATCAAGTAAATTCAATTTAGATTCTTCTATTATTGAATAATACAACACATACTACAAAGTGTACTTAGTACCTAGGTTGATGTTTCTGCACAGCCTTGGCACGACATGCCGCCTTAAGGGCCCCGCCAATCTCCATCCAGCCAGAACACACCTCCTTCGTCCATCACGCAAGTGATCGACAGGACCGATGTGCAGAACAAGGTGGAGAACTGTCATTCGCTCGTTTTATCCGTGTCTTTCTTGTCTGAAACAATTTGCTCCGCACAATATACGGCCATTCCGTCCACCATCTGTACCGTAGTTCCTGGTTCCACTGCAATATGCTATACCCCGGGTGATAGGACTATTTTTCTATCTATGAAGATCCCTCCTTCTTAAAATCTTTCGCCACGGGCTGGAACTTGCTCCCCTGCAGATCCAACTCCTCCCACGGAACTAATATTGTTTCGGCGGTCTTTTGACGGCCTTTTAACAGCTCGATCCATCATTTTAGCTCCCCAACCATGAAACATAAGGGGTATATAACAGTTAGAACTTCCTGTTTTCGCGGCTTTTTTTTCAATTATCAGTGCTGTGCACCTTCATTCTTTTCAAAGCTTCAAATATTTCTTTACATTGATACCTCTAGCATCCATTCATTCCCTACTTTCACTTTCAGGTATCCAACAACTCAACAATTCATCATGAAGTTCACTGCTGCCATTGGCGTTGCTGCCCTATCCATGGCCCCATCTGCTGCGGCCTGGAAGCTGCCTGTTAGTATTTTTCTACACTACGTCCTCAGATATATCTTGTGCTTTGCTGACATCATCTCCCCAGCATGCCAACAAGGCTGACGCTGCCACTCCTACTGGTTCTTCTTCCAGTGGCTTCCCTGGCGGTTTCCCATCCGGAACCCCATCTGTCACTCCAACCGGAACTCCAACCGGGTTCCCAACTGGATGGCCTACTGAATGGCCTACTGGGTGGCCCACCGGATGGCCCACTGGATGGCCTACTGCATTCCCAACTGGATTCTCCTTTGGCCGCCGAGCACCTGGTCATGGACCTGGCCTTAAGGGACCCGGCCACGGAGGGCATGAAGGACATGGTCATGGAGGACACGAAGGACACGGTCAGGGACCCAAGTCCACCCGCTTCCCCACCAGCTCTCCTACCAGTTCTCCTACCAGCGCGCTTCCTGGATTCCCCGAGTCCACCGGTGTTCCCCCTGGGTTCCCCGGTGGCTTCTCTGGTAGCCAAGCCTCTAGCGGTTCCTTCACCACTCTGCCTATTGCTACCGCGACTGCTGGTACTGTTGAGCAGGGTGACTTCGCTCGTCGACACGCCCGTCATATGTTGTTCTAGATTCCGCAATTTGCAGCCTCGCTCGTGTAACGTGTGAAATAGATCATAATTGTGTTTTCCGTGGCTGCTGGATCAGCTATAGAGAAGATCTTGGTGCTATTTTAGAGTCTTCACTGAGCACCATGTATAGTAGTGAACCAGTAAATTTGTGCACACATAGCATAACCAACTATAATAACATGAAGGAAAATACAAGTTGTGGCCACCCTAAAGAACCCTAACAAATGGTGGCTTATGCATGCGCCAGGAAACACTTTATCTAGCCTATCACACATATCACATTTCATTTCTATTGGGATATTCCCTTTTTTCTGCACCTGTAATTACAGCATGGGGCTCATGGCACGAATCGAAATTCTCTAATCATGGTAAGCCCATCAACATCTAACCAGTGTTGGTGGCACCACCGGGTGGCAAATGCAAGGAATAGATACCCTTTAGATAGCAACCTCAATTTCTTCGTCCTTAAAGTCGGTAGTGGGAATATCGGAAGACATTGTCGAAAGCTATGTTACAATACATGACTGGGAACCCGAGTATTCAACACCTCGGAAAATACATGGACCGTTATGATAGTGGGCCCCATACAAATTGCATATTAAGCTTAGTCAGTTATGCCCCAGCAAATTGTCAAATAGGGGATTCTTGTCATTTTAGTTAGTTAGAGTCATACACATCTGTCATTTTGACCATACATTGCAGTACCGGTGATTTCCGATAGACATGTATGTTGTAAACGGCGGAACTGTGAATTGTCTTTTCCAACTAGTTTTGCTTTTTTTGTTTTAGCGCCCCAATACGCCGTCACGTAACCTTCCTTCAGTGCCCTCCGACATAAAGAGACCCGTCTTTGCTGCTCAGTCTCTAGTGCTCCGAGGACTAAGACACGGTAAGAGATGCCTGTAACATTTAACTAATTGCCGTATGGCCCTATAGTATGCTCCAAGTGATCTTTATAGCCCGTAGGGACATGAGAAATTCTAAAAAGCCAGACGAGAACAAAGGATCCAAAGATCCCTGTAGTAGGTCTATGGTTGGGCAGCTAGCCACTACCGCCAAGACCGCCCCTGGAGAACTGGCGGGACTAGCGGTTTAGCGGATCCTCTCCGGCAAGAGAGGACGAGCGATATCGACTCTAGTAAGCGGAAGGTGCGGTGATCCTAGGGCTTACGGATGTATGATTGGGCCCAGTTGCATCTACACACACGACTGCGCCCATAGTGCATTGAAGGAGGCCTGATTGGACCACGCGGGCGGGCGTACATTACCAACTTTGCAGTTCGAGCCTCATACTTCCCTTCACCCCTCCTGCGAACGCCGTCTATATAATGTCCTCCATGTGAGAATCGTCAGAGGACCTTTATAATACCAGCATCGGTTGCATCCCTTGTGTATATCTAACATCATCCTCGCTCCTGTGGAAGGAATCCTCAGCAGCGTCTGTCATTTAAAAGGAGGGGCCTCTACTACTCAAGATCTTCCGCATGATCCCTTCTCATCTTACAAAATCTTCTAGAGCCATGCTGTGCCATGCACCTAATAAATCAGCCTCCAGCACGGCCTTGATAGAGGACCGAAGCGACGACCATCACAACGCGCACTCTTCTACCACACAGAAAGAACGCCCGTCGCAAGCTACAGGAAGACTGGCCTGTGACATTTGCAGAGAACGTATGCGAAGCCTCCGGAAGAGTGAACGAAGTACCATGCTGACTCTGATCCACAGGCAAGGTCCGTTGCGACCGCGGGGACCCAAAATGTGGCCGTTGCGCTCGGCTTGGCTACGACTGTAGCTATCAGGGACGGAAGCGACATCGTGCAGCTCAAGCGGATATGCCACGCCAGTTAAGTGAACTACAGAACCGATTAGGTAAATGCATCCAATTTCGAGTAAATTGCGAATAAATTGTACCCTCGCTCATTCCGGTCGGTTGTCTTAGCTCACGCAGAGGCGCTCCTGCGCAGAACTCCCTCCACAGCATTTACTCCCACTACTGCTCGACAGATTCCTCCCCATGTGGACTTATCCTGGCCGTTGATGCCGCCTTCGGACCGGTTAGGCGACCATGAACGACTAATGCAGCGGCTCCAAAGCCATGCAATCCCTCCGACGGATCGTACCTTTGAGGGGCTGGACATGTTAGCGAACTTGACTGAGGATATTCCCGATTTCTGGGGGGTCATGGACCCGGCCCTGACGCCGGACGCTCTTTCACTCTTATCAGGCGATGCACCTCAGCTGCCAACCCCCTTCGACACGGGCTATCTCCATGCTGCGAGCGGTAATCCGGTTCCTCCTGCTTTTGAAAACTCTCTATTCTCAACGCATGATCTAGAAGAGTCAATTTTACCGTCCGAACTCGCCGCCTTGTACTGTATGCCCATGTCCCCTTTGGCTAGAACAGGAAATTAATCGTTCGACTCAGACACCAGAAGTACTTTGAAATTTTCTATCCGGTTTTTCCAATCCTTAATCAATCGCGATTTCGCCGAGAATGGGCCCAGGATCCAGCCTCCCCCCGAATCCGTGGATTAAGTTACGCTGTGGCCCTGATCGGCTCGATGATTGCGCCAGAATACGCCCATCTACAGTCACCTTGTTACAGTAATGCCCGCAAATACATCGAGCTCTGCGAGCGCGACGATGATGATGTGAACATTATGAGCTTGAATACATTTCAAGCGTTACTATTCGTTATTCGCTACGAGCTAACGAAAGAGTGCTTTGTTCGCGCATGGATGACTCTCGCCCGTGCTGTTACGCTTGCTCAAATCCTCAACCTGCACCACATTGATGACGTGGATGCGACTCGAGATCAAGGCAATAGGTCCCAAAAGAATGCCATAGAGACAGGGTACTTTCTCAATATTCGCGATCCAGCCTCAATAGAGGAAATCCGACGTTCCTTCTGGTCTTTATACATCTTCGAGAGTTATGGGAGCGTTCGGACCGACCGACCTTGCACTCTAGAAGAGGATACCTTGTGTATCTATCTCCCATCTCCGGGTGAGCTTGAAGAAAGCTTTCTGCCTAGCCCGATGCCCTTTATTAGCGAATCGACAAAACTTACTGGGGTTGGGTACCTGACCTCCTACGCTGCGGTGACCATCATGGTCAAGCTTGCCCGTCTCTGCTTCAAACACGTGAGTATTCTCTCTTGCAGTGCCAGCGACTCGGGCTTCTGGGATCGACATTACCGTCTGGTTAAGACGATAAATGACTATACTGCCATATTCCAACGATACTTAACTGCGAAGGCTGTCCGGGAAGACCCGTTGGCCTTTTCGCTGCACCTTAATCTCTGTGCAACACATATTAGTCTTCACGAGGCAGCGATACGCAAGGTTGAAGAGCAAGACCTGCCAAAGCTTATTGCAGCTGAAAGTCGGAAGTGCAGTGCCGCCGCGGCATTTAAGATTCTTGGAGCTATTCGCATGAACTGGCCCGTGCAAAGGTCAGAGGTAAATCTTTTCCATTTCTAAATGCCCTGATATCTCAAAGTCCAATCTGACTCATTGTAGCGCGACCATTTCACCCTTCAAGCGACGTTTATTGGCTGGCCTATTTCCATGAGCCTGATCGCCCTAAGCCGCAGTCTAGCCGATGGCGACACCACTCCGATCGGCATAGTGGACTCTCTGCGCCTGCTACGTACTGCTCTCGGTCAGGTAGAGGAACCTGATGGGTATTGGCACCAAGCTAGCGGTGGTGCGGTGACTGCTTTGGCGAAATGGGACGAGGAACAGCGCGAGTCCCGTTCCATTGAATGACCTGATGTCGCCTAATATGCGTTCAACGGATATGTAACTCATAGAAATAAATCGACGATCTCGGTTTTAACCAAGTATAAGCCAAGCTAGGTTTGATACCTCAAGGTACCTGAGATCAGGGTCCACAGAGAAATCACCCCGACAGTTTTAGAGAGGCTCAAATCAGCGGAAGGCTAATTTGTAACTCGTCTCAATTTTGTTATGTCCCGAGGTCATACTATTGGTTTATTAAATACTCTCAAATATCCCCCTTTGCTCGTAGACGCCTGAAATGATACATGGACATGAAATTCTTCTTCTTTCTATTGCATAGTCTTGCCTTCTATGTGTATCTACTCAATGAGATGCCTAGACCTCCGACCAAAATTGCTAGGAATTGCTAGGCAAAAGCCACAACAGCGTCGAATCAAGACGCAGGAAGAATTCCATCAACAGAAGCCAAATCTGCTGCAGCTCCCCATTCCAAACCCACCATTTCTGTGCTTGCTCCACTTGTTGCTTGTGCCTAGCCAGGCTTTGCTTCGTTGCCTGCCTCTGCGGCGACAGTATCCTGCCATCTTAGAAGACCCTTCTGCTCAGGAAAATCGACAAAGCCCAGCTTTTGCTTGTTGAGACGGGTATTGTTGGGCCCGGGAGCGGCTGGGTCGTTTCGGGTGGCGGTGCGGGAGACAAAGTTGCGGCAACGGTGGAATCGGGCTAGGAAGGTGAATCAAATGGGTCAAGTGGGTATTGGTGGCAATTCTTAGGGATTGAGTGAGATGTGTTGGTTATTTGGGCAGTGTAGAAGGGTCTCAGTGACTTTGCCTTGTCTCGCCTTCTGGTCCTGAGGCCAAGGTGTATAGCTTCAATGAGAGATTTGCTTGAGTAAAAACGGCTGTTCCTTTTTTCTTTTTTCTTTGTTATAAATTCATAGTACCCCTTTGTATTTTTTCATATGAAATCGACTCCAATCCCATATTTTAAGTACCACAACAATTGCACAATGAGACCAACCCAAGACCCGGAGTACAAAACACAAAACAGCTCCATCAATCCTGAGCTAACCAAGGCAAAGTGACAAACTTTCTTTAGAAATGCAAAGGGTGTCTCAATCCATATAATTGATGTGATTTCCTCGGGTCTTAACAACCATAGATCACCTCTGGCCGGAAGTTTCAAGCCTTTTCATCCCCAGAATCTGCTCCCTTCATCCTCGTTTTCTACAAAACCGGTTGATTAGTGCACATTATTGCATCCAAAGTACCCCAAAAGGACTGAAGCTTACCCCCAAAGGCAACGTAAGAACGAAACTCAATATCCCGGTCACCAAAAAGAACAACCACACATTGCTCAGCGCATCTGTGATTTGTGGCGCCACCAACACTCGCTCCGACTCTGACAGCGCCTTATATGCTCGGCTACTGGTACCAGCAACAAGGTTGGAAACATCGGCTGCACTCAGCTTGGGAATCGCCCGTGACACTTTTTGCAATGCAATATTCTGATAAATTGATCCACACATTGCGAGGAAGATTACCATGCCGAGGTCTTGGGCTATATTTGTAGAATTGATGGTTAGTGGATCTGGTATTTGGATTTAATAGAACCGCATTGGTATCTGAAGTCCTCTTACAAATAGCCATTGCGCCCACGGCATTCGGGATATCTTTTGGTGCAACCAGAGATTGTACAACGGGGAACCCGGAAACGACATAGCAGCCTGCTCCGGAGCCGACAAGAATGGAGTAGCCATAGATCCTAGCGTTGGACGTGTGAATGTCTGCAGCGTCTGTATTTTTCCTTTTTCATTAGTGGTCATTCTATCTGCGCGTTATGATGCAAACAAATAAGAAACGAGGGAGACGAACACATCAATGCTGTTCCAGTAACAACGAGGGCACTGCCAAAGATATGCCATGGCAGGATGTAAGGCAGCTTCGGCATCAAAGCCCCATTGGCTATGGCGAAGACAACCATGGAGATGATGAAGGGAAGCAGGCGAACTCCTGCATCCAAGGGACCGTCTCCCTACCCGCGAGCACACTGTTAGTTGTATATGCCCACAAATAAGATCGCGCCACATACCCGTGAGAACTGGAAGAACAACGGAATATAGTAAGTCATTGCCTAGGCACTATTGTTAGTATTGAACAGTCCTATTTATTAGTACAGCAGGGCAAAACACACCAGCACAACACCCGACACCAAAAACATCTGCACTTGCAGATTTACCAGGATAGGCTGTTGGAGGAAATGGGCTGGATAGAGTCGGTTGTCCTTGTCCACGCCTGGATGGAACTTTGCCACAGCAATACAAACAAGTAGGAGCACCCCCGCTACAACCCAGAGGGCAATTTCACTCCCAGAGCTCCAGGGATACAAGATGCCACCGAACGTGATCGCCATCACCAGACAGGCAGCTCCTGCAAGGAAAGTAGTCGTCATCACCCAGTCTATCATACAGCACTTTTCTGTCCAGCTTTTGAGCGGCTGGGGGTCCACGCTTGGGACAAGGAAGAGGTAGGCGGGGGCAAAGACGGCTCCAATCGGGAGGTTTATGTAAAACGCCTAGCATACGAATATGTTAAATATAGTTCCAGAAATTGCGTCAGACTCCGTGAGAACGTACCCATCGCCAGGTAGCAGAACTATCTGCAAAAGCACCCCCGACCTATCCATCAGCCGCCCTGATCAGTCACGCTGTAAAAAGAAGGCAAGTGATGACTGAACCTACCACCGGACCTAGAACACTTCCGATTCCCCAGATAACAGTGCTGCCAGCCATATAAATAGGTCTCTCTTTGAGCGAAGTCAATACCGCCACAAAACTCAACGTCCCTGAGTACATTCCCGATCCTCCCACGCCGGCGATGACACGACCAACCACGAGGGCAGTCATATTCGGTGCTGCGCCACACACAGCGCTTCCAATTTCAAACAGTGCGATATTAAACAGATAGACATATTTGATGTTGCACACTCCGTAGACCTTGCCCCATGGTAAAACACACATGGTGCCGAGAGCAAAGCCGACTCCGATCCATGGGAGGAGGGATACTTCGCCGAATAGGTCGAGAACCACGGGTTGGATGTCGGCGACCTATACCATCATTATATGCTATTAGCTAATTTCCCTTGGACTGGTCTAATATGAGAATCCGATGGGAATGGTATGAGGACGCACGATGGTGTTGTCCAACGCGAAGAGAAATGTTGTCGAGATCATGGAGGCGTATGCAATGGCCCACTGCGTGCCAATTAGCTGCCATTTTTACTCCACGTAGAGGGTGATAGAGCGATATAGTACCTTCCACCCATGAATTGGACGAGGCGATGTCTCCTTAGGAACGTAGTTCTCGCTAGAGTTCCTAGCAAGGATACCATTGCTACCTTGTTTTTCTAGGTCAGCATTCATAGCGGGAATGATGGAAGGGGAGTAAGGAGAAAGGAGTAAAGAATTTCGATACGATACGAGAATTCACGAAAGAGCCATTGACGGGGGCATTGCTGCTTCTATGGGTTGGTTTTATATAGAATGCCGCAAAGGAGCAGTTAGGGCTCCGAGCGGCCGCTCGAACTCCGTGTCTTGGCGCCTCATCGGCCGCCCCAAGTCCGTATAAGTTCGCCCTCACGCGTCACTCCTTGTTGTGATGTCCGTTCGCCTTCATCTTCACCTCTGCCTTGTGAGCTGTCATTCCCTCGGGAATCCTTCGTGAATGGGCACTCAGATACTCCAGGAGCAGCCCCGGTAGTTCTGCGGCCGCTACGGGACGAACCATTCCTTAGAAGCATTCCGATGGGGATTGAGGACTCTAATGTGATTGGCAATTCTCGATAAACTTGATGGCTGTTAAGTACAAGTCACGATATTAAAGCTGTACAAAGTATGCTCTTCCTAAATAGGCAATTTATGTCTACGGTACCCTTTTTGACCATATAGTGCTAGAGAGATGCGTAGAAGTAGAGTGGATAAAGAGTTTGGACCATTAAGAATGTGCGTAGATGCTGATGGTAATGAATATTAGGGGGTTCTTTATGAGCCTAGATAGCCCTATCTGTAACAGTCGCCGTGGAACCCTCAGTGCTTATGCATCATATATCGCGTGACTCGAAACTCACTGAGCATGTAATATACTGGCCATATATCTCAATAAATTCAACCAAGAATATCCTCGAAAGAAATCCCCTGACAATATAAACCTGCGCTTGAAGTATACCTCCCTAAAGAACTCCGCATTCTGTGGCCTCCGATTGGTTCATAGCTCGGTGCTGACTCAGCCGTTCCTGATCTCCAAAATTCTCGAAACAACATTTACACCTCATCTCCCTCATCTTTGTTCATTTGCCCCTGTTGGTACGGGGTTCAATTGAATCTCGTGGATATCCCGCTATGTACCTGTGAAATCGACATGTATCACGCCAATCCCGTACCCATCGAGATCGCGAAACCTATACACCCGCCTTCGAGCCTCGTTGCGGTACCATGAGCAGATGCTTGCGCCCCGGCCGCATCCTGCCATTCGGTCGCAGGCCAGCTGCTTCGCGCCTTCCTTTCCTCCCATATCGATCCGTGTCTCCTTTCTCCCGGCCGACGTGGACTCAGTTTACCCGGAAAACTCGGAATGACCAGAGAGAGATCAATTTCCCAGATGAAGTTCTTTTTCTACGCCAATACAATTTAATCAAACACCCTCGCCTCCGGCATGACCAGAAGAGACATATTGAGGAATGGATGCCGATACTGAGGGATTGTGTTCCACCAAGAATCGCCAAATCACCAGACGTCGCCCAACCTGCAGGCCAGCCCAGGCGGCTTCGACCACTCCGCGAATCTGAAAATGAGCTTGATCGGACCCACGCTCTACTAGGGTGCCTATGGGATGGAAGAATTCATTTTGAATTTCACCTGCTCGCGCATCTTGGATTTGCGCACCATGAGTGGTCTAATGTGCAGGCTCTTCTCAACAGCATGATCGACACCTACGAGTTGCTAGCTCCTCATATGCCTCCTACACACCCTTCGCCTGGGCTTGATTGGAACAGACCGTTTTCTGTGCGCCGCAGAAATGAGTCAACATCTGACTCGGTGTCTCCCATCACCGAGGAGGTCTCCCTTAGCAAGCTCACGGGAGGCACAAAATCAACATCCCCTTGGAAATGGTCTCGTCTACAACCTATGCCATCAGATAACATTTCCCTTGATACTCTGACTGTGGAACCTGCACCGAGGTTTTTTGGGGAGAGAATTTTGGCTGAAATACTCGCAAACCTTGGCTCTCTAGTTTTGTATGCTGCGCGCAGTCGGTCAGATGATTCAAAGCATGCAATGTCCTGTGTATTCCGAACTCTTGCCCGTTTACACCATGCAGGCATGATCTCTGACAGAGTTTATCAATATCCGAAACCAGATGCCAGCCAGATTGTATTTCGCCCGCCAGCGCTCCATCTTTTGTCCAACTCTATAATGAGCGTTTTGTCCGACGCGGCGTGGCATGAACATGAAACAGCAGTGGCTGCTGCGGCCGCTGATGCAGGAGAGCCGTCACCTTTCATTCCTTATACGCCGGGAATCCGAGAGCTGGGCCCCGAAATCTGGCTTGAGCTCATTCTATGGTGTTGTGTGGAGCATGGGTTCTGCAGAACGGGCACACTACTCGTGCACCAAATGACCCGGCTTAGCGAATGGAAGGCTGAGAGCTGGGCGCCTTTAGTAAATGACCTTGATACAGTCCAACGAACTAATGTCAGTATCGAGCAATCATGGCGTCGACCAGGCCAAAACGAGAAACCTCCAACACTCAAGGGTCAGGACAAAGCACCATTCAATGGGCTTGGCTACCGCACTATCAGCTCTGAGGTGATTGCATCGCTCCGTAGTGGCTTGGCGAACAAAGCTTATGTTGGAATGGGAGATCGTGGATATCTTCCTGAGGATCTCACCAATTTATCAGCCCCTCTGACTAAACTTATTGACCCTACCGTGTCCAGCCGTGAGGACCTTCGGCCCACAAACAGGTTCACCAATTGGCACATTGTACGGATATTGGCCTCGGGCTGTTTGAAACCATCGTCTGATCCTGTTTCCTTCGAGCATCTCCTAAGGTCCCAGAACAATGTTGTTCCTCCGTGGGAAGGGAACGAGCTGAGCCTGGCACAAGTGTTGGACGGAAAAACGCGAGCACAGTTCTATGATGAATCGGCCGCCATGACTGGCCTGATCGAATTCAATCTCAATTATTATGCTCGGGACAAGCAAAGTGGACGACTTTTCCACGAGTATGCTTGGCTTCAAAATATTGCTGATGCAAGCAAGGCACAACACATTGAAAAGTTCTTTGAACGGATAAGCCAAGCTAGCGACGAAGAAGCTTCTTTGTTGTTTGATTTCAAATCTTTCGAGCCTCAAGATATCTCTCAATCGTCTATCCCGCAGTTGTCATGTGCCACTTTTGCCAATCTCCTTGACGTGGCGACTACCACCCACGCGTTTGATTTTGGTCAACAACTACTCCTGGACAATGACATCGACGGCCCTGCCATCCCTCAAAGCGCATATAGAAACCAGGCCCTCGCGCCATCTATCCTTCGATTTGCAGCTGCCACTGGTAATGTCGAGCTTGGCGAGCGTGTCATCGGGTCGCTCGCGATCCCTCTTTCTGTGAACACCATTAAATCGTTGATCAACTTCAGTATCGCACGAAAAGATTGGAACCGCGTGGTGCTGATGCTTAACTTCTTGACCGATCACCGGGCTAAATCCTGGGGTTACATCAACATCGGCGTACTGGCAAGTGCAGTAATTCGACTTGATGCCACCGTTCAGCATAAGACATCTGCCGGCACCTTGACTCAGGCAGATACAGAAGACCTGAACCAGGCGACAGACATCTTGCTTCGCCTTTTCCGCGGCGAGTGGCATGCTAATCATACTCGCGAAAAAGTCAGAAACTTCCAACTTCGAACACTCTCTCGTATGCACCGCGTACTCTCTGCCATTCCAGGTCCTCTACCCGACATCCTCAAACAAGTGGAGGCACCCAAGGAAATCACCGGACACCACAAGGCCACTTTGATCCCACCAACCACCTTCCACGAGATCTTCGCTGCCGTCGTGGAAACGCAGGGCGCTATCGCTGGCAAACAGCTCTGGGACAAAGTCTGTGTCGACTGGGTATCTCCCAAGCGCCAGCTCCAATCTCCAGGTGGTGTTGCCCGGCTGCTGTTCAGTGACGAACGGGCCAATTCACATGGTTCCCCGGGATGGGACGCAGATTACGTCAACCATGTCCGAAGCAAAGCAACGATAGCAGACCTCAACACCGTCCGCATCCTCGCACGAAGTGCCGTTCGAGAATACGCAGAGTGTGTGAAACAAACCACGGGCGAACAATCCCACAGCCGCAGTCCCAGTCCCAATATGACCCAAACCAAGACCACCAACTCCCACAAGACCGCCTCATCCTCCCCCTTTTCCTCCTTCCTCTACGACCCTACCATCCCATACAAACCCTCCATCTCCCGCAAGGAATACCCCTACCAATTAAAGTCCGGCAAGATGCCACAAACAGAGCTCGAGTCTATTCTAGACTTTTGTCTCGAGACCTTCCTCAAATTTGGTCTCCCGGAAGACCAGGTCGACATCGAGATCCCTGGCCACATGCGCCGCATGCAGCTCAGAAAGGTCTTTTCTTCGCCCACACGCAGGCCTGTTAGGATGCGGATCAAGTACAACAGATCCGATCCCTTCATGAAATCTCACTGGCCAAAGGAATTGGCGGAGTCCTTGCCGAACCCGGAGCCGGAGCCGAAGTGGCCTTATGATAATCACAAGATCTAGGTAGTGGGAGAGATGACTTCTTTTTCTCATGGGTCCTGTCTTGTATGTATTTTTATTTTTACAGTAAAAAACTATTCTTGAATGTATATACTATTCTTTTTCCGCACTCCATGGACCAATTTAGAAGGCTGTGTACTAGCTCACGACGGAGTTTACGTACTTGATTTCCTCTCCCGGGATGCCGCTTTAATGAGGGCGCTCAGACATCGGGAGTCAGACTCACTGAGTAAATTTCAGTCCAGTGCTAATCACGTGGCAGATTAGTCAGACTCGAGAACCAGACCTCGAGAGCAGACATGAGCTAGATTCCTGCTACACCAGCATCATATTACAACATGCTCTAGTGAGGGCTCTACGAGGGCGTATTGCTTATATCTAGAACACATAATCACATTATCGGAACAAAAATAAAACAAAAACATTCGCTAGCTAGGGGGTGGTTCCATATTTTTTAGTGCTTCCCCTATTGCCTGGAATGTGGCAATCTGCCGGTCCTGCTCTTCCTGAGGCAGAGCTGTAAAAGAACTCATTTCTTCGTCCCACTTCCGTACACAGTCCACATTCCAATTGCACCTCTC